GTTTCCTTGGTGTTCTGGGTGAACTTCTCAACATGAAGAAGCTCGAGATCTCTAAGACTCAGTTTCTCAAGGGTCAGTCCACTTGGAAACAGTGGAAGACCCTTACGACTGCGCAGGAGCACACATTTGAAACTGTCAACATTGCTCTGGTTGGAAAGTATGTCAGTCTTCACGACTCTTACTTGTCTGTCATCAAGTCGCTGGAGCATGCGGCTATGGCTTCCCGCCGAAAGCTGAACATCATTTGGGTCGATGCCTCTCACCTTGAAACCGAGTGGGAGGAGACCAACTCCAAGGAGTACCACAAGGCCTGGTATGATGTCCACACTGCCCATGGAATCTTGGTCCCAGGAGGCTTCGGTACCAGAGGCACCAATGGTATGATGCGCGCTGCCCACCACGCCCGTACCAAGAACAAGCCTTACCTTGGTATTTGCCTGGGCATGCAGATCGCCGTTATCGAATACGCTCGTAACGTCTGTGGCCTCGAGGGTGCCAACTCGGTTGAACTTGACGAGCTTACCTCCCACCCGATCGTGGTGTACATGCCTGAGATCGACCAGGTGAACCTTGGCGGTACTATGCGTCTTGGCTCCCGTCCTACCCTCTTCCAGGAGAACTCCGAATGGTCTAAGCTCCGTGCTCTCTACGGATTGGACCGCACTTCTATCGATGAGCGCCACCGCCACCGCTATGAAGTTAACCCCGAGTATATTGATCAGCTCCAGGCTGCGGGTCTTCACTTCATCGGCAAGGATGACAAGGGTGAACGCATGGAGATTGTCGAGCTGAAGGAGCACCCCTGGTTCGTGGGTGTTCAATTCCACCCCGAGTACATTTCCCGTGTGTTGGCACCCAGCAAGCCATTCCTCGGATTCCTTTCCGCCGCAGCTGGCTGCTTCGACCAGGTTAAGGCTTTGTCCCAGGCCAAGGAGATGGACTTGGCTAACGGCATTGGCAACATTATTGTCTAAGCATTAATGGTTCCAAATTATGGTTCCGCAGGAGTTTGTATTTGTCACGAAAAGCATATGAATATAGAGAATTAAATAAAAATATTTACCACATACATAATACTACTCTTAAAATTATACATACTATTTTCTATATTTCCATGCAAAAGCGCTCAGAATATCAGACGTGATGCCTGAGGCAGAGAGAGGCTCAAGCATGTGACGTCCTAACCCTATCGGGGTTAGCGTAGTTGCAGTGTTTATGTGGGTTCTTACAATTTATTGAGCGCTCGCATTATTATCTTTGAGCATTGGATCTTTTATCTTTTTCCTTCTGTGGTTGTCAACACTTCTGCTCCCCTTTGAACCTCCTGAATACTTAATTCCCTTCTGTCTCCATCGATCTTTTTCTCTTTCTCTTTCCTCATCTTTCCCCCTCACTTGTGTTGATACCCCACGTAACAAAATGGCGGAGGGTCTTGGAGCTCTGTTAGAGGCAAGCTTGGACCCCAGGCAAAATAAGGCAGGTGAGTTATAAGAGTTGACTTTCCAATACTGGAAATTGAGTTAACTGATGTGGTTTTTTTTCCTCTTTCAGCCGAGATTACTCTTCGTCAGGAAGAACAGAAGCCCGGTTTCTCGCTACAGCTTCTTCACATTACCGCGTCGGAGGCCACACCCTACAACACACGCCTTGCTAGTGCTCTATGCTTCAAAAACTTTATCAAGCGCAACTGGACCGACGAAGATGGAAACTACAAGCTCCAACAGGATGAAGTTACCACTCTCAAGCGCGAGTTGATCTCCTTGATGATCTCGGTTCCGCCAGGGATTCAGAGCCAGTTGGGCGAGGCTGTTAGTGTGATCGCCGACAGTGACTTCTGGGAGCGGTGGGATACCCTGGTTGATGTAAGTTGCGACTCAACAACGCATTGTAATGCTATCTCTGATTATTTGGTTTCTCTAGGACCTCGTCTCGAAGCTGTCACCCGGCAACCCCACCGTCAACATTGGTGTGTTGCAAGTTGCACACTCAATTTTCAAGAGATGGAGACCTTTGTTCCAGTCCGATGCACTCTATACCGAGATCAACCACGTTCTTGGCAAGTTCGGTACTCCGTTCCTGGCCCAGTTTGAGGTATCTTCAGCTTTATACCCATTTTCGCTTCGGTGGGCCGAATACTAACAAACCATAGGCATTGGATACCTATCTTGAGCAAAACAAGACCAACAAAGAGAACCTGACCCAGGGATTCAATCAGCTCAACCTGATGGTCAAGCTGTTCTACGACCTGTCCTCCCACGATCTTCCCCCCATGTTCGAAGACAACATCTCCGGAATCGCCACAATCTTCCTTAAATACTTGACCTATGATAACCAATTACTTCACACCGATGACGATACAGAGGCTGGTCCGTTAGAATATGTTCGTGCTGGAATCTTTGAGGCTTTGACTCTCTACGTCCAGAAGTACATGGATGTGTTCCAGCCTCACGTTGGACAGTTCATTGGGAGCTCGTGGAACTTCCTCACAACCATCGGTCAGGAGACCAAGTATGATATTTTAGTCAGCCGGGCATTGCACTTCTTGACATCTGTCGCAGGTATGCCCGAGCATGCTGCTTCTTTCCAAGCCGAGGAAACCCTAGGCCAGATTGTCGAAAAGGTCATTTTGCCGAACGTGAGCCTCCGCGAGTCCGACGAAGAACTCTTCGAGGATGAGCCAATTGAGTTCATTCGACGGGACTTGGAAGGATCTGACAGCGAGACCAGACGCCGAGCTGCCACTGATTTCCTTCGCAAACTGGCAGAGAAATTCGAGGAGCCAGTGACCCAGGTTGTCCTCAAGTATACCCAGCACTATCTGGCCGAGTATGCCAAGGATTCATCCAACTGGAAGGCCAAGGACACAGCGACGTACCTTTACTCCGCCATCGCCGCCAAGGGCACCGCGACCTCCTCGCACGGTGTTACTGCGACCAACCAGCTGGTCAGTATCACGGATTACTTCCAGCAGAACCTCGCCGCGGACCTGGTCAACGAGGATGGCGTCCACCCTATCCTGAAGGTCGACGCTATCAAGTATCTGTACACTTTCCGCAGTATCATCACCAAGGAACAGTGGCAGCAGGTCCTCCCTGTGCTGGTGAAGCACTTGGCGTCGTCGAACTTTGTCGTCTACACTTACGCTGCCATTGCTTTGGAGCGAGTACTTTTCCTCACTGACAGCCAAGGACAGCCAGTCATTCCACCTACTGAAATCACCCCGCTTGCTAAGGATCTTCTCGAACATATCTTCCAGTTGATCCAGAGTGATCCTGCTCCTGAAAAAGTGCAAGAGAATGAGTTCTTGATGCGTTGCGTGATGCGGGTTTTGGTTGTCATCAAGGAGGGCGTGGTACCTTTCACTGATGTCGTCCTCCAGCGCTTCATTAACATCACCAATATCATCAGCGCGAACCCAAGTAACCCTCGATTCTACTACTTCCACTTTGAAGCCATGGGCGCCTTCATTCGGTGTGTTCTTACACCATATCCCCTTTCGTTACCAAGTGCTAGAAGCTGACATCATGATAGATTTGCTGCTCCTGCTAATCCCGACAAGCTCGAGCAGGCTCTTTATGCACCATTCGCAGGTGTCCTCCAGAATGACGTGCAGGGTAAGTCAAATCAAAACGAAGTCGATATCCTTGTCAGAACGACCCCTTACTGACAAATCTCAGAATTCATGCCCTACGTTTTCCAGCTTTTCGCGGCGCTGCTCGAGGCCAACCCGTCCGGTACCCTTCCCTCCTACTACCAGGAGCTTATTGGCCCTATCCTGATGCCCGTTATGTGGGACTCGAAGGGAAATATTCCTGCCTTGGTCCGGCTACTTTCCTCGATCATCCCCCGTGGTTCGCAGTTCATCATGGAACACAACCAGATCGAGCCCATCCTTGGTATCTTCCAAAAACTAGTTTCTACCAAGACTAATGAGAGCTTTGGCTTTGATCTCCTGGAGACAGTTGTTGCTAGTTTCCCGCCGTACGTATCACATATGCCAAGCATTCAAGTGCCTATGATCTGACTTCGCTTTCGCTAGAACTGCCCTTGAGAACTACTTTGTCATGATCATGCAGATCATTCTTCAACGCCTGCAGAACTCAAAGACAGAGAACCTGACTCTTCGCTTCATCCGCTTCTTCCACTTTATCTCGGCCCAGGACAACAAGGGCTACAGCGCGGACTTTGTCATCCAGGTCACTGACAAGGTACAAGAGGGGTATGTATCATCACCTTGTGCAAATCGCTCATATGCTAATTTATGCCTAGACTCTTCACCCCCATCTACGTCAATGTCATCCTGCCTGAAACCCAGAAGCTTGCCCGGCCATTGGATCGCAAGACAGCTATCATTTCCTTCACCAAGACCCTTGCCAACTCGGAGGCCTTTGCCACTCGTTACAGCCAGAAGGGATGGGGCTTCACCTGCACCGCCTTGCTCAAGCTCCTCGAACTCCCGCCGCTGCCTGCCAGCAGGGATGATCTCATTAACGATGCAGACATCGAAGACATGTCCTTTGGTGTTGGGTTTACTCCTCTGAACACCATCCGTGTCCAGCAGAAGGACCCGTGGCCCGAAACTGGCGCCGACCTCAAGGCTTGGGTGGGCTCATACCTGAAGGAGGCTGACAAGAAGCAGAATGGCCGCATTTCACAATTCGCCCAGGAGCGCCTTGACGACCAGTCAAAGACTGTCCTGGCAAATTACATTTCTTAGTTGCTTTGCTATGACCCCCTTCTGTTCCACAAAAAACTAAAAAAGTTCAGCCTACGTGTGTTTGTTTTCTCCTTGAGAGCAATGCAATCACATTTCCCAATTACCCACTACACCATATGCATGTTGCGATGAGACACTAGATCCATGAAATAAATGCTTGTTTGATTTTCCATTAGAAGAACATCCATGATATTGTAGATCTCTCAAAGTAAACGCTCAAACACCAATGCAGTAGACCTACTTCACAAAATCCCAAAACACATGCAACAGCATGAAGCTCACATCATGTACTCTTTCCAGACTCTCCAGAGGATTCAGACTCATTTCCAACCCCCGATGTAGCCTCCGTCTTTTTTCCGGATTCTCCAGAGGGTTTAGACACATCTGCAACGTCTGGTGTACTCTCTTTATTTTCTCCCTCTTCCTTTACATCATCATCCCACATAATCTCAATTTCATCCTCTTCCTCCTCATCAATTTCTTCCACCTTGCCCGCTTCCCCAAGCTCTCGATACTTTCTCCTCGTCTTCTTCATCTTACTAGCCTTCTTCTTCTTTGCCGCTGCGGCCTTAATCGCGACCCGGCTTTTATCCCCCTTCTCTTGCGCTTCGACTCTATCGGCGAGTAGCGAGCGTGCAATTTTTGCGTTCTGCGACTGTGAGCGCGTCGCTTGGCATTTGACTACCACCCCGCTGGGTTTGTGGATGAGTTGGACGGCTGAATTGGTTTTGTTCTAGGTTTTGTTAGTTCTGTTTTGCTGGTTGGGGATCGTGGCGGGCTCTGGGAAGAGACAGGGGAGGGAGCGCATAGCCTGGGAATGCGATTGGGGCTTGGGACGTACAATCTTCTGTCCTCCAGGCCCGGTGCCTTTTAGGTAGGATATTGATACGTCGGCATCGTTGATCTTGAGCCGTGGGGGGAGGGGTTTTGCGGGGGCGATGGGGGTTTGGCTGAAGAGTCGCACCGGGGCTGCCACTATTCGTGACGATGTCCACCAGTGTAAACGAGAGAGCATTGCTTTTGTTTGTGCTGTGGTTTGTTGAAGGTTGAAGTTACTCCGAGGTTTGCGATAAGAGATAAGCTTGGAGTATGCGCAGGCGCATTATTTTCTTTTGGCTCTTTTGGGTTGGTTTCTGACCCAAAGCCTAAAAGCTTGGTAGTTTAGGTCAATGGAAGTTCCAGGCCATTAGGTACATGTTCTTGTTTTGATGTTTATATGGGGTTATTAGCAAATCTACGCTATTGTAGCCTATAAAGGCTTGATACAAGTACTCCGTACAACTGAGACCAATGACAAAAATGGGTGGATGTATCGAGGAGATATAAAGGATATAGATATGTGTTGAATTATACTATCAAATGTGGCATATGAATTGTACAAATTGTACACTCTGAAACACAAAGTACTGTGTACTTGAAATTCAGGCGCGAAGCAGGTGTAAACATGTGTACTGGGTACAAACTCTCGCGGCAAACACGGAAAGGGGAAGGGTTTTGCAGTTGCCCCAGCTTCACGAACTCTTATCCGCCCTCTCTTCTTTACTTCTATCGTCAATCCACCTCAACGTCTCCGTGTCCATACGCTCTTCCTCATTGTAACGAATATCCCCCAATCGCTTACGTCTCCGCGACGTCACCTCAACACTTCACGAGCCGTGTTGATTTGGAACACCATCGCTCACTTTTTCGCTTCACAACACTACGATCCGGCCAGACGTACATAAAGTGCCAGTGTTGCATACGACTGTCTCTGGGATCTGCTTATCTCGTTTGTCCTCGGCGGTACATAGTGAAAAGAAAAAAATTTGAACGAACCACGCCACACGCCACAAGACGCAACGAAAGACTGGAGCTTCCTACAATATTTTTGACTCCCCCGCAACTATGGACTTCATTATCTGGGCTGTTTCTAGCCTGTTCCGCTGGATGCGATTGAAGGTCTACCAGTATGAGGTGACCTTCTCCCTCTACATGCTTACTCCGATCGAGAAATTCATCTTCAGTACGTTGCGCCTCTCTCCTGTCCAAAATCCTCTTAGTACTCCATGCTGATGTTTAATTACCTATCCAGACACGCTCCTCCTTGGGCTCGTCGGCATGATTGCCATGGGCACTTACATCTACCTCCCCGACCACCTCCGCGCTATCTACGGTCGCCTCTACTACTACTGGGCCGGCGAGCGCCTGTTCAGCTCCGGCCGGTTGTCAATTAGCTCAGTTTTTGGCGAAAATGGCGTAGCCACACAAATCGGGGACATGATGTACGAGACGGCAAAAAATGCCGCTGCCACCTCGACCGAGCGCATAGCTGAACTGTGAATAAACGCCCGACACGCATAATGGTTGCATTTGCATTCTCTATTGCCAAGAGAACTGTTTAATACCTGAGATATATCATATCCAAGGGAACCTCATATCCCCTCTTTCTGTCGGCTGGCGTTCTTGTGTTATTGGAACTTGACATTCCTATGACTTGCATTGTCGCGGTGCGGCGGATTACATTATTATTAATTCTTATCTTTTCTTTTTTGGGGGTCATTCGCACCACACTGTGTATAGATATGCCTTTTTCCGGCAGAGTTATGTGGTCGATTGATACCAGTTTGTGTTATCATTGGAACGTGATCATGAAGTTGATATTTGCATACTTTCCAGAATGATGTAGAGGAAATGTAGACGATAGATGGTAGAGAAAAAAGCAATACGATGGTGAATAATGCAACATATAAGATGAAAACCCCAAAACGCCTTTGTGCCCAGAGCAGAGTGTTGTACAAGTAAACCCATCACCAGCACATGTGTAAGCCCCCAGGCCGATGCCAATCTTGTCCTCGGTCATTGTCAATCCCCCAAAGGAGAGAGGGGAACATAGCGGCTCCTTTCCCAGGCCCTTCCCCCCGGTGACTTAGATAACGAGGACATGTCGTGTTCCCGACCACGCCACTAGCCTCTCGCAATCATGCCCGCTCATTGCAGCCTCATTGCTCACTCTGCGTTGCCTGGAGCTGTGCCTGCGCTTGCGCCTGTGCTTGGGCCTGTGCCTCCGCCGCTTGTCTCCGCTCCCGATTCATGGCATCCACCATGCGCATACGTGCCAATTCCTGGTCAATCTCGGCCTTGTCCAACGGGATCTTGTGCGATTGCTCAGCAGTGGGCCAGAAGTTCTTTGTGGCAAAGCGGTCGTCCAGGTTGGTACCGAAATAGTACATCCAGCCGATGGGGAAGAGGACGTACATCCCAAACTATATGGACTCCGTTAATCCTAAGAACAGTCGGTGGGAGGTGGGAGCTGGTATTTCCCGCCTAGGAGACCTGCTTGTCAGCTACGCACCTTGAGGACTTCGAGGTTGCCTCCCTGCAACTTGCGGAAGATTTGCGACATTGTATGGGTTTGATGCGTTGCTTTTTTTCCCTCGGGATGTTGGGGTTTCAGATATTGCTAAAATTGTGGATTGAAGTTCAATGTTATCGTTGAGATGTGGTCAGTTGGTAATATCCCCGATTCCAGCAGACAGAGAGCAGCAATAATAATGTGTAGGTTGACCTTCAATCGGCGAATGGTCCCATGGGCTTTGGATCAGTCACGGGTGTGATGACTTGAAATTGAGCAAACAAGCCAAACAGTCTTTTTACGTTTGCCTCAGGCCCCAATATTTAGTTCACCGCGGGCCTCGGCTCCCCGCAATCTCACTTTGTATCCGGATAGCCTAATGTAGAGACGACTAATAAACCATTGAATTCCAGTCTCACTTTGTATTCCATTGAACGGTTTTATTCCAAAATATACAGTAACAATGTCGAACGAGCAAATCATTACCGTTACCTACCAAGATCGCGTAGCGATCGTGACGCTGAACCGCCCCGACAAGCTAAACGCCCTCAATGGTGATCTGTACTACCTTCTAGGCGAGCGTCTACGCGAGATTGACTCACGAGAGGATATCTTTATCACAGTCCTGACTGGAACCGGCCGTTTCTTCTCCGCGTATGTCATCCACAAGCCACACCCCAGCCCCAAACATCCCGCAACTATATCCCAAAAAGGAAACTTGACAAGATTTATTATACCTAACACCCGTGTCTTCTCAGCGGAGCCGATGTAACAAGCATACATTCTGGCGGTAGCAATCTCAGCTCAAACGTCCGTCGTGAGCTGGTCAAGGGCTTTGTCGCAAATAATGTCGACGTCACCCGCACCTTCTACAACCACTCCAAGATCCTCATCGTCGCCTTGAACGGGCCTGCTGTCGGCCTCTCAGCCGCACTAGTCGCGCACGCTGACTTCATCTATGCTGCCCCGCACACATTCATCCTGACTCCGTTCTCCTCGCTCGGTCTTGTTGCCGAAGGCGGCGCCAGCCGCGCCTTCGTCGAGCGCCTCGGAATTGCCAAGGCGAATGAGGCGCTCATCATGAGCAAGCGGATTACCTGCGATGAGCTTGTTTCGACTGGCTTTGTCAATAAGGTTATTGAGCCGGAGTCTGGGAAGAAAGATGACTCGGATGGGTTCTTGAAGAAGGTGCTTGAGGAGGTTGATGATCGTCTTGGTACACACTTGAACCAGTCTAGTCTGTTGAAGATTAAGGAGCTGGTAAGACGGCCTGAGAGGGAGCTTTTGGATCGCCAGAATGGTATTGAGGCATATATGGGCCTTGAGCGCTTTATGAAGGGAATCCCGCAGGAAGAGTTCCGGAGGTTGGCATCCGGTGAGAAGAGACATAAGCTTTAGTTGCTGGATGGTACCTTTGTATATAGTTATCAGAGACTACGGCTGCCTCTTCTACGGCCTCACTTTGGTATATGCATACCTTTTCGGGGTCTTTTTTTTAGGTATACCCATTCAGGGGGGTTATGTCGTTTGATACGTTATCTTGATATTTAAGACGAAGTTCAAAAGAAACAAACATAACATCAGAAGAGTGCAACCATTCAATCAAACCACCATGTTTTTTGATATGATATAGTAAACAACTTTTGTCTCTTATACATGCTGAGAGATTTTTGTGATTGTGACTACTGTAGACCAGGGTGACAAACATGTTGGTTTTTATTCATTGCCAATGCGTATATTGACCTGTAATGCATGATGCAACCTTGGAATTCCCATAATCATTTCCCTGCTCTAGTCAAACGCCATTAGACCAAAAATCCATGCTTTTATCTCACTCAGCGCTTTGAGCAGAGATTGTTTTATTCAGAGTCACTGCCAGCATCCCGATCCTCTTGCTCCTGCTTCTTCAAGATTTCATGCCACTGGCCCATAAATTCACTCATACCGCCAGGCCCCTCAAGCGAAGCATCAACCAGCTCCTTCGGCACCTTGTGAGCCGAATACTGAGTGGAGCTGAATGCGTACGCCTCTGGATCATCCTTCTTGATGAGACGGAATTCTGGAAGGAAGGGGGCTTGTTCGTCATCTCCTTCGGCACCCTCATGTTCTTCTTCCGAGTCGGAAGAATCTAGATCATCTTCTTTCTCGAGCTCTTCCGCTGTGCCGGTAGAGATGATCTTACCATCATGGAGCGAAATTCTCACAAACTCTTCGGCTCCATCATCTTCTTCCTCCTGCACACCAATCGGATCCTTCATTCGGAGAATCTCCAACCAACTGTACAGCAACGGGTCGGTACGCTGCGCCCACGGATTGATATCAATCAACCAGACACGCTGGTGTGGTGCGGGGATGTACACGTCGAATACGAAGTTGGATTCGGGAAATGTGTCTTTGAGCTTCTCATCGAAGAATGATTGGACCCGAGACCGGAGCATATCACGCATTGGGAAGAGGAAGTCAAAATGGTTTTGATCGCGCTGGGTGATGCATAGAAGGACGCGGTTGCGCACAAAGCAACGGAATTCGAGTGAAGGGTTGAAGTTGACATATTTGCGGAGAACCAGGGAATACGGCACATCCGGCAACAGTGAGTCAACGGTGGATGGTGTAGGTTCATCCGTGGCAGTATCCGGTACGCAGTCGTCAAAGGGATGATCTAAATCATGAGTGATGAAGTCGCTGCTTTTCAGGAGGAGGTAGATGTCATTCGGAGAACGGCATTGGGTGTCGTTTGTGGCTGCCATGAATGCTGCATCTTTGGGAGCACTCCAGTTTAATTTAGGTGTGACAATACCACCGAGATCAGAGATTGTATTCTTGATCTGAGTGTGAATATCTTGCCACTCTGTAGATGGATCGGGTTCCTCCTCGCCCGAATCGGAGAATGTGTCCAGGTTATCATCATCGGTTGGAGCGACGGTTTCGGGTGGAAGAACGATGCCGTCGGAGCGAAGGTATTCAACAAAAGCAGGGCTCAAGGGAATAACGCGTGACTTGGGAGCAAGTGTACGGTACCTAGAACTCCGGTCAGATATGTTCGGTGTTGAGTCATATATGGAAGCTTACCGCGGGTGCCAATCATGATAAGAGCAATGCAGGATATGGGAGTATGTGGTGGGTGGGAAAGGGAGGCGATCTGGGAGATCATTGGATGAGGACTCTGCCATGGCAGCATCCGACTCAAGCAACGGCATATTGGATATTGTTTATGTAAAATATAAGACCGTTGACGATGTCCGGACGAGCGATTTCCCCTCGGTGGCGGGGAACTTTTTCTGCCATCATGTGACGATAACGATAAGACCGAGAATCCAGGGGAGTCTAAGGCGCTCAGGCATCCGTGTCGCATGGATTACTTGTTCTCTATAAACCAACGGTATCATCACAAACCCCGCCAGCATGGCTCCTGAGGCACCTGATCCTCAGAGCTTGAAGTCATGGCACGATGCATTCCAATACCCAATTCCTACGGTACGCCGTGTGGAACAGGAGCTGCGCCGGGACATCGCGAGCAATAAGGAGAAGCTCCGAGCTCTCGTGGGGTAGGTGTTTGATTTGCCAGAGTAGCTGTTTCTTCGCTAATCATGATATAATTTGATTATAGCACGCGATATCGTGACTTAGTTGGAACCGCTGAGACGATTGTGACCATGAACCGAGACATTCAAGATGTGGAATCTATTCTGGCTGATGTTGGACGCCGGTGCAACCCCCGACTTATAGAAAGGAAGCATGTTCATGTCCGGCAAATTAAGACTGGTGATGCTGAGAAAGGTACGAAAACTAGCCATGAAGGAAGTCAGGAATCAGTAGCTGATATTGTGAGCATAGACGCAGAGAAGCACGCATTTGGAGCGCAGCTTTCTCTCCTTCACCGTTGTACAACCTCTATCAGCCGGCTTTTGCGACGTCGCAGCTCGCTTCTGTTGGTTGCGAAGATTCTAGTTGTTTCCCGATTACTACACAAGACGTTATCGCAACACGAGTCACTCCCCCCATTCATTGATGATCTCCGGAATCAGCTAGCGTCTCTCCGGCGAACACTCCTCAAGCGTATTGATAAACGCCTTGCCTCTACAAGCGCTACAGAAGATACTATTATTGAATCATTGGCTGCCTATTGCCTTGCAACGAGCTCTTCTTCTGACGATGCGATCGATCATTTCCACAAAGTGCGCCTGGACGTCATTGTTAGCCAGTTGGATGTGTCTCGTGAGAACATCCCCAGAGCCCTCCAGCTGTTTGTTCGGACACTTCATGCCTCAAAGGTCCTGCGATCCCGTCAATTTCCAGATGTGCTCTCGAAGCTTAAAGCTCGACCTCTCCTCGCCGACCCAGAGATTCAGAGTCTAGATGGGCTGGAGGTTGAAGTTCTTGGCCGCTGGGTAGCTCCAGAGGTCAAAAATTTCACCCCCTGGATCAAGCTCAGCGAACTGAACAGAACAGAGGGCTTGCAATCGACTAAGGAATGGTCACTCCGGGCTTTCAAGAAATTCTCCGAAGGCTGCCAAAAGAGCTTGGCCCACAGCACCGATTTCTCCGAGCTCCTCTTGCTCCGTTCAGAGACCGTGGAATTATGGCTGTCATCCTGGGGCTCGACTATCATTCACAGCTCAGTGGATGTCCTCGAAAGTCTTCGAAATATTTTCAATGACCAGCTTACCAGAATCCTGAATGTGAAAGCACAAAGCCTAGGCGAAGTTGGTACTCAAGTTTCATCTCTAATATCAGACTGGGAGAACACCGAGCACAACCCCGTCGGATCTCTGTGGGATGCCGATCTTATTACCGCAGAATACACGAGCGGCGCCCAGAGATTCAAACAAACTGTAGCAGATAGATTATTGGGCCGTGATGAAGACATCTCTACCGTCCTTATGACGTATCAAGCATGGCTGGCCTCAATCCAAGAAGTGAACGAATCCATCGACTCTCTACGCCGCACGCGATGGACAGACATTCTCGTCGGAGGTGAAGTCGAAGATGAAGATATCGACATCACACCCCGGCTCAATGAAGATGACCCCCGACACCTATCTGGTTCTCTCCACTCTGCCGTTCGCAACGCATTCACCAGTCTTCAGACATCATTCAGCACCGCTTTCCAGTCATTCAACTCCTCACATTCAAGCGAAAAAGCCACTTTCCTATTGAGACTTATACGACTCGTCCGGCGCGATATCCCCGCTGACTTTGTATCTGGAGACTTTGTATTTTCGAGCGAAATCGTCCCTGATCTACAGAAGTTGCTTGCAGCAGAAGTAGTCGCTAAGGCTGGATCGCTGAGCTTGATTCCGTCCCCGAAGACCAACCCCCAGACAGGCAAAGCTAAGACCGTGCCCGGCAGATCACTCTGGGAAGGCGAGCCTGCCATCCCAGTTCAGCCCTCGGCTTCGAGCTTCAAGCTCCTGCGTCGTCTCACTTCCTCGATGGATACTTGTGGATTGGACCTGTGGGATCCGTCCACTGTGCAGGCATTGAAGCAGGAATTGAAAACGAAACTTGGGGCGGCTATCTTATCTGCTTTGGATGATCTCGATAGCGAAGATGCGCCTAACAAGACTGAGACCAAGGATGGTCAACCTGCTGCCAAAGGAGATAAGGACAAGGAAGATGAGATCCCGGAGAAACCAGAGACCCACAGCCCGGATCCAGATCAAGTCGAATCTCTGCGTGGCTGGAAGGTTCAGCTCTTCTTCGACTCTCTGTATCTGTCTCAGATGCTTGGCGAGCAAAATCAGCTGGCTGGTGTCGTCGATCGTGCTCAGAAGAGCTCTGGTTCTAGTGCGGAGACTGTGAAGACTATTAAGAAGCTTGCAACTGAGTATTGGACTCGGACGGAGCTGCTGTTTGGTCTCTTGGCAAGACACTGAGTGGCTCTAGGGATGTGCCGCATCTTGCCAATACCCATCTATGCTTTACATTATTCGTCCAAGAAGCAGTGGACACATAATGTACGATTTATCTTCGAACAGGAAATACATTGTTACACAGTACGCAGACAAGTATCCATTACGAAGTATGTAAACAATATCTCATACATTTCACTTCATACAATCGTAAATCGTATCTCGTCTAGACATAAAATGATCAGAAGCGAGATATTCAGAAATTCGGCAATATCCTTCCACAGAGCTCATCCCCGGTTAACTTTTTTTGCTGACATTTTGTATTTTCAAATGTTTTTGTAGATTTTCGTTGTCAAGCCTCCGCTGGTCAATGGAAAGGAAAACCCCCTTACCGGTCAGCACTCTTCGCAATAATGTCAACCTGATATTGAATGATTTCAATCTCGCGCTGAACAGCCCAGAGAGCGCGCTGGGCCTCACGGGCCGAGATACCCAGTTTCTCAGCCTGAACGGTCATCATACCCTCCTCAATGCCCTTGGGAGACCAGTGCTCAACGATGTACTCGAGCTGCCCGTCGATCGGGAAAATTCGACCGCGAATGACAGAGAGCTCCTCTAGCTTCGCGGTGGACCAATTGCTGTCGAATTGCTGCCTCCACCGGTCCTTCAGCTGTCGGAAGCTAGCCAAAACACCATTAAGACACATGGTGATATTCATACAATCGGTAAAGATCACCTTGCGCATATGTATTTTATCCCGAGTTGACCAAGCGGCTGCGGGAAGAAGGCTCATCCGTATCGTGCACATTTCATGGAAGTGCTGGATAAGTTTGCCCTCGCGGTTTTGTGCCCTGCGGCGGTTGTTCTCGAGGATTTTCATCACCTGTCGCCAGCGTCGCTGAAGATTCGTGATCATGTCAAGCTCGTAGCCGGTGTATTCCTCAACTTGCCAATCCTCTCCCAAACCCATCGATAATGGGTTCTCGGCAATGCGTGACACCCGCAAGATATCACTTAGCTGGGCGAATTTCGCGTTGCCTTGTATGAAGGACCGCAGGAATAGAGGAGCAGACTTTCTGTCATCAAGCGCAATGACACACAGCTCGTCTTTGTGGTTGTAGGCTGCATACTCGCGGATGCAACTTTGTCGGAACCTATCACTGTTGGAAAATTCCAGTGCCATTCCCGGTGGAATAAGGGATCGAAGGGTCTATTTTTTTTATACCACCAGTCAGGCTTGTTTCATGAAAGCTCTCCACAAGCAGAAACACATACCTTGTTGGCCACCTTCTCCATCTCCTTAAAGCCAATCGGCTGCTTGGGCCAATAGTTCAGGTTGAGATTCACGGTCGTCAGAAGCTCAGTGCAGCGCCGTTTGATAATAGAAATTGGAAAGCTATTGCGTCCCATTCCTTCGAATCTGAGAGTGCCGTTGCTAAGGGCATTTTCAACCTGTTCCATGAGGTTGCAGAAGTTGACGACAATGTTCATCAAGTCGGTTGTGTGCACTCGGATCTCTCTGTCCTTGAACGTATAGTCTTTAGCGGGAGATTGCATAATCGTCGAAAGATGCTGCAAGGCCCAGGACCATGGAACTACGATGCCCCTTCCTGGATTGGCGATACAAAGCTGCACAATATTAGTAACTTGTTATATCATCGCCGAGATTTGGAAACATACAATGTACGTAGCTGCAAACTCGAGCACAGACAGAACAGCATGGAGCGATCCAAGGGAGGATTTGGGTGTTTTCTCAAGACATTGGAGAAATGTATTGACACCGTTGTGCTATGAAAATGTTAGTGTAGCTCGGTAGTCTATGTGGGTTAGATAATGTCTTACAAAGTCTTGACCGTGGCGTCTTCCCACCGCTGACCGGATCCTCTCAGCAGCATTCAAAGTCGTGAAAGGCAGCGCGAGCGGGTGGCCCGACCTTCTAGGGCGTGGTGGCATACTACGATCCATGTTTAGAACAAGTGCTCGCTGAAAACGTGTGGCTGGTTGAGGACCTGCAAATTTAGATTGAGCATTAGAGTCAGTTTTTGATATTTCAGAAGGAGTTTATAATACCGAGAACTTGAGCTTCTTGCACCTTCTCTAGAGAAGAGCTCAGACTGCTCATCGAGCCCCATTCTTTGTCCATGCGATAGAAGAGCAACTCTTCGAGGCAGTATGCGGTTGCAGCAAACTCTGGATTGCTTTGCAAGTTGGCACGTAAATTTGCGATTGCCGTGGAGGACTGCTCCAGTGAAGTGACTATCACCAGCTCCTGCTGGATGTGTTGCATCCAATTTCTCCCTACAGTAAGTTAGATCTGGAGCGTATGACGAGATTGGACCGACCACTTACTACGACCCAGAAATGGTTTGCTGAAAGCCTCACCCATGATTCTTTGATAGTAAATAGGCGTGAGCCGCGCAAAAACCTCAGCAATGATGAGAAGGCACTGCGGGAGATAATTGTTAGTTGATCACATATTTCTTCTTGGTGTTTAACTCACATTCAACTTCGCAATAGCGAATTCGGCAGTAGGCTTCTCATGGCCCCAGAAGCATTCATTGACTTTAAGCTTCGAACAAAATCCTGATCCAAATTGTTAGAGATCCTGAAACGAGGGCATCAGTGAGTATTGCTTACCCTTGTAAAGCTGTTGGAAACATGTCGCCGGAAATTCCTTCTTCATGAGACTGTATGCGTTTTCATGGAATTCAGTAATTGCTGCGGCAAACTTCTCTTGAATGAAGTCTTTCGCTAAGTCAAGCAAGTTCTCGAAGGAAGATTCATCAAGAGCTGTTGCTGTGTTAGTCCTCAGCGGAGACCAGTGGAGCAAGATCGTCTGATTCTCTTGTTTTGGGTTGGTAAAAATGCCGCAAATCATTGCCAGGCAAGTAAGGGAGTAACGGTTCCGAGCATAGAAGTCTTGCAGCAGCTTTCCAACTCGGATGACAATATCCATTGGAAGTTGTTCGGCTTTCTGCTTGGTGAACACTAACGGCTCAAAAGCGATCACCTGAAAATGATTAGCTCACTGCTCACAAGTGAGAGCAAGATTGAAACATACAAAAAGACAGAAGATATCTTTCAGAAGACCTTTGTCCAGGTTTTTGACTGAAGCGGGTGAATCCATATTCTCAAATTCTTCGATCAACAGCAAGATCGTTTTCCACTGGGCCCCAAGTTTTTCGAGGTAAGTTGATTTGACTGATTTCAGTAGCCCGTCTCGCTCACGGTTGCTCGGAATTATGTCCCTATGCGCATACAAGACTTCAACCATAGAGTAATTGAACAGCTTCTCAACAACTGGCTTGTCGACCACTGATATCAATTTGTGGACGAGCATTGTGTTTATCGCCGCAGGTATGTCACCAACAGCCACTGATAGATCGTAGTACTCGAACCATCTGGATTTTGACGAATAGAGCGCACGCAGCTGGTCCCACATTTCGAACTCTTTGAAAAAAGCAATCTTGGACACATCTGATCCAAGCATGTTGATGGTTATCGCCCGCAGACTGACAGAGACACGTCCCTGCTTCAGCAAGATATTGCAGAGTCTTGAGTAACGAAGCAAGATGGACTCGCTGAGGTACTCGCGGTTCCTATATAGAGTCAATATCTCGTAACCAATGTAGAAAATAATAAGAAGTAAAGACCTGTTGGCATAGGTAACAAGTTCATCGAACTGGTCTCCGCGACGCAAGACCTCGATTGCGGCCTCGTATTGACCACAAGAATGATAACACCCCGAGGCTTCGGTGAAAAGCTTGCCTTTCTCATAGAAAGATGCTGCCTTTTCATATTGCTCGCGATCTTTCCAGATTTCTAGGAGAGAGGTTAGTATTCCTCAAACTCGACGCGATTGAAAAACAAACCTGCAACTTTGTCGAACTGCGCAAGTCCCTCATAACATGACGCCGCTTCGGTAATAAAACCGATCTCAAGGAAAAGAACGATTGCCTTTTCATAGCACGCTGTGAATTCTTCAGTGTTTCCAGCTGCTCGGTGAGATCTTCCTTCTTGCTCATGCAAACACGCCTGTGATTGTGTCATTCCTCGAGGATCATTGGCCTTCTTGTAGCAGAATAATGCCTGTTAAACTTTTATTAGCACGAAGATCTCCTCCGGTTGTCAAACAGTATAGTACCTCTGCAAAGCTCTTTCGATGGAGAAGATGTGCTGCTCTCTTGAGCCACCTCTCTGGGTCTACCGAGCCGCCGGCCCGCAGAACCATGACCTTTGCTGCAACCTGCGAGAAATTAGTATGCGAGCCACTTGGATTAAAAGGTGACTTACGTCAGGGTCTTTCTGCTTCACAACTTCAGCAAGCTCGAGACTGTTACTATGTGAGAGGGTTTGAATAATGGGATCAACGCTGTTCTCTTGGGTTTCCATAAACCAAAGTTGCTTTCTCGCTCGAGTAACAGCAACATACAGTGACTGGTTGTCATTGTTAGCAAGAAAATGAATAAACAAAGGAATAGATATACCTTGAGTTCGGAGCATAAGGCCTAATTTCGACATGTTAGCAATCATAACAGGCTGGTTATTTCATGAAGTACTTACTGCATGTTTTTGAGAATCAAACTGCGCTCGTGCTGGGTGAACAAGCATGTAAAGGCACCGGTAGCTACTGCCAAGCCCACTGCTGCCGAAGAAGTCATACACCAAGACATCATCAAACTCCATACCCTTGCTTTCTATGATTGTCAAAACAAGGGCAATCTCGCCAATTTGGGTTTGCAGTTTGTCCTTTGATGCATCATCTCGGACAAGGATGACTTGCTCGGCGCCAAAATCGGCGACCTTGTCGTTAAGCTTGACTAGGCCTATCATCTTGGCAGAAAGAATCGAGGAGTTAAAACCCGCTGTGACAAATGTTAGTAGCTGAATGCCAATGTGGCGATGCGGCGATGCGACATACCAAAGATAATTGGCTTCGGTCCCCCAATCTGGCCAATCTCTGGATCCAATTTGTCAATTGTTTCCGGGAATCCTATAAATAAATAGTTAGATAGACTCAATTCTGATCTTTGCAATCTTTCATACCATGCCAGAGTAACTGCATCACCCATGATGCAAAGCTTAGAATGCCCTGGTGCGAGCGATAATTCTTAGCCAGAGAGAATTGGACAGGCTTGGCAAATGACGGCTGATTTAGTTGATTGGCAATGACTTCGTAATGTTCGTAGAACAAAGCCTTAATCTCGGGGAATCGGAAAACCGAATCTTTTGATATGCACTGAGCAGTATCACCAGCTAGGTTCTGTTAGTTGATTAAGCTCGCGGATCAATATTTGGGGACCTTACCAAGGTGAATCCCACGGGCGTCACTGAGGCAGCCTAAAAGCAGTACAATGTCGAGACAACGCAAGTCTTGAATTTCTAAACAAATGGTCAGTACTTTGCGCTCGAATATTTGAAACGTAACCCACCATCGACATAGATCTCCTCAAAGCAGCGCTGGATCTGCTCAGCTAGAACTTTGTTATCTCTCAGGGACCTCAGAAGGGCACTGACACGATCCAGCTCGTCAATCTCCTTGCGAAGTTTCTTTTGCTTTTCATAGCGTTCGAATGCTCCAAAGACCTTCTCGCGCTCTGTCTCAGAGGTAAAGGCGGGAGAAGCTTTCGAGTTCTTCTTGACGTATTCTGCACGGTATAACGGCTTCAGGCTTTTTGCAGTGATGCTAGAACCTTTAATGACGCCCATAATCTCTGCAAATAGGAGCTCTGGAGAGCAGGATTGTGGAGCTAATCCACTTAGAGAGCCCCAATATTCTGTTTTGAAAATACTGAAGTCAATCACCTGTGGCTTCTCTCCTCCCTGTGGGTCCAGAGCCTTTGTCTTGTTGGGATTGATGTCTCTTAGGAAGTCTTTTCGATCAGCCAGTCTACATCAAGTTAGCAGAGACGTCTCTGAAAGCTTGGCATTGTAGATGTTCAAACCTGATTGTGTTCTCCAGAAGCCCAAGAAATTCATCGTAAGTGCAGACAACTGGAAAATGCCAATCCTTTAAGGCAAAGAACGAAGTCGGTTTCAAATCAGAGTCGACATCCTCTTCAGTCAATAAAGCCTGGGACTGAGCGTCTATCAGGCTTTTGGCGTATGTTTGAAGCTTTGAAGCCAGATAGGAGGACCGCGTCAAGAGAAGCTATTCGTGTCAGCTTTTCATCCGATATCGTGAGAAGAGAGAGAGGCGTACCTGTCGAGCTTGCTGCTCATCGGAGTCTGATTGTCTTGCTTTGTGCTTGGCAAGCATCTTAAACAACAGACAGGTAGTTTTTCCTGTACCGCTTCGTCCTAGAATCAAGCTTGATGTGCTGAAGTGCTTCACAATCTCTAATTCTTCAGGTGAGAGATCAAATGGAAACTCCTCCGTGTCCTTTTCATCAACCATCGACTTCAAAAAGGGCTCCGTGAGATTGTAAAATTTGTCTCGAAACTCATGATCAGCTTACAATTCATACGGGTTGGGATAAAATTGAGGGGGATAAACTCATACTTGTCATCTCAATCAGAGCTGGGGCTACCTTGGAGGAAGCAATGGATTTCATCTTATTAGACCCAGTCTCTTTCACATTTCCGAACCGCTGTGGCGTCCAAGTTCCATCGGATTGCTGAACGGGACGTCTCAAACAGAGCTGAACAAGCTCCAGGGTATAGGATTCCTGGACCAAAAGTATTTGCTCGATGGCAGTTTGCAGCTGTAGAACCAATTTAGCAGACGTTTCATATTGTTTGATTCAGAAACACACCTCCTCTTCCGAGGTCACGATTTGCCAAACTGCCAAATTTAGCATATATCCGCAAGTCTTGATGAGATGGTTTGAAGACACTTACCTTTGACAATCTGCTGCTGTACCCATGGAAGCTCATCGTAGAAGCCGATATCGACCTGCCACAAGATTGACACAATCGCAGAAGCGCTCACTTCTAGAATTGGAACTTGCATTCTTTTCTTCTGCTGTGTAGATCCTACGCGACGAGAGAGATCTTTGCCTTTCCATTCGCCGCTTGCTAAATCTCTGAGCTTTTGTTCTACGCCGTCAAAGTCACCTAGATACGATTAGAAACGGCCGAATTGCATAGACTAGAGGCAAACAGGTAATCAGCTAGACTTACCTCCGTGGACCAGTTTTTTTGCATTCTTGAAAGCGACGTCAGATAGCAAAACCTTCCAAAGACCGACTCTTTTTCCGAAAATGTCTTGGGCTTTTCCCGGTGCTGTAGTTCGATCCAAAGGCAGGTCTGTTGAGCTGCCCAGAGTTCCTGTAAGGCTCCCGGTAGTGAGCCTATCCAAACAGATTCTGCATGGGAAGCTTTCCAGGGCAGAGCGCATGAGTGACGGAATTATCTCGTTTTGAAGATGCTCCGCGGCATGGGTGAGAGCTCGAGCGGACAACGGTGGTGGGATGTTGAAGTGGTTCATCTGCATGAGGATCTCATCCGAGATCTTGAATTGTCTTTTAGTGCCTTTTTGAGCTGGAGTCGATTTTTTGTCGTCCCGAGTGAATAGCTTCATTGATTCCAGAGGAGGCAGATTCTCCACTTTTGTTCGCTTCAGCTCTTCTTTGTACGACGTGTTAATGAGCGAGCTGACAGATTCCACCAGCTTTTGTGCAATGCCCCAACTATCGACGATCGATTCCGTTCCATGGTTAGCGGAGCAGTCATTGCACATGGCAGTTAGCCTGTCTCCAATCTGCCTGATGAGAGCAAGAGGAAGGTGGTTTTTTTTGGACAGCAGCCATTCCTTCAAAATCACTGTGTATCTCTCATCGGTCACCAGGTGATCAAACAATCCCTGTGATGAGAGGAGGGTGTTGACGAGGTCTCGCAAAAATGGAGAGTGTTGTTTTATTATGAGAGGGAGCGCTGATCCAACGAGTTGGATCATTTGTGATGGTGAGAAGATATTGCCATGAATGAATGGGAGGACCATAGCTTTGAAGATCTCTTCAGCAACAGGGCCTGGGAGCTGTTTGCCTCGCAATATTTCGAAGGATCTCAGCAGGCGTGAGTGTGTCTGGTTAGGGTTGAGAACTAGCTGGTCGTGGATGGATCCATCTTGCATGGCTCGATGCAAGCGAGTGTAGTACTTTTCGACATTCGACAGAGCATGGTTGTACTCGTGCAATCCAGGTTTCTCCTGCAGCAGGATTGAGGTCCATGGTGTCTGTACAGACGCCATTGGTATGATAAGCCTCAATGCTTGTTGCTTACGGTTTGAGAGGTCGGTCGACAGAGGATGGGATTGATCGACGCGTCTGGTGTTTAGCAAAGGACGTCTCTTTTTTTTTTGAGGGGAATTTTTGAGTTTTATGGTGGTCAGAACTAGGATAAGAGGTTGAAAGGTTTAGAAAGCTGGGTCAAAACAAGATGGGCTCCTTGCCGTCTTGCCAATTGATAGCTTAAGTTGACAAAGATGTGTAGGAGGTAAACAAGTCGACGGAAGAGGGAGGGAGAAAGAGATAGAGAGAGAAGAAGAGGAGAGGTCGGCGAATATGTCTAGACGCGTACCTTCCAGATCTGGAGATGTCAGTCGCTCTTTCCCTAAGAGCTTTGTCCCAAACAAAACAAATACAAACATCCATAGACCCATCTCTTTCCTTCTAGAAGTCCACGGGCTCTATTCGTAAACATTCGTCCGCCAGGAGGCCATCGGTGTCTTAGAGCTCACGGCCATCTACAAAGTCAGGTCAGTAACTAACTTAGAAAAACGAGAACACACGCTATTCTCTAGCCGTCCCCGTGCGAGAGAAAATAGTGCATTTTCGAAGAATCAAGAACACCCCTAAGAAAGGAAACCGATATGTGCTTGTCGGGTTGCCGTCATTTGAAAGTGAAGAGTCCTCAGCATTATAGTCCACAAAAGTCCCCTACAGTTCTGGATTTAGCTAGAAGACTCCCAGGCTGTAGGTATCAGGTTGTATGATAAATAGTTCTCCGTTGGGGTTGTGCCAATACGGCCGGAATGCTGGTACAGACACTTCTTTCATGCTGAATTGCTTTTGCACAGCTTCATATCTTTGGCTGTTCTGAAGATATAAAATCAAACCCAGGTGCTGTGATGGTGCATACTTCGCTTGGTAGTTGAGCGGCCGCCACACATGGGGTCAGCAACACTAGTATCTCCGCAGAATTAGGTGGTGGTACCACAGAAGCCAAATTCACTGCAGCAGACGTTCAACGGGCAGTTTTTTTATTTGCCGCGTATTCACTGTCCAGCTCTAGTTATTAGGGGCTGCTACCTGACCAATGATGGGCAATGAATGGCTTTTTTAAAAGAGAAAACAAAGGGCTGCAAAGACAATGAAAACAGAACCACTTACCCCAAGGATCTCCCCATCTTGGGAAGACACTGGGATCGTACTCTGACTTGTGTAAGCAAGTCCCATTGGCGCTTCCTTTGGGTAGACATCTGTTCCTAGCGCACTATGAAGGCCCATAGCCACAGATATTCAAGTATACAACCCGGTGAGAGCTTCGCTGTATTTATGGGCTACATAGTCATTTATACAGAAGTAGAATACCTGTGGACATAGTCGGCTATATGAGCCCTTTATATTTATGAAATAACAGTTGAATAATCTACATATTAAGTTTGTTTAAGCTGATACTATAGACGTTGTAATTACAATTCCACTATGATATCTTATTAATGTATCTATATATATTTTTTTATACTTTTTTGAGATAGCTTTTGAGATATCTTTTAAGATGCCGATGAATAGCTATTCAGTTAATTAGCCCTAAAGTAATATCGCAATGGTCGCTGATTTAGATACACCAGTGACACCTCGTCATATCTCGGAAAGAATGCGGTCAAAGTGACACCGCATAATGGTCTTGGTCGGTTCTGGGATCAACCTTTGGCTGGCCATGTTCTTGGACTGACTTCACGTTACTGGCATTTCGAGGTTCGGTGCATTCAATGAGAAAGAAAGATGCGTACTAGGTATGTTGTACTCGCCCAGGATAATCAACCAATTAGATCTTCCCAAGCTCGGATAGCTCAGCTAGGGAAGCTCGAGGTGTGTTCTCCGGATCTTTATAATGAGGTTCGTCTCATCACAAGGAATTCAATCCGATTCTACGATATCCAATTGTAGATAATGCCTTGGTCTCTTGCACATGCCTACATGCGAAAATAAAATCAGAAAGCAAATCAAAACTTCCTCAAAATTACCTCTGCACGTGCAAAGCTGACTAATCTTATACCCCCGGAGACGGGTGACGTTGATGATTCCCCGCGGGAAAGAAAGTTCGCTTCTTCATATACTGGTCACCACCATGGCGACACCGAGGCTCCCGTTCCTGTATCCAAATTTGATGCGCGCTGTACGCTCATGCGAGCCGAGAACATACCGCTCAATTCGAATCCCATACCGGCCCACTCAACGCTTCCATACGAGTCAGCAACACCAGCGCGATTCCTATCAGCGGCGTTACGGCCCAGCTGTCGAACCGAATACTTCTCCTTCATTGCGCTCGAAGAAGGGTCCACATGATCAGGTCCAAGACGTGCCAGAGGACCCATCTTCTAGACATGAGGGTATAAATACCTCCGAGCAGGAGGGAGCTTCGCCGGAAGAGTCACAGTCGGAAACGCAATCACAGGAAGCCGGGCAAAATACCGCAGATGTCGCCAAAGAATCTTCTTCGGCAACCCCAGCCCTAGATCAGCAAATTGAGGCCGACGCAAAAAAAGACAACCCCCCGACGGACCGAGAACCGCACGAGGAGAAGGCAACGGATATAGATGGTGCTCAGGAGGAACCGGCTCCGGCTTCTTCCCTCCCTCCTTCCGAAGGCCCGTCGGAAGAAAGTACAGATACTTCTTCGTTCACAAATCAAACTCCGTTCGATAATGTCCTCCACATGCCCTCGCCGTCTGTCTACTTATCCCCAACTGGGGGGCCCTCCTCGTCCGACAGCCGGCCACATTTGTCCCCAGCACCATATGTGCACCATTTCGACACGTATTCGCTGGTCCAGGATCTCTCCAAAGGAGGTTATAGCGAAGAGCAGTCTACTACAATCATGAAGGCTGTGCGGGCTATCCTACAGAATAACCTTTCCCTGGCCAGGGAAAGCCTCACTTCCAAATCCGATGTCGAGAATGAGGAATACCTGTTCAAAGCAGCCTGCTCTGAGCTTCATTCATCGCTTCAGACAGCTCGCAACTCAGAAATACAGCATCAGCGCTCATCGCGCACACAATTGCAGCATGAAACCGATATAATCTCGCAGCGTCTCAGCCAAGAGCTTTCAGGCATGAAAGACGACATCAAGGGCATGTTCAATGATCACAAGATGACTACGCGAGAGCAGCAGCGGAGCATCGATACCTCAGTTCAGGAATTGAACTACAAGATCACCGTGTCGCTGAACAGCGATGGAAAGAGTGAGATCGAAGGTCTTCGATGGATTTTGACCAGACGTGCCGCGCTGACGATTGCTATCTGTGCTTGTAAGTGCCCCATTGTTCCCCAATTGGTTCTTCTGTGTAGCTAACCCAATCATAAGTCATGATCATCGTCTTCTTGAAGTATGCTTCCACGCGCAAGGAGCCTGAGCCCAAGAAAGTCAAGAAAGCGGAGCAGCCTGTTGTCGCCAAAGAAATCGCTACTGAACCTCGAGTGGTCCAAGATGGTGGCATCCAGACAGACACTCCTTCTGCTGAAGCGCATCTTGGCGAATCCCTTGGTTGAGATCTCGAACATAAATCCTAGACGCCTAACACCCCTCCTCTCATTTATCTACTCGATACTTTTCACTCCCCATGCCTTATAACCATCTGCCTCATATTATTTTCCTTCATTTGTCTTGGGTCTCATGTATCCACCCACTTCACCAGCCTCTCTTACGCACATTGTATCAACACCAATTAGACAAAAGCCGATTTTTATTTTACGGCCTACGCATGTACATTATATTCAAAATACAAAAATCACACCTTCATTTTCACAGCCCTAGAAGCCCTCGACTATTCCTTAACCCAAGGCACCTCTTCAGGGCGATACTTATAAGCCCTAAAAATCGCATTACTAGCATAATCAAATCCAATCTCCTCCATCTCTGTCAACTCCTCTTTCTTCATAACCTCCTTATAATCGCCCAGCTGCGGCACAACAAACTCCCAAACAACCTCACCTCCTCCAGTAACCTCCATAACCCGCCCACTAGCAGCTTCACAAATCAAAACATTCCCACCAACCAACTTTTGTGCAGACCCCATAAACGGTGTAAAAAAACCCAATCCCCCCGTCGAGAAATCCTTATACTCCCACTTAACAACCCCCTTCCTAGAAACAATAATCGCCCTCGAAAATGGCACCGAAATCCCAGGCCTGAAAACGCCATTATCAAGGATCAACATATCCCCCGCCTCATTAATCTCATGAGCACAATGCTGCTGGCTCACAACCGGCGCAGCAAGATGCCACTTGACCTCACCCGTAGCACGACTAATAACAAACACGCTCGATGCATTCCTCGACGAAGCAATGATATCCCCAGCCGAGTCAAACGAAACGCTGTTGATAAGCGGCCAGTGCTCACGCGTATAGTGCGCATGCGCAGCAAAGACTGCAGGGTCAAGATGGTCAATTGCACGCCATGACCAGAGGAGCTTGGCGCCTGATTTGCCACCGCTGCCGTCGAAGTCTGCAGATGAGGAGACGGTGCTTGTTGGCCAAGGCTGGACAAGTTTGATGCAGTCGGCGTAAATGAGACCATTTGGGGCTTCGGTGGATGGGATCCCGCCTTGCACGCGCGCTGCTTCGGCGCTGGTGAGCGGCTCCAGGGTCGTGTACAGAATTGTGCCATCATCGAGGTGGTTCTGGTCATGATGTGCTAGCGGGTCGCTGTATTGGCGGAGAATCTCGCCTTCTGGGCTGACTTGCATCATTACGCCACCCCGGTACTTCGCCCACATTGGGAAGAGGTTGGGGGCGTCTGGGTGCGCGCCGTTGTAGGCGAGGTTACCGTCGGCGAGGATGCGAGCGTGTCGGCCGGCGCGATGGGGAAGAGCCCAACGGTGCACTTCTTTGCCTGTTGTGGAGACTAAGTGTGCTGTGTTGGAGGTGAGGGGTGCGTATAGAACGTAGCCTGGGGAGACGCGCTCAGCGTCAACTCCGCGGAGACCGAGGCCTCGGCGGCGGAAGGTGTGTTGCTCCATTGAAAAAGGGTCAATTGATTGAAAAGATTGATTTGGAGAGAAGAAAAGCAATGCTGATGAAGGAGACTTTATGTTTGGCGAAATCGAGGGAAGTGGATTATACTCGTTCTTTTTAGGGTTTCCCGGTCCGGCATGCCGCGGTATGCCGCGGGAGATAAGTATTAGCCAAGAGACGTTCGATATGGCGTGAGATAAGCCCATTATATGCTAATCAGTATATTTCAGTGTGAACTTTGTTGATCCCATGTGTATTGTGTTTAATCGGGTGTAATGTGGAGAAAAGGAGACATGGTAGAGATATAGAAAGGAGAGTATGTCCCCGATGTATAGTTTCAATTTGACCAGTTCACTTCCGCTTTTTATCTTGGGCTACTCATCGAAATGAACAACTATAATGAATCTATCCAGAAGTCACAGTCTGAATCGGAGACAGTGAAGCCCCATCATTCTTTCTTTCATGGAAGATTCTCTATTGAAGAAGGTGGCATCGAACGGGTCACCGATGAAGAGCGACAACAGAATACAACCAAGTTCTGGCATGCTGCTACATTCTGGTAGGTCTGATATTTGAGTAAATATTAATCACCACTGACATATATCTTTCTGTTCATAGGTTCAGTGCAAACATGGCCGTGGCCACCCTCAACATAGGCTCCCTAGGAGGTTCTATGGGCCTTCCGTTCTGGGACTGTTTCATCGTCATACTCCTGGTCAATATCACAAGCAACTTGTTACCAGCCTGGACATCTGTATTTGGGTTAACCGGGCTACGCATGACAACGTTCTCGTGAGTAATCTATTCATGACCAACTCTCTCTGCACCGAATGTTCTACTGACACACAAATCCCTCAGACGATACTCATTCGGCTACTGGGGAAACATGCTCGTCGTCATATTCTCCATGATCGCCACAACAGGTTGGAATGCAATCAACTCCATCTCCGGTGCAGCTGTGCTGCATGCCCTGTCAGATGGCCGATTTCCCATATGGGCCGGCGTCATCGTGATCTGTGTGGCTGTTTGGGTTATCTGCGTTCTAGGTATCAACTGGATTCATCGTATTGACACATTTATCTGGATCCTGCCTTTGATTGTGTGGTGTGTTGCAGCTGGAACTGGTGCTTCTCAGCTCACCAGCGAGGACCATGCACAACTTCAGGGCACGGATAAAGCTGCTGCTATTCTTACGTTCATGGCTTTGATTTTCTCCTTCTCGGTCTCCTGGGTGAATTGCGCGGCGGATTATAATGTGCGCATGCCCAAGGATACACCGCGCTGGAAGATCTTCAGCGCTACCTATGTGGGCATATTTGTTCCTACTGTGCTTGTCCAGACTCTTGGTGCGGCTTTATATACAGGTACGATCACGAATTCAGCATGGAAAGAGGCGTATACGGTGTCCTCGATTGGAGGGTTGCTCAAGATGGCATTAGAGCCCGCAGGGGGTTTTGGGAAGTTCTTGATGGTGCTTGCAGCATTGAGCTCAATTCCAGTGAGTTAATGAGTCTGCCAGTTGGCGTTGGTTTCAAAGGTTGCGTGCTAATTTTTGGAAAAGAATAACATCCCAAACAACTACTCCTTTGCACTACACGCACAGAATCTGGGACCGTGGGCTGTGCGCATTCCCCGTGTGGTTATGGTCACCTTTGGATTTATCGCGGCGATAATAATCGGCTGTTGTGCAGCTAGATATTTCTCTGATACCCTAGAGACATTGCTTAGCGTGATTGGGTATTGGACTATAATCCATATCACTGTAGTGATTGAAGAACATTTCATTTTCCGGCGTGGGTGGAATGGATATGATTTCGATGCTTGGAACAGCATCGCTTATTTGCCATTTGGATGGGCTGCGATCGGGGCTTTCGCCTTCGGGTTCGTGGGTGCTGCCCTTGGTATGAAAACCGCGTGGTATTCAGGTCCTATTGCTTCTTTGATTGGCAACCAAGGTGCAAATATAGGTCACGAGTTGACATTTGCGTTCTCTGGAGTCGCATTTCCTCTGCTTCGGTGCCTTGAAAAGCATTATGGGGGCAAGTGAAGAGCTATTGCAATGTTGCCGCATTATATCGTTCTTGTCTCGTTTTTGTCTCATCTCTCAGGTCGCTTGGTATCTTAGTCAGGTCTCCCTGGGATAGATGAGCTTTCCGGAAAGAGGCCCATATTGGACAGAAGATCCCAATTCCCGTCAGCCGACATCCCCAATCCAAGAAATTCCGGGAAATAGTAATTGTTAAGTTCGCCAAGTAGCTCGTCTGGTTGTGGATTTGCTGGTGGTAGCTCGACGTGCGGTCGTAATTTTTGATGCACCTTCGCGATGATATTCCCCAAAGTATGCGCTGCATGGCATGGCAGCCCAATGCAGTACAGCCACTGAACTAGGTCACGTACGAGTAATTCAAGCTCGTCGATGTTGTGAGTCGTGGCAACCTGTTCTTGGTACGCATTCAATAGGCGACAGATGACAATCGCCGCAAAGGTGATCATGTGGTAGATGTGATCGGTCAAATGGCGGGTGCGTTCATCTACTGTATCCATGGCTAGTTGCACTATTGCCGTGGAATGGCGAATCATCTCCGACACGACTGATTCCCGGGCTCGGGAAGACTTGGCTTTCAGGGCATGCTCGTACAGAAGCAGGTGGCAGAAATGGAAGCCCATTGAAAGAAACTGAGATCTCGGTTGCTCTGATCACAAAATCGATTAGAAGGATTGAGGTAATATAAGGAGGTAATATAAGCCAAAATAACATACCGAGAACAAATTCCCATTTTCGTCGCCAGGTCTGCAAAGCTGCCACGGATTTCAACAAATCAACCGATTCCTGAATGAGATGCTCATATACAGCCCAGTAAAGATAAATCTCAGCCACCATGCGAACTTCAAAATTTATCGCATGATCTGAATTAATGATAGCACGACATCGCTCGATTTGCCAGGGCTGTAGCATTGATCGACGGCTAGTGCCAACACAATAATGCATATGAGCAAGACAGAGATGATTCCATAGGTAGCAATTACCCATAGTTTCCTCATCCAATATATTTGGAGGATGAGATTGAGTCGTGACAGCAGTAAACAGTGGACTTGAATGGGAGTGTTGTAGAGCGAACCCGCTCAGAAGCCAGCTATCAATACTCAGAGGCACCTGTCCGACAGTCGTCGACCACATAGACAGGACCAGGGTGGCCTGGAAGAATTCAATGGGCTGTGGAGCAACTAGAAGAGTGGTGGAAGCTAGAGAACGGGCATACTCATACAATTTCGGAGCGAGGTTTGCAGCCAAGTCCTCAGAAGTATAGCCGCACAGCGATCAGAGAACAGGCGCAGAATAGCAAGCTCGATTTTTTCACTCGGCAGAGAAGCTCGTTCGGCTCACACTCGGGATCGAAGAGAACCCATCTACCATAATATTCAAGGAAACTAAGAACACGTTAGTGACAATTAGCTATAATAAAGCGATTCATGTAAAGGTTAGCATACATTGTGATCAGCGTAAGTGCGAGATCGGGCGAAATCAGTTCATCCAAAACGGCCCCCAGAGATCTGGGATCGGACACTGGTTTGATGTCGCTGTCGGTTGCTAGATCACGAATGACCATGATCGGAGCCGCGGAAGACTCCGTGCCCTTATACGCACCGCCAGAACCCGGGCTCGCCTGTGCGGTGGTAGGCCTACTTGACTCATGGCCTGGAGTTTTTGCTGGGCCTTCTCCAAGCCGATCGAGTAGAGTAGCCACGGTCTTCTCAAGACGTTCCAAACTATGGAAACCTGTCAGTATGAGAGTAAACATAGGCTGGAGCATTCATACCGAGCATCCGTGCCTAGCGCGGGGGCTACAGATTCCTCGTCTGATGCAATAATTTGGATGAGTGAGCAACTCTGGTGAAGCCGATCGCATCGCATACATGCTCGTCCCGGAATTCCGGCCTCATAGCATCTGGTCTTTTGTTTTCTGCATGAGGTGCATGCTCGGGAGGCACGACCCCGGTCCGGCGGCATTTCGACCCCACAAACAGAGGCTGGCTCTCGAAATCGGATCTGATGATACAATGATCCCAAGTTGAAGTCTATGTAGACATGAAGCTACAACCGAAATGGGAATGGAGAGGTCACCTGATGCATCGGGTAGGGATAAAATAAGCTCCGGTCCTCGATAATGGCCCTCTACAATGGTCTTGGTCTATATATAGCTGATTTGCACTTGATAATTTGCCTAGATCCTCTGGAGTTGAATATGAAAAAAAATAGTTGTGTGCATTTAACTGTATCATAAGAGTTTCGTCTGGTTTTTATACCGTATAAAGTTTCTAGAAATCCATGCGCAATGCTATGCTCGGCGGAGCCTGCGGAGTATTGTCTGCCGAATCAGCGTCAGTCTTCGAAGTAACAGCTCCGACTCCAACACTACGAAGGACCTCCTCTAGAAGTGACTTCTGGTCTGCGTTCATAGTAGCTACCAGCGACCGGAAAGTAAGTTGATCGGCCTTGGCAAGCTCGAGGAGATGGCCCGCGGATTCTTGGTGCACAGACTCGCCTTCACGCTTGGCGCGTGCCAAAAGTGCCGACATGATGAGAGATGTCGCGGCGGGCAGCTCAGAAGTGCAGAAAGTGGCGTTGGAGATGCACGACACGAGCGTGCGGGCAACCACTGTGCGGGAGTTCTCTGGGTCGCTGGGGATATCGCCGTTGTCCAGGGGGCAAGCAACCAAGAAGGCAATGAGTCGTGGGGTGAGGTATCTGCTGATCACTTCGTCGGTGATGGAACGCGAACCTGGCTTAATGAGGATTGAACGGAGGCAGCTAGCTGCCACAGTAGCAAGACCGACGTCTTGAAGACAGTCAAGCAACTCATCTAGAACTCGGATCAAGACTGGCTCCTGGGGCGGGATGACGTGTGCGCCGGCAGTCAAGAGGAAAGTGATGGCGAGAAGCGTGTTCTTGGCGCACGGAATAGAGATATCCGATTCTCGTCGCTGAGCGATGGTGAGAATGGTCAGCAAGCGCGTGAGACAACCTCGAAGCTGGAATGACACGACCTCAAGGTCTTCGGGTGATTCCGATTCCGATTCCGATTCCGTTGCGTGGGTAATACCGTGAACGAACTGCCTGAATATGGGAAGAGCTTGCGGAACCACACCCGCTTGGCAGATGCCAGTTGCGAGGATAGTAGTGAAAATATGTAGGATACAAGCATGGAGATCGTTGCGAATGATGGATGGGAATACAGACGCAACATCAACAAGAGCATGAAGTGCCAAACGAATAAGAGCCAAAGACTCATCCGAGGTGACGTTGAATCGCGCGAGCGGTGTCGATTCGCGGAGATTGGGAAGCATTCCAGCAAGAACAAGAATGATGCTTCTTGTGAGCTCGAAGAGTTGCTCAATGTCATCAGAAAGATGGTCACTGCGTTCCAGATCACCCTTTGCTGCGGGGTGATCTAGGGACAGGTTTTGGGCAATCTCGACAATAACGGTCTGGATAGGAGTAGCTTCTGTCAACACAAGACGGTCGAAACTGTCCATGGTCTCTGTGAAAATTGCGTCTTGGTAGATGGCATTTCCACAGATAACGGGCCTCAGGATTCGCTTCAGAGCCTGAAGAATCTCCAATCGTTGCGATGCCGAAGTTCCTTGATCGACCAGGGATTCGAAAGCCAGCCCGAACAAGACAAAGAAGAATGCGACCGGCTCTTCGCGGTAATTAATGTCATGTCCCTTTCCTTCATCCTTCTTCTCTTTAAGGGCTTTTGCGTGTTTCTCCTCACCCTCACCCTCACCCTCAGCGCCGCTAGGCTCCTCGTGTAGCTGCAACTTGCCATCTAAAGCATCGAAAACAAAGTCGATATCTTTCTCGACGAGCCCAGCAATTGCATCAACCAAGTATAACCATGTGTCTTGGTAGAACTGAAACTATTATTAGCGTTCACCGGATATAATAGGTAGATTGGGGCTTACCTTCAATAAAGTCTCACGATTTAACGCGGCGTACACCTCATCCAAGTCACCGGTCGGGCTTGTCCCCAAGCTACCGGATATATCTGGCTCAAAGCGCAATCGAGCATATTCTTGAAGAGAAGAAAGCCATAAAGGTGTGAGTTTCGCAATATAAGGCTGGACCACCTGGGTCAAGTATTCTTGATCGATGCTTGCGATCTGGAGCCGGGCCCAGGCCGAGAACAGAGCGAGTTTGACCATAACTCGAGCATTTGAATTTAAACCCTTGAGATCACCGATTTCAGTAGTCTCCGAGTTCTTTGCGAAGTTCTCCAGGCCTAGCACCAACAGCTTCAGGATTCTCCCCATGCGGTCAACATTTGTTACGATACCTGTCGCAATGAAGGTCGCAGATACATTAATAGCCTCCGAGGCCAGCTCCGCAGAGGAATCAGTAGCGAAAGCAGGAGTAAGTGCAGACCCAATCTGAGCTTGATATTGTTCGAGGAGGGAGGCTTCAGCAAAGTCAGGATCCGGTGTCTTGCCGAACATGGTAAGAACCTGGTCGATGATCTTCAATCCCCATATGCGCAGCTCAATGACATTGGCGGTAGATGCGGAAAATGCCATTCTCACAATATCTCCGACGTTTTTCTGGAGAGCCAACTCCGCTGGGATGGCAGAGTCTGGGAGGATCGCCTCTTGAACAGTAGCCAGAAGTTCGGAGAGACAGCTCATGGCAAAGTTGCGGGTCTGCCACTTCAATAGTTCTTGGCCAGAGATGCTTTCGTTCGCAGCGTCACCTTGTCCTTCCCCAGCAGCCGAGGCAAATCCGGCAACCTCATCATCGGGCATATCGGCAGCTGCAGCTTGTACGGCTGTGTTAGGAGCTTCTACCTTGTGGCGTGTCTTGGTCATGATGTTCTGACAACGTTGGATCCACATCTCGGTTTCTGTCAAAGCAGTCTGCTGTAGCCAGTCCTGGATCATTGACTTGAGTGACTTGTTGTTCGGTGCTTCATCGAAAGCGAGCCAGATGTCATCTTCTAAAGACTGGCCCACTGTCTGCATCACAAACGATGCGTCTCGTTTCATGAGGTTGTTGAGCCCACGAACTGCCACATCTCGCATGAGGAAGTTCCTTGCCCGAAGCTCAGTCTGCAGTCGCTTCACGTACGCCTCAAGGTCGACATAACTCGCGGCATACATCGAGAAGTGGTCCAAACATTTGGAACTTTCCGTCACCAATGCTGGGTTTTCCTCCAATTGGAATTGGCGAAGCAGGGTCAAAATTAGATTTCGGGTCTTCGCAATGTCTTGCAAATCCGGCCCGAGAACATTGATGAGAGAATCCACGCATCGACTGATCACGACGGGTGTCAAGAATGACATTTCTATGTTGGAGGTCGCCAACGCGGCTGCCTCCTCATTGTGGGTATCGGCGATGTAGAGTTGAGCAAGCATCCCCAAAGAGCCTGAGACAAAAGGCGAGAATGTCAAGCCAGCGGAGTTCGCGACTCTCTCCAAGCCCCCAAGAGCCCAGAAATGGACAACTGGGTGAGGGTCATTACACAAAGACATTAAAACACCAACAATCGTTTTGAGGTGCAGACCAGCTGCCATTCCGCCAATCTGAGCATGAATACATCCTAGGGCAGCTGCACAGCCAGCTCTAGCATTAGGCTCTCTGTTCGCCACAATGGTATCAACAAGCCAATTAACCTGTGTATTGGTGCAGGTGTTCCCGGCACTATCGCAAAGTCGTCCAAGTGCTTCGGCACCGATTGTACGAACAATGGGATCAGCATCTATGACAAACTTCTGGAGAAGCTCTTGCAAGATCTTATCAGTGGACGGATTTAGCTTGCCAGGCACAAAATCTGTCTCCTTAACAGCAACTTTCAGAGTCTGTAAAAGGGCGACCGAGATGTTGACGACCAATGCTGTTTTCCTGCCGGGGTTTCTTTGTAGGCCGGGGGAAGTGAGGAATGTAGCGATCTGTTCCACACTGCTTTCCTGGATCTTGGAAGAATGAAGAGCCAGAGCCACAGAGAACAAACCGATTGCCGAGTTGACAACTCCTGTTGTTGGGGGATCAACGGCAACCTTATCTCCATCTCGCAAACTGTATAGAAGAACCGCGTCATGCTCGCTAGCTTCGCAAATAGGGAAAGTTAAGGTGTCGTCCACGACCTGGTCCACGGAATCAAGCGCAGACCAGGCAGGACTCTTGTCATCTTGCTGGGTGCCAGACAGTGTAGCACGGATATATTCACGGGAGAGTCCAGTGACACCAAATCCGTAATTATCACATAGATCCCATAGACCATCGAATTGTCCGGCAGAGCCGGAAATAGAGCTTTCTAGTTGCTTGTACTGGGCATCGGGGTCTGCGAATGAGGAAATAGCCAGGCTGAGAAGTCTGGACTGGGAAATAATGTCCCCATGACTGGGTGGATGAACATGCACAAGCTTCGAGAAACATTGCAATACACGTCGGCGCACCATAGTAGAATAATCTTGCAATTGCAGGGATGGGTGAAGCCTTTGGGAAAGATCTTCCATAGTCTTCGGTTTAGGCAACTGATCTAAAAATTCGACGGTGTTTTGCAACATTGCAGCAATTCTCTTTGCACCATCTGATGTGATCAATTTGCTGTTGAATTCCATGAACACTAGCAATGAGCCCAGTGCACACTCTCGAACATGAGTCAGGAAACTGATTTCAACAGTACCTGGCTGGGCAGCGTTCTCCTTTCCGAGGTGCTTGGGGAGTGCGTTCTTCCAGAGAAGCATTAATTGAGACAGATGAGTCTTGACAAAGCTGGGCCCCAGAGGCATCAAACCTCCAATTAGAATCCATGCCACCTGGATTTGGATGCTCGCAACTCGAAGCTCCGAAGTGCCGCTGGTCTTGAGAAGATCGGTTGCCTGAGTAAAAACGCGTGCGAACACATCCACTGCTCCATACAGTGGTTGTAGACGAGAAGTGCTGAGCATTGCAGATAGTCCATTGGCATAGCCAACACACCGGCGGGGCGACTGACGCGGTGTACCTAGCTGTCCGATTTCTCTATTCAAACTGTTCATGCAGATTGTCACGCATGACAGCAGCTGATGAGGAGCGGCTAGAACGAAGTTTCGCAGACAATGTGCAACATGGACTTGAACAGTATAGCTAGGGTGAGGAAGGACTTGAAGCAGAGCATCTCGGCAGTTATCAGCCTGAACGCTGAAGGCGGAGCCAAGTGATGAAATCAATGAGGACAAAGCGCTGACCGCACTCGTCAGTGTGTACTTGCTGGGCTCGCGACGTTCCTGGATAACCTGGGGGTAGTCCTTGAGGATATCGTTGATTAGCCATGTTGCGGCGTTGAGTTGACTGTTCTCACGCAGCAATTCCTGGCCAATAGTATCCTCAAGGATACTCTTGATAAACTTCCTGGTCATGAGTAGGCGGAAGCGGTTGTATGTGACAGTCGGATGATTCAACAACTCGACAAGCAAGTTCGTCGCAATCTGACCATACCGCTCTTCGACAATCTTGTCCCCAAGATTGCGCAGAACATATTTGTAGCATATACAGATCCCAGCGCGAGAGCGATTCGAAGTGGTACTCTTCAAATATTGGGTCGAAAGCTGCTTCAACAAGTCCGGAAGAAGGAAGTACAGGCGCGAGTCTGTTTTCTTAGGAGCCGACGACTCTGACATCTCGGCATCTTCCTCATCTCCAAGCCCCGCACCAGGTTTCTTCGACATGCGCTTCGATTTCTTCGATTTCGGTTTCGGGGTGGCCGTTACGTGCGCATCCGTAGCATGTAGATTAATCAGTGCCCGACCGAGAACCGCAGCTACGGCGTGCCGCACCGGCGCAGCTGGGCTGTCGATAACCTTCCATACAAGGGTTTTGAGGTGTTCGAAGTCATGAGCGTTATCGAAGAATGGTGTTGTGGCAACCAGCTGCTCCAGGCAGCGGCATGCATGGACTTGGACGAAAGTGGATTTGTCACTGATAGCAGCATTTCGGGCCTGTTTCCAGATGTCGCGGGCAGTTCCTTCATCGATCGGAACCCCAATTCCAACAACAACCTTGCGCATTACTGCAAAGATAGCCCCCCTTAGACCGGTGTGATTGCTTGCTGATTTCAGCAGTTTGAGAGCGCCCGAAATCGCAACATTGGACTGCATGAACGCGCTATCGCCAGCTGTTGCAAAGACATCCCCTAGACAGTGCGCCGCAGCGAATTTGGTCTTCAATTCGGCTTCACTCTTGCCAGCATTTACAATTGCCAGTAAATCAGTGATTGTTTCGAAGAGGATCCCACGATCCCCTTTGCTGAGTATTGCGCCAAAACATCGCCCTAGATTGGTGCGGAGGACACGAGTGATAGTCGGTGAAGGGAGGTTCAATATCTTGAACAATTCCTTCTTGAGATCCTTTTGTTGCGATGTAACTTCCGCTGTTTCCAATCCAGTTATGTATTGTACGAGGTCGGAGGTGAACGTAAGCATGTACAGTTCCTGTTGTTCGGAGGGGAGGGCGTGTAGTTTAGGGATGTCGAGCTCAGGGACCACATTTTGCGGAGGAGAGGGTGGTGTATCGGAAGACATGAGATAGATTCAGGGCAAGCGTAGCCCCATAAGAAAAGAAGAAAGAAAAAAAAAAAAAAGGTGGGAGTATTTAGTTCACAGTAGTTGCGTCAACCCCATGTTCTCCTTATCGTGTGGCCTCACGGTCTGCGGAGATCGGATAAACAGCCGCCCGAGGGAATCTCAATGGAGATTGGATCTTCATCTACAATATACGAAAGAGAAGCATCATGGCTCTCAGGCTTAGCAGGCTGCTGCGGCAGCCCCGGGTTGATTCTGCCTGTTATGAGTGTCGCTACTTCAGCGCCTCATCGGCCATTCTCTCCGGTCACAATAAATGGTCTACGATCAAGCATGACAAGGCCAAAAACGACAAGGCCAAGAGCAGGGAACGCCAAATAGTGGCAAAGGAAATCGCCAGTGCTACACAGAGTATGTATACTCATGCAATTGTTCATATATGAGATCCTAACCTTCTGTTCTAGTGTGGGGACCCGACACGAAGTACAATCCTCGTCTAGCCCTCGCGCTGTCGAATGCGAAACGAGCCTCTATCCCGAAAATCATTATCGAGGCAGCAATTGCTCGCGGACAAGGACTTAGTGTCTCGGGTCAAGCACTAGAATCTGTGACAATTGAGGCCATGCTTCCTGGTTCGGTGGCTGCGGTTGTGGAGTGTCAAACGGATCAGAAGGCGCGCGTGCTACAAGACGTTCGCTATATGATTAAAGACAGCGGAGGAATTGTCACCCCAACTACATTCCTTTTCGACAGGAAGGGAAGAGTTGTTATGGAAAAGAAAGATGGTGCAAATGTAGACGACTACTTGGATCAGGCGATCGAAGCAGGCGCGGCAGACATCACCACCGATGACAAGGATCGCCTCATGATCTTGACCGATCCGTCAGAGACCAAAACTGTGGGCGAGACATTTTCGAAACTGTCAGGTCTCAACATTGAGGAATTGGAGATCTTCTGGGATCCCAACAGGGATAGCATGGTCGAGGTCAAGGACGAGGAACAGGTGAAAGAACTTGAAGACCTCTTGAGTGCCCTGCGAGAAGATCCTAGTGTTCAGGAGATTTACCTGAACTCGATAGAGAAGTTCTGACCTCTCTAACGCTATGCTGTGGTCAGTCTGAAACCGAGACTGTCTCATATCGATGGCTGAGCATGTACAAATATGTATTATACCGATACCAAGCATTTAAACGGCGTTATGGGAACTTTCATTTCTAGAACTGGTGTCAATTCTCACCGAACTATTATTATTACTCTTTGCGCAAAGCCTTCATCGTGCTTCTCATCAAAATGCTAGTACCCCGGCACCCAATCGCATCCAACCAATCCAGCATATGTACACGGTACTCCTGCCATGTAATCTTGGCACCACCATCCTTCTCCAATGCCTGTAGCGCTTTTTGGGTGACTGGCTTTCTCAATTTCGGGCGGTGATCCGCAACCTGTTGGTCCTCTTCCAGATCCGCAAAGCAAGCTGCAGACAGATTGCAGAATGCAGCGTGGTGGCTGAGAGAGAATATCGACGTAAGATTAATGTGGAATGCACTTTCGCGATCATAGTGTCTGGTTGCCTCTGACAAGTCTTTGATATAGTTTGTCAGAGCAGTGGCGGTCGGTGCTGGAACGAGACAGCCTAGCGCATTCGGGTCTTCGGTGTTCAGTGCACGGTTGCGCCATAACACATTACACATGTCCATGACGTACCCGTTGAACCGACCAACGAGTTCTGTTCCATAAGCCGGGGAGTTTTGTGCTTGGAGAACTTGGGAATTCAGAGAAGCCTCGAATGCAGATTTGTAGATGGCCAAGATGGAGTTGAGGGTGGAGATCACGGCAACACTGGGTGTGAAGGCGAGTGTGTATACAGTTTGTGCGTGCGGAAGTGTGAGGCGGAAACGGCCGTCTTGGGGTGCGTGAGAAAATAGTTCTGAAAGGGCTCTGTAGAAGTCGAGCACAGAAACTGTAGCTGGCTTGGACTTTTTATCTTCGTCCTCCACCGAAAACTCTAAAATCGAAGATGCTAGGAGCTCGGCATGCACGATGACTTGACTCAGATGAACTGATTCTTCTGTGGCATCTGACTGCGATCGAAGTTTCACGCCCCATTGGTTGACCAATGCTGAATAGAACCCGAGCAACGCTGTCCTGGAACGAAGAGACTCATCCAAAACAGCTGACTCCAGTGGTGACAATAATTCACTCCGAAGAGACTTGAAAGACTCGAGTGGGATGTACTGGAGAAGGCGGAAAACCTGGTCACGATTATTCTTGCCATTCCACATTTGTAGATAAGACTTTAAAAAGGGACGTATCGAGGATGGGAGGTCCTAAAGTTTTGTCAGTGTCTGGGTTGACAGTGATCTGTCCAAATAACTCACCTTGGTATAGGATGCATATCCCACAACGAAATCTAACACATATGATAATGTCTCGGGCTCATCATCTTCATCCTCACGTAGCGTCTCCAGCCTATCCTCCAGGAAACTTCTCAGCCATTCATTTAGACGATGATGCGCAAGTTCGGATTGGACCAGGTGAAGATACTTCTGAGCCATTGCATCGCCCAAAGTTGAGATAATCTGATTTGGTAACTCGATCTTGTCAAGCCTATCGACAAAATGGCCAATGTCACGAAGCTCCTCCAGGGAGGTGTGCTTATGAGATACCCGTGAAGTTTGTAGAGTCGGAATAACAACTTCAATCCTACTTCTTTTCACAGTCCCCCGATGAACAACTTGGAAACTCGATCCCTGGCCGGCCTGTACTCTTTCCATATTTTGATCTTGAAGCACCTTCACATGGCTTGACCACTCGGGGTCTGGATGTTTGAAGAAGAGGGCATTCCTTCTTGATCCTCCAAACTCACCGAGAATGATCTCGGGGTAATAATTTTTGAAAATCCTCAGAAGGCTGATAAGCTCTCTGTCTTCGCCACCAGCAATCTGAATCAACTCCATCAAGGCTTGAATGCGGAATGGCTTGACGTGTTTTCGTCTTGTGATAAGCGAGAGAAGATGACACAGTGGTTTCCGCAAACTAATCATGTCCAAGTGGTTGAAAAGAACAGCATAAAGTTTGGCGAGATGCGTCCTTTCTTCGAAAAGATCATACGCAAGAATCAACCAGCGCAATAGTAGAGCCTGTGTGGCGGGGCTCGGTTTGTTCTTGCTGGGCCCAAGACAGCACACCACTTGAGTGACATTCTTAGACGCAATTCTCTCCTGGGGGTAGAGGTTTTTGATCAGCGTTGTAACTGTGCCCTGGTCCAGGTTATTTTTCGTGGTCAAAATCTTCAGGAGACGGGCCAGCACGGGTTGCGGAATGCCGCTCTCGTACGCGTTTGAGGCGATTGTTTTGGTTAGTAGACTTGCATCTGTGTGTCTCTGTTTGGGCGGGACAAATGCAACTGCCGGCTCTCATTAGTAAAATGTTTTACTATCCATCTCACATGAGTGAGCTTTTGGGCCATACCGGCTTCCAAGTGCTCGACCGCATCAACCAGGCCACTTAGTTGGTCGCTTCCTGAAGAATTGTTAGCGTAGTTCGATTGAAAGGATATAAAACCAGCTTACCTGTTTCAATATCCATCTACACTAATTGTAATGCAAAATTTCCCACAATTGGTGTGTTGTCGAGGGCGATAGGATGTAGTTTGTTTGAGTGGTCGTATTTGGCGCGTAGTTGCACGATGCCGCGCTTCCTTCAATTACGCGTGTCGAAAATGCAACGAAGTTTTGTCCAGTTCAATTCTCTGTGATAATTTTGAGCCTAATAAACTAAAGGAATGAACGTTTTTAGTGCAGATCCGACGACAATTGCATAGAAGAACGAGTGGGCGCGAAGATGCGAAAATGGCCTTAAACCCAATCGGGTAACCATCAACATCCCCGTGGACAGCTTCTACCACTATTATTATAAACGACCACCAACTCGTATCATATCACAAGTTTGTCTCGTCTACTTTCATGATACAGGATAAGTAAGTTCAGAACTCTAAAGTGGTTTTCTCGAAGAATCCTAATTAAAAGAATCGGAATTAAACATTGCTTGCTACAACATCGTAATAATTATGATCCAATGCTCACCAGCATCATGCCAAGAGTAGTAAAATCGAGTGATTCACTACGTATGCAAAAGTCGTTGATCCCAGGCTCATCGGCCTATTGGCCGACAAGACCTGCATCTAAACCGTCGTTCATTTCCTCTTGCGGGTAGAGGACTTGGAGGTAGCGTTGGAAGAGGATTGAGTAGCCACTTCCTCCTTGTCGCCCTCGATAGCAGGAGTAGCCTCCTTTTTCTCCTCCTCGTCGTCACTGTCACCTCCCTGGCCGAACTCGTTGACGCGCTTGTAGTCAACCTTGTACTTCCAGCCCTGGTAGAGCCAGACGAAGAAGATGACGTCGTCGCGAAGAGTTGCCAGGCGGTGGAGCCAGGGCATCTTGACGGTGAAGGCGAAGAGATCGTCGATGAAAGTGTTCAGGAACTTGTAGGTCAACGCCTTGCCGGGCATGTGCGCAACAGATTTCAGCCGGTAGTTGATGTAGAGACTGGGGACCATCATGAGGAAGCCGTAGGCGTAGACACTGCCGACTAGGGTCTGGATAACGTAAGAGTACCAGGACTTGTGAGTGTTGTAGACCAAACTGTACGCGGCATATGCGAGCAGAAGGGGAACAGCCAGGATGTACAAGTAGCGGAAGGCAATCTCATCGTACTCCTTGGTCTTTTCCTCGGTCTCGCTAAGCTTGTGCTTATCCTCGAAGACAACTACATAGGGCAAGAAGGACAACCAAGAGTTAGCGGGCGGCGGGCGCAAGCGAACATCGACGGTCTTGGTGATCTTCCAGAATTCTAGAAGGATACCAAATCCTTGACTGGCCAGGATCATCCAAGAGGTGTTGTCGCTGTTATCCATGAGGTAGAGGAAGATGACAGCCTGCATGAAGACGTTTGCCAGGATTGTCCGAACTGAAGTACCAACAACATCCTTCTTCTTACGCCAGTGGGCCTAGAAAGTGAGAATGTTAGCGGTGCTGGACACCACACCTTCTAATGGTGAAGTATCACTTACAATATCGTTCTTGAAGGCCAAAGTCTCAAACAACATATGGAAAACAGTGACCACACCCGTGGTGCAGAGGAGCCAAATGTTAGTATCCAAGAGAATCTCCTTCACCATCTCCCACTCGGTTCCATCTCCACCACCGGGAACGGGCTTGCCATAGGCAGCCTGGCGAGCACTTTGCTTAGAGCCTTCATCAACACTGCTGATGATGTTAAACTTCCAGTTCGCCATGTTGTTGAGAGTAATATGCAAAGGCAGGGTCTCGACGGTAGAGTTCAACTCGGTCATGTGGGTCTTCAGTTGCCAAAAAGTGTTGAAGAAAGCGATCGGGTAGTACCATCCGTTCTTTCCACTGGCATCGCGGGCACCAGTGCGCTCCAACTGCAAATACTGCCGAGCCGCGGGGTTCATCTGGGCCATCTTCAAAGTTCCGGAGTCTGGGATCATGGACAGGGTGAAATTGGGGTGATAGTATGACGCGGTTGTAACATCCGGGGTGTTATCTTCTTCCTGGTTGTCTTCATCCTCGGGAGCCGACAGAAGATTCTTCAGCTTCTTGACCTTCTTCTTGGGAAGGTACTGGTTGAGGGGTCGGAGGAAGTGGACTGCATCAGCGGTGTTGTAGTCCTTAGCGGTGGGGTCTAACGGGTATCCGGTGCGAGCCAAAAAGAAGTGAGCCCAAAGAGTTCCATTATTTTGGACCTGCTTTGGAACCTTGATGGTAGTGTCGATTTCGCGAGTGTCACTGTAGTTTCCAAGTGTGAAGTTCTTCTCATCCAGCACAAGAGTACTGTCCGGTGACTTGAAGTTAGGCACAATGATAGACGGCGTTACATAAATGCTGAGATCGACAGCGCTGTCGGAGGGCCAGATTGGGGCGATGGTTTCAGGGAGAGCACTGTGTTCAGCGACTTCGCTAGGATCGGGGCGATCGGCAAAAGCGGGGATGCCACCAGAATTGACGCTGGTAGAGTCTGTCTTATCCTTATTTCCCATGTACTGGTTGATGGCAAATTGGGCCAACAAGAAGATTCCAAGACCCTGAAGGGCACCCTTGAAGCCCGACTAAAGGAGGTCAGTAAATTCAACACAACAACACTAAATCAGCAACACGTACACCGGACTCCTCCTGTCTGCGTGGCCTCTGTTCCGACATGATGGATGAGGAAGAAAAGAGAAGAGGCCAGAAGGGCAGCTAACGTGGGCGATTAACACGCGATTAGATTGAGGCCCGGGAACTGGCGCGGTCTTGGCATTTAGTCTTCCGACCCTCCGGGCATCTTCCTCTTATACTTGTTAGCTATTAAATAGCTTTGAAATTGCAATCGCGTGATGGATAGCGCGTCTGGCCATTGGCGTTGACCCTCATGGACAATAACCCCCCTTTTGATGCCCGCGTGCAATTCCCGTCGCATAATGAGCCTCGAGTATGGCTCATCACCGCGGGGGATTCGCCTATTGGCCTCTCAGTGGCGCGCCAGGTCCTTGCGCATGGAGATTGTGCATTTCTTGGACTAGCACATTCAGCCTTGGAACGCGATGAACGTCGCCGTGATGAATTTGAGACTTTTCTCGGTGAGGTGGAGCAGCATGATGGCTGGGCACAGCGCATCAAGACAGTTCCGCTAGATATCCGGTACGCTACATCAAAGCAGTCAAGTCAGTTATGGATTTTTATCTTGGTTGCTGACAATTTTTCGATACAGAATGATGGGAGAGTGCCAGGCAGTCGTGGCAGATGCAGTCGCAACATTTGGAAGAGTAGACATACTTCTATGCTGTACAAGTCAAGGTGACTCTCTATTCTTGAATGTACTCTTGAACAATATACTGACCTACTCCTCAGCCCTTATTGGAACAGTTGAAGAACTTTCCGCTTCAATCCAAACCATGAATCTCGTACGCGATCAATTCGAGGTTAATTATTTCGGCCCTCTCAATATCATCAAGGCCACACTCCCCCATATGAGGAAAGAGCGAGCAGGTCATATGATGATAATTTCAGGGATTAGTAAGAAAGATATCTCGCCCAGTGCTTGGATGTTTGTCTGATGATATATAGCGGCGCATATCGGTACACCCGGACTAGGAATGTACTGCGCAGCAGGTTGGGCCCTTGAAGGATTCTGTGATGTCAGCCTCTCTATGAGCACTTGATTAAATTATCCACGTCGCAGAAACTAACCAGCTTTGCAGAGTCTGGCTTACGAAATTGCCCCATTCAACGTCAAACTCACTATCTTCCAATGCAGCATCGAGATTGGCATCCTCACCAACCTAGTAACCAGTGTCCCTCCAATATTTCCCGCCTACTCACCCGCCAACAACCAAGCGCCTCTCTTCCGCGGGATCTTAAATCACCTTGTCCCCCAACTTCCCGATGCTTCTGTCTCATCTGATAGTCCTGTCACACCTAGTCGAGTGTACGACGAAAACGCCCGAGTTAGCTCCATTGAAAATGGCCCATTCTCCGCTTCGGAGGTTGTATCAATGCACCCACCATTAAGCTCCGCGCATCTTGAAGTGCTTGTGGCTGAGACAGTCTATGCCATTACATCAATTGGCGGTCATGAAAACCCTCCTTCGCGACATATCGTTGGGCAAGAGGGTGTTGCGAGTGTCAAGGAGAAGCTCAAGACTGTTAGTGAAGAGCTTGAAGACTTTATACAGGCCAGCTTCGCTGTTGATGTTGCCGCGGACTCAGATCCTATCCCCGGTATATCTGAAATGAATGAAGGGCCTTGATGAAGAGTATCAGCCTGCAATTATATTTATCTCTCAATTAACCAATAAGCTCGGGCTTTGGATAGCTATGTAATTCTCATTCTACCTGGCCGTCGACTTATATCACTTCAAATATCAAGAGACTACGCTATCAACAATGCTAGTTCTACCACGCCATCCCATCGACAAGAAATACGAGAAAAGACTCCACAAAAGTGAGAATAAGGAGTCCAGTTAAATAATCCCTTCCGAAACGGGCGTCATGAGTGAGGTACTTCCTGTATAGTTCAAGAGGCCCTACTTTCCATCGAATATTTTGTCGGTCCAATTCAATTCCTTGTTCTGTGTCCCGCGTAGTTCGTTGCTCTTGGCCTGAATATTTTACCTGACAATACCTGGTGATTCCCATTTTAGCCCCGTACCTCTCGCCGGCTATGGGCAGAATCACGCCCGGATCAGCCACACCATTTGGTTTGAGTTCGTGGGACAGCCCGCTTGAGCCTCATCCCTGCATGCGATACGAAGTGCCAAGCTAAATATGGGCTAGATGAAGCATATGAAATACGAGACCGGGCTACGAACAACGAGAGACCTGGGTAGAACACGAGCTTCTCCGTTAAAGCATCAAAAGCAAAGGTACAGGGGGGTTTTCAAGCCTAGACTAAATGGTATAAGACTGGACTCAATTCCCAGGGGTTAACGTCAAATCATATCTACTACTTTCTACATACTTATCTTCACCAGGACCTGACATTGCAAGTCCGTTCTTAAAGTTCCTGACTTCTTTATCTCAAAGGCAACTGCCCATCCATGCTAGACTCCTACTTGTTAATTTGTTTGTAGAATATTACCAGACCTTAGGGTTCATTTGCCTTAGGATTCATTTGTTCATCGATAGCTAGCTACCTCGAGTGATACATGGACTATTTTCCATTCGGATCTTCACATGATATCAAGGGTAGTGTACGCGAAATTCAAATGATCTCTTGTATCGGTATTTCCATGCTAGAAGTGGGAGGTAGCTACTCTAGTCGTCCATGCCGGAGGTACCAAGCCTCTCGCACATCAAAAAGGCTACCCATGTCCTGATTATTTCGGTAGCACCGGATTTCCTTCCAAGCATTCGATGTACGAGCATTCGGCATGCGGCCATCAATTTGTAGGATCTTAAGGACGAGTGCTTGTGGCGAAGAAAGATTTGGAACAATGATCTCGTCCGGCTCGCTAGTAGTAGTTTGAGATGAAGTCGGGACTGGGACCTTCTGTTGTTCAGTATTTGTGGGTTTAGTGACTTCGTCCTGCTCAGCCTCAACGGATGCAACAGTATGTACCCCAGCGGGGGCCTCGATGGGTGCCTCAACGCTCTCCACGGGAGGATCGGACTGGGCTGTGGATAATTCCAATAATTCGGCATTTTTATCATTTTTGCCATTGGTATTGGGAATAGATGATTCCTCTACTGGTGTAGATAGCTCTGGCACAGGGAGCTCGGTGGGCTCAGGTGTGGAAGAAAGCACTAAGAAGTGGGGCTTTGACTGGGAGGATTCTGCTGTAGCTTTGTCGTTTTCTTTAATCTTCGAATTCAAGATGGCCATGAAAGAAAGAGGAGCAGTTGAGCTTTGTTCGTCACGTTGGGACACTTCTGTTTCCTGAGGCACCTCCTGCTCTTTGGGCGGCTCTGGCTCGGATTGTTTTGGTGGGATTTTACGTGGTCGTCCTCGCTTGCGTTTCACTGGGGGTTGAGGTTCGGGCTCAGGAATTGTGCGCTTGGGCTTTTGATTTCGCGTACCACCAGGGCTAAAGATAACAACGCTGAACGGGGTTTCTTCTTGGTTCTCCTTATCATTCGAAGGCGCAATGACTGGCTGTGCGGCGGTGTCCGTGTCAATATTCATCCCGTCGGTGGTAGACACGGGGATCCCGTGTCCGTGTGGCGCTCGGCCATTCTCAACCTTCATTTCCTCGTCACTGAAAGATACAGAGACCTCCTGTGGCGCTTGATCGGTGTCGAGCTTCATCTCCTCGCCATGGGATGTTGAATTAATGAACTGTGGCTCTGGGTCCTGGTATTTTAACTGTTTATCATTCCAAGGTGATGTCGCTGGATGTGGCTCTGTCTCAAGGTCGGCTTTCACATTTTCCTTTTCCTCCTCTGGTGTGGGACATGGCTCTACTTTGTCGAAGTTGCTGCGAAGAAAGACTCGTTCACCAGGTGGAATCGCAAAAGTCAATTTTACCCCATCACGGCCAAGGACCTGTAGCAGTCAGGAAATGGCGCAGCTGTATGAGGAGTGGATAGATTTATACATACCCTGACTTCCTTTTCGATGACAATTCTGCCGGTGCCTCTGCCGTAAACATAATAGAATTTCCAAATATCGCCCAGCTGGATGACACCCTGATCGATAAGAGTTCCCATCTTTACACGCGCACTTTCTCCAGCAGGTGCTTTCCAAATGACTTTCTGCTTCTGTCCCCAAAACTGCTCGTATTCACGCTCTTTGAAATCGTCAAATTCGCCATTTTCGCGCTGCTCTCTGGCTTCCTGCGCCTGGCGCAGCCATTCAGGGTCGTAGCGGCCGTTTTGGAGGTCCAGCTGGAACTGTCGAACGGCGTCGCGCCAGTTGTTTGAGTAGCGGATAAAAGAGTCGGGTATGGGCGGTATCTTTGCGTCTGGGTCATCCGATGTAGCTTGTGCCTCCGGGTGAACATCTGGGGGGAGTAGAGCAAGGATTTCGCGCTTGTCGCTTTCCTCGAGACAATTCCATGCATCAGGTTGTGCCAGCAGTTTCTAGATATTTTGGACTTATCGTTAGCATGAATCATGACGTACCGCATGTGTGAAGGATTGCCTCATACCACTAGATCAAAGTCAATAAGGAGGGATTTGTCGCTCGTAAATAAATGCTCCTCGCTCCATTTCCCTCTAGCGGCTGGCCTTCTTGGGGTTCTAGCTCGTGAGCTCGCTTCGGATTTTGGAGTCGACATGGCGAGACCCAACTGTTCTGCTACATCGGCAGAACTAGCAGCAACACGACTAGGGCATCATTATAAGACGTCAGTAAGAAAGAGGGTGAAATGTAATTGCGGAGCTTACCCCGAACCATGTGGTTCTGCCACACGGGACCTCTCTACCGCTTTCGTGTCTCTCTTCCTCGGAGCCATTCTCACGGCAAAACAAAGGAGAAAGCGCTGTCCTTCAGAACAAGAAAGCAACGTTTTCAGGATGGTTAGGTCAACGCAAATTGCAAGGCTCGATGGTGAGGAATTCTCTAGGAGGTTGAGAGGGGTAGAGTACTGATGTTGAAGTGAAATAGGCCTTATGCTGGCAGCTTCGGTCGACGACGAGCAGGTATGTGACGACGATTATTTAAGCTAATCGTGAGCTTACGATATGTTTAGGCTGAATCAGAGCTCTCTGAGATTAAGGGTCAGGCTAAAATGATCTTTCGGCGCTTGAATCGCAACTCCGCACCCCAAGCCAGTATTGAGTCTGGTCAATACAGTCTACAGTAAGTCGCACACACAACATTATCAATGGACAGTTTCTCACTTGCCATGCAGCTACACAATCCAGGATGATATCTGCTTCCTATGCATTTGTGACAAGTCCTACCCCCGCAAACTCGCCTTCACCTATCTGGCTGATCTGGCCTCCGAATTCACAACTACCTATTCCTCCTCACAATACCTCTCACCCAGCCTCCGTCCATATGCTTTTGTCGAGTTTGATACCTTTATTCAACGCACAAAGAAACTGTACCAAGACGGTCGCGCATCTCAGAACCTCGACAAGCTGAACGATGAGCTCCGTGATGTCACCAAGGTGATGACGAAGAATATCGAGGACCTCTTGTATCGCGGTGATAGCTTGGAGCGGATGGGCGAACTTTCAGGGCGACTGCGCGAGGACAGCAAGAAGTACAGAAAGGCAGCTGTACGCATCAACTGGGAATTGTTGTTGAAGCAGGTGGGTCTATACATTACCCCAGACTCCCCCTGACCGATTGGCTAACCATCTCACAGTACGGACCTTTCGCTGGCGTCGGGCTTGTGATTTGCATTCTTCTTTTCTGGCGATTCTTCTGATTCCTTCCTCTCCGTGGCCGTGCTCATGGGCCTCGCTGTATGAATGTACGCATAGTTAATACCTCGGTGATTGCGGGTTACAATCCGCCGATTCTAGAATATGGAGAATTGCGTGAACATGTATCATATTTGATGATGTCTAAATCTCATCCTCTTCTTCGTCGAAATCGTCTTCTTCTCCCATGTCGTAAAGAATCCGGCCTCCTTCGCCTGGGCCATCGCCATGCTGTGCGTCGAAGTATGGCAACACAACACCTTCTCTTTCGCGCCTCTGTCTGTCGGTAAGACCCAGCTCAAAGGTCGATGTTGGTTCCTCATCGCCGGCACCTGGGTCTCGCTCCATGGGAGGGTTGTACAAAACGTTATCGTCAAGCAACGTCACAATCTCTTTCAGATGCTGTGGCGAATACTGCGATGCAGGTGGGAGAAGGTACCATTCCAGTACACCACGACCGCTCTTCCGTCTGTGCTCCAGCTCAATGACGATTCCTTCAGCTTTCCCAGTACCAGCCAATCTATCCAAGCGGCCGAGGAGAACGCCTTCTTGCTCTTCCTCAAGCCCAAAGACTGGAGGGGCCAGGCTGCGGTCGCGCGCAGCCTTCTGTGCTAGAACGTGTGAGAACGAATGGAGTGTAATGATACTCGTAGCGAGGTATGTCAATACAGAAATAGGTGATGGCGAGTAAGGATTTTGCTGTGGAAGTCCAGGGACATCTTGGTGATATGTCACCACGAGTGACGCATCAACCTTGGCCGATAGCGATGCGGGAGTAATAAACGAGCCAAGGAAAGAGGCTAGGTGAAACTCGGGGTCAACTCTTTTTGAGTTCAGAAGAGGGTTAATTGAATCAATGAGGATAAGACGCCCTAAGAAGGGAGTAAGTATGAGTCCACTAGCGGGGTAAACGCACAATGCTTACTGCGTGAGGGATTGGAGGCTGCAACAGGTTGATAAACCACGCTCACTTCTTTAACTATATCGGCGGGGCTCTTGCGGCGTGTTGATACAAAAGCATCTACTCCCTCGGGTCGCTTCAGAGTTTCAAAAGCGATGAGCGTGACATGAACTTTGGACAGCTGTCGAACTAGTTAGCATGGCCATCCACTCCTGTATCTGGCGACTCAGGTATCGCTCATGATAACGTTATAGATCAATATACCTTTGCACGTCTAATGTATTCTTTCAAGAGGGGCGTAGCCGGTTGCTCCAAAGAATCCAAGACAAGTGTGAGGGGCGACGCAGTGTCCCGCAAGCTCAAGAGTTTCGAAATCAGGAGCAAATTGTGCGTCCGCCTGTGTGAAAGGTTGATAGGCGCCATCTTCGTCTGATATTAGATACTGTTATAGGCAAATTGTTCTCTGGAGACGCAGGTTGATAACCACACAGGAAGTGGGGTTGCGCTGCGAAAATTTCGTGGTGGAATTTAAAGTTGAGGCTCGACGGGTCGGCCCGCGTTTGCAGTCTGCAGCTCTTCAATGCCCTTGCTGTCTTTAGTAACATTTCCAGGGTGTTAGGCCAGCCTTTGTGCGTTTCAATACTATAGATCTATTGTATCAAATATTCTAGTTTTTTTCTCCGGAATTTTCGTCGTCCCAAGTGGTCCTCCCATGAAAGTGGAGTGGAAAGAATATGTAGTATAGTTACTCACGAGTGTTGAAGATACATAATATACTAACATGGAAGATATTGATAATGAGTACAGCGGGTTTGAATTCTTACAAGCCGCCTTTGGCTTTGGAGAGGTTGTCGAGGGCGAAGGGAGTAACCGCGATAACAAGACCTTGGAGCCGTCTTGTGCAAAGAAGGTCGGCTACCACCTTCCCCACCACCGTTCAGCACCGGGTTTCCTCATTCTCCCTAGTCGATCCGTCGAAGCCCGGTCATAAGATTCTCGCGCTATTTTTAGTTGATCCTCATCGTCGGATTATCTCCTCGGCCAATGTGCCTCTGCAGCGGGAGGCTTGGGGTTATGAGAGAGAAAATTCTGTGAAGCAGGATTTGGCAGGTCTGTCACTGGAGCCGCATAACATCGTCCAAGGTGATTTGGAGCTCCTTATGACCACAAAGAAGGCCAAAGGCTACCAATTGGAGCTCTTGAAATATCGTGGGCTCAGGTCAGGAAAGCATAATGAGTATTTTGAGGGTGAATTCAGCTTGTGTGAGCATTAAATACGAACTCCGATAACCGAAGTGACTCAGGTCTATGGGTGCTGTCCACGGGTTATTTATCTCCCTATGTAAATATTACAAAAGTTTTTAACTATTGATATTATCTAGTAATTTCTAATTGTGCAATGAATATTGTGACAGTTGCTGTCTTTTTGAGGCTGTCGAATTCGAAGTGGTCTGAGATGGAAGAACGAAAGAAGGAGTATTTATAATGACTATATCCTAGTATGTATCCTAGGGAGATAAATAAATCGTAAAACTATCAATGTTTATCCGCATGTGCCTCATGGACTTCTGTCGTTTCTCCCTCATACGGATCAACGACGGTGGTCGCGAATTTCCTTGCTGGAACTCCGCGCTCAAAGAGCAAATCTAGTTCCTCATATGTGCGGCCCTTCGGCTCGGGGAGCCGGAAGTATGCCCAGACCAGGGAGGCTAAACATGTACCAGCCCAGAAATAGGCACACCGAGCACCCCAGTTCCAGGCTGTGGAGTTGAGCTGGTAGTTGGTCAGGACGTTGACGACAATGTTGCTTATGTTGTATAGACATCGGGCGAGGACAATAGTCTTGGCTTTGAGGCGGGTAGAGGATAGTTCTGAGACGAGGGAGTATGTGACAGGGCCGACGCTGATATCATAGAAGAATGTGAAAATGATGAGCATCACGCCGATCGCCCATTTGGCGGCGTTGTTGTCTCCTGGGGCAAAAGATAGAGATCCTGTGATCACCAAAAGGATGAAAAGACTAGCAAGGCCGGAGATGTGGATGGTTCGTCGGCCTGCATAAGACATCAAGAACCACGACCCTATTGTACCCACAACACCGAGACCGTATTGCCCCAGGGACATATTGAAGGATTGAATGGTGGGTAGGCCAGCTTGGACACAGAAGTAGGCGAAATAACCCATCAAGTTCTGGCCACAGAGGGTTTGCACTAACCACACAATGCAAACTACCTCGGTTCGGCGAAGATTTGTTCCCTTGAAGCAGTCCCAATATGTGGTCCCACTAGAGAGCGATTTTTCCAACTCATTGGTGTGTTGAATCATAGCAATCGTCTCGTCGGGGTTAAAGCTGGGGTCATTGGACGAAGTCAACCGCAGCAACGCTCGTCGAGCTCCTTGCACATTACCCTGACGCACATGCCACCAAGGGGATTCAGGTGCGAAAAGACAGCCGATCATGATTGGGATTGGCCACACCCATTGCACACCGAAAGGAATGCGCCAACCCCATTGATCATCGCGAGAAAGGGAGCCGCGATTAACGCCAACGGCCACAAGCTGCCCGAACACCCAGCACATGTTGATGAAAGTTGTCAGGTAAGGTCGTAGGACTACCGGACAAACCTCAGAGGCGTAGGCGGCTGGCAAGGTCTGGAAGATACCCCAAGGGATACCGGCAAGAATCTCAGCGGCTAGCAACATCTGAACATTGACTGCGAAGAAAAACAGAAAAATGACTGCTGTGATGGTGGCTAAGGCATAGATCATGGTTTTGCGATAACCCAGGCGTTCAGAGACCAAACCATTGATTAGAAGTCCAATGACTTCACCGCAGCGTGCACCATTGGAAAGGCCGGATTGCCAGGATGCCGGAACAGTCCATTTCCCCGAGGCAGTCGGTACTCCAAACTTTTGGTTGAACACAGGTGATGCGTACATTGAGCTGAGCAATGCGAGGTCATACCCTTCCATGATCAGAGTAGACGAAAGGAGGACTGACCAGCCAACAGCTTTCGGGTATAACCGTAAAGCCTGCCAGAGGGTCATGGACTGCTCCTTCGTCGCTGCTTGTTTGCCCTCTGCGAGGGTGGGAGAGACTTTGCTGTCCATCCTGGATGCGTCGTGCATTGAGACCATTGTTTTGAAGCTGGATGCGCCCAGCGGATATCGTAGACTAAACAAGAAGTTGCGAACAATAGGTCGTTTGTCAAGGCCACAGAATTGAAGACTGAGAATATCCCGATACTTCAAGCATTATCAAAGCTAATATACCTCGGGGCGATACTTGATTTATACAAAAGATCCCAAAACCAAAATACGTGCATAGTTTTGGTCCACGAGTATCACGGATCCGGGGAAAATGCACATGGGAAGTCACTTGCTTCCGAAAATTAGAAAAAACTGGGGAAACTGGAGTGGGGAGGGGTAGCCCTAGCGAATCATCAGGCCGGAAAGGCACCCATCGGCGGCAAGTCGGTCGTTAATCGGATATGCAACATCCCACCGGAGGCTTTGCGGGCATACATGGTTTCCTGAAGATATCCCCGCATTTGCCCAGTCCGAATTGATGCCGAGTTATGATGAAAAACTATAAGAGGGGTGTCTGGATGGAAAATGCAAGTGTCAAGCCACTATGTCACCACACGCGACACAGGATTCAGCCGTTCCTACGGGAACCAATAACTGGTGGAAGGAAGCTACCGTATACCAGGTTAGTTGCCACTACATTCAGACATTCCATGAGACATAGAATTAACGTGTGCTCGAGTTCAAAGGTATACCCGGCTTCCTTCTATGACACCAACGGTGATGGCTGGGGCGATATCCCCGGTGTTGTCAAAAAGGTCGATTACCTCCAGTCGCTCGGGGTGGATGTTGTGTGGCTATCGCCGATGTACGACTCACCTATGCTCGATATGGGCTATGACATCTCCGACTATGAAAATGTGCTCCCTGCTTATGGAACCGTACAAGACGTGGAGAATCTTGTGGAAGCTTGTCACTCGCGAGGCATGAAATTGATTCTTGATCTTGTCGTCAACCACTCCAGTGATCAGCATGCTTGGTTTCAGGAAAGCCGGAGTAGCAAGGACAATCCCAAACGCGATTGGTACTTCTGGCGCCCTCCTCGATATGATGAGGCAGGAAATCGAATGCCTCCGAGTAATTATCGGGGTTATTTTGCAGGAAGCACATGTGCGTTGAAATGTTTGACAACACAATATCTTGAACTAACAAATCTCTTATGTAGGGACCTGGGACGAGAAAACGGAAGAATACTACCTTCACCTCTACGCCAAAGAGCAACCCGATCTCAACTGGGATAACAAAGCCACACGTGAGGCTATCTACAACAGTGCGGTGCGGTTCTGGCTAGACAAAGGTGTCGATGGGTTCCGAGTGGACACAGTGAACAAGTACAGCAAACACACAGACTTCCCAGATGCTCCCATCACAGATCCGAAAAGCTACATCCAACCTGCCGTCGGAATGTGGTGCAACGGCCCCCGAATCCACGAGTTCCTACGCGAAATGTATGACGAGTCACTTGCTCCGTACGGGGATGTCATGACTGTGGGCGAACTATCCAACACACCCAATCCAAAGAACGTCCTCGAGTATGTGGGAGCATCATCCAAAGAGCTGAGCATGGTCTTCCACTTGGATATTGGCCATATTGGCATGGGACCTACCCTGGAGGAGAAGTATATCTTTACGCCATGGAAGTTGACAAAGATGAAATCCATTGTGGAGAAGTGGCAGTCTTTCATTGAGGGATCGGATGGCTGGACCACCGCTTTCTGTGAGAACCACGACAACGGACGGTCTGTCTCTCGCTTTGGATCTGATGCGCCCGAGTTCCGGGAGATCTCTGCCAAGATGTTGGCTCTGATGATGGTTACCATGACTGGGACTCTGTTCATCTATCAGGGACAGGAGATTGGTATGATCAATGCACCACGCGAGTGGTCCATCGAGGAATACAAGGACATTGAAGGCTTGGGGTATTACCGAGAAGCAGAGCAACGCAGTGAGAGTGGGGTTGATCCTGTTCGCAAAGAGCACATCATGGATGGTCTCCGAATTCTGGCTCGCGATCATTCTAGGCTGCCAATGCAGTGGGATGACTCAGAACACGCTGGTTTTACTACCGGGAAACCGTGGATGCGAACTCATGATCTTTATGGTGAGATTAATGTCAAGAGGCAGGAGAATGATACCTCGAGTGTGTTGTCTTTCTGGAAAGATGTTCTGCGTCTCCGGAAAGACTACCGGGAGTTGTTCATCCACGGTGCATTTGAAGTGCTTGACTACGAAAATCAGGAGACATTTTGCTTTGTGAAGTCGAGAGATGATAAACGAGCATTGGTCATTCTGAACTTCACTGATCAACCTCAGCCATTCACACAGACCGAGAAGATCGCGGGCATGAAGTTGCTTGTGGGCAACTACTCCGATTCATCGCTGGACACCCTGAAGCCTTTCGAAGGACGTGTCTATATTTGAGATATCCAGTACCAATCAGCGATATTTTCTCATGAATATTGATTGAAATATCAGTTTTCTAGAATACTATTATGCATAACACATCTTACAGCTGGCGACGATATCCCCGATATCGGTGGTTTCTCAGCAATCTACGGGTTGTAGCTCATCAGGAACCCCCAAGGGGGGTTTGGCTGATCCTCTATAGTTTCCTTCTCGTTTTTTGAAAACAAAGCTAGTAAAGAGGTAATTTCCCCTCCAAATTAAATAGCCACTGGGATTTGGGGGCCTGTGCGGCATGTTTAGGCCTGACAAACAAGGCAACACGTTTCATTTCTTCACCCGGGTGTGATCTGCACCCGGCTTCTCCCCGACTTCCCCCCGCAACCCCGGATTTTTGTGCTTGTTCCTACCCGTATATTTACACCTGGCTTTCTAGATGTCAGACCCACCTGTCAAACAAGCATGTGACGCATGTCGCCGACGTAAAGTCAAGTGCATTTTCCCCAAACCTTGTGAGCAGTGTCGGGCTGCTGGCCTAGTCTGCCGGACCTCTTCGCTACGACGGAAAAAGGGGCGACAGGGCCAAACAGCCAATATTCTGAATGAGCTCAGAGCAAAGGAAATTGAGCAGGCGCTGGTGCAGGATGCAAATATTTCTCTGCCATCATCAACTCTTAGGCATGGAGATACTGTACCAACACCCCAGTCACTGTTAGCCTCGGGAAGATGTCAATTCTCAAAAACACCGGGCCTTTTGAACCGAGACCTTGTCACCGCCTGCGCGGAATATTTTTTCTCGCGGATGAGAGGAACGGTGCCCATTTTGCAACCCGGCAGTTTTCAAAAACAGGTGGACCTTGCCGATACATGTCTCCATGCTTATTGTTTAGTCACTGCTTTCTGCGCTTTTGTGGTAACTCAAACCGGATTTGCGGTGGGGAATTCATCCTTGGAATTCTCTCAGGCGTTCTGTACTGAAGATTACCGAACTTCCCTGATTGAGGAAGCCACCGAAGCTCGAAAACATATCGACCCATTCACAGATCCTGTACGACAAAGCATTATCATCGCTTTCCTTCTGTACGGGTGTCACATTGGACTAGGAAACCAACGGCATGCATATTACTTTCTCCGCGAATCCACGACGCTTTATACGGCCAGCGCGCTGGAAAGTCAAGCATCATCAGCACAGGTGGATGACGATGACCCTTCCTTGGCAGGCAAATTGTTTTGGCTCTTGGTGGTGTCTGAGAGGTAGTTTCTCACGCTATTCGTTGGTGCTTTACTAATTCAGGAGCAGAGCTCATGCGATCCGTCGACATAGACCAATTACCCTCCAGGTCACTCCCGCAAGCCCTCAATTGGAAGATGATCCACTTCCAAATGCATCAGCTATTGGCTTTCGGTGTCTGGTAAACCTCTACCTCCCATTCGATGAAGACTTTTTGGGTCAGTGGAATGGAACGAATGCAAAATGCTCGATTGAGTCGCTAGTTCGCCTCGAGGAGCGCATCCGAAGTGCAGTCCCGGCGGACCTTGGTCTGCCTGATATACTCATGGCGGACTTGCGAGTATCCCAGCAATGGCTGCGTATCATGATATGGCAGCTATCTACAACTGCTGGGTTTCTCTCGACAAAGCCTGCTCATGAATGCATGGATTTTCGCTACCCCCTCCTAATTGCTCAAGATCTCTGCTTCGCAACATGGAAATTATCCAAGCAGGGTATGGAAACCCATGGAATTGGTCTTGTATGATTTGCCCCTATAAGCAGACCAAGCTCATTCTAACAGATTGTAGATCGAAAAAATATTTGAGGTGGCGTGCACCTTAATTGATGTTATGACATGCCTCTCGGCGGCTGGGCTCCGTTCTTCGGGCTTCAAGCTTGGTCCGCAGGATCATCTCAAGCATTTCTTCTCTCTCATCCACAGTCTTCCCGGGGGACGTCGAAGATTTCTTCCCCTGCTGCTTACCAAAATAGGACAAACCCTGCCTTCCATGGTGTACCCTATCACCGTTCATCTGAACCTCCAACCTGGCCCTCTTGTCCTAGGCTCTGCCAGTAAAGAATCATCAATATCTGTCATTGCCGAGGATGACAGCTCAATTGATCAACTTTCCCCAGAATTAATGTCCGATTCTGCGTCTGTGGATTGGATGAACGGTAACTTCAACTATGCGGAGATGAGCCGCATCGGTGCTAAAACGCCAGAGATCGATGAGGCATTTCTCCAATACTCCAGTTACTTTCCCTGAGATCGGAGAAATGTATTGCGCGATTTTGCTTGGCCACTAAAGCTACATATGGCAAAACGTATTGAAACAAGGTGGCGACTTTTCGATCATTCTTCCGAGTTGTCTATCAATAGCTGGACTTGCTGAACACAGCCGATTTGTCCAGCTGTTGCCGACAAGCCTCATCTTGCGTGAGATATTCAATATCAGGCATATACCTCACACCAAAACCCAACGCGACAATCGTTTCTTTTTGGTCAATATAGCAGTTCCGTGGGATATTGTCTTCATCAACCATGGACTCCTAGGTGCTCCTCCAACCAACAAAACTTTGATGGGTGGATGGTCAAAGGTGCCTTACTCAACATCTGTCTGCAACAACTCCATCTGCTCCTGATGAATCATTCTTCGAATTGGCACCTGCATCTGCCTGCTTATAGCGTCGTGCAATATAGAAACTGCGACTCCACCCACGCAGTCGATTCCTTCTGATGATTGTTGGTCCGACTGTATGAGCTCATCGGTTATTAGACTGGAAACTTGATCCACGCCTAACACAGTGAGGTATTGGAGGTCCTGGCTGAAGGCGTTCAATTGAACAATACTGAACGCTGATTCTTCCGGGGGCTTCTTGGCAATTCCAGCATGGCTCTCTGACTCCATTGGCATATACCCTCCAGCAGCATGAATCGGTGAGCAAAGAGACATTGATGGTCCTGTGGATGTTCAAGGGTTCGAGGTTTTCATGGCTGTCTATCCAGTTACCTGGGCTCCGTTATGAATAATCCCGTCGATGCGTTTCCCTTCGTCCGTTGAAAACAGACGTTTCCATTTGGACTGTTCCGGTCCAGACTTTGATGCGATCATGATGCCCAGGCTGCCACCACCGGCCTAGTTCACCGTATTGCTGAGCCTTCCGTCAGCTTGCTCTTCATATTTGCCCGAACAAGGCCGATGACATACTTTATCTCAGATGTTCCAACAGATATCTCAATAGCTGACTGCTGAGAAATCGGGTAATTGATATTAGAACCACGGTTGTTTGCTGAGTTTAAATGAAATCGAGTTTTGGCTTCATTTTTGCGAGATTTGGTATCACAATTCTGGCTTGGCTAGTTACTGGGTTAAGACGAGCCGGTAAATCTTCGATACTGGTTCAACTGTGCACATGTAAGTGATCGTGCAGTTGAAACCATAAGGAACCCTAGCAACTGGAGACAGTACAACTAAAATAATTGGCGCTGGAACCGGTGAATTAACTGGAAGAGATCCAGAAACTGGCAATAGAAGGGTTACTCCACGGGAGCTCCACAGTGGAGCTATAGTGGTCTCAATGGGAGAAAATATGTGGGTCCATATGAAGCTACTAGGCCTAATTGGGACATACCTATTCAGGTCTCGGGACTATGCAGCTTCCAACTTATCTAGGCAGCTTCTAACCTCATTATTCCCCATCCACCTAGTCCTCCAAGTCAAAAGCATCATGCCGTCAAGATTCAACCTTCGACAAAAGGTCTTCGACCTCATTTTCAAGGCTCATCACAATGAACTTGAGCAGGTGTCGACCATGGTACAAGACTTCCTTGGGGGTCGCCTGACTCGAGAGGAACTTGAAGAAAAGTACTGCAACTCACAAAAGAAAACTCCGAAGCTGCCAACCCTAGCTGTCGGCAACCTTGATACTCAGAAAGTCGAGGAGATCCTTCATCTAAAAGCAACCCAACCAGACAATGAGCTTACGCATGTCCCTTTTATTTCGACCTCGACCGAGCTTAAGAGTGTCCTAACGAAAGTTGATGCCGCTCATTCTAAAAATCCACTGAATGAAGCTAGCATTCGTTGGACGCTCGATTTACTGCTTGTGTACGCCCATGACATCGCCACTTTCAGCCAGCCCGACGCCGGCCAAAATATCGGCATACAGACAGAAAGAAACTGGGTGTTTGAACCGGTGACGTATCAGAAGAAGAAGTTTGCGCTCGTCGGCAAACCGGACTATGCAGTCTGGTATGGCAATGTCGACGACATAGCAGTAAACATCGTTATTATGGAAGCGAAGTCTCAAAATTCTACCAGCCAAGGAGTTCCCCAATGCCTTGCCTATATGGGTCAGTACCTTATAATATAACCGATGTTATACTATCCAGATTCTAACTAGTTTAAAGGTATGGTCCACCGACTCAGACGACGGGAGAAGAAAAAGAATTGCACAGTGTACGGCGTGACGGCGGACGCGCAATTTTTCTTCTTCCTTAAAATAGACGAAAAGTCAAGGGTTGGTTTACTTATCTCCTAGGTAATTGCCTTTTTCTAATTCTCGAATAGTGGTCCACGGTTATGGTTACAGCTGCTGGTGGCAAGTTTGACCATATTCTCAGCATGCTTGTCTATCTTCTGCGCAAGGCGAGGGAGGCGTCTCCAACACACTCAAAGGAGTCCTCCGCCCAGTCACATGCCAAGGAAGGATCCGGGGGTTCGCTGTATGCAAGTGAGGATTACAAAATGGGGAATACGTAACTGAACTTCTTCTCTCCTCGCTCTGGTTCTTGTTTTTTTTTTTTTTTTTTCTGCTGGATGTCAGCAATTGGCTTAATTCCTTCGTTGTGTTGCTTAGGATAGTTAACCCAGATACATTTTGTGTCTAAATATTATTATCAACATAATCAAAACGCCTTTCCCTAGCCAACTTTTCATACTTGAATATTTTAAAAACACATGGTGATGGCTGTTATCTCTTGAACTATGTAAATTTGCTCGAGCCATAGCTCCACCTGAGAGGCGGAGGTATAGCTGGTATGTCACATGGAGGTGTATATCTAGGTCTACATCACCGCATCCAAGTCCGCAAGACTCTTAGCATATCTTCTACCCTGGAGCCCAGCGCGGTCGTGGGAAGCTCTTTCCGGCTTCCTGGGAGTTGTGGTACCACTTCTAAACTTCGGAAGCTCCTACAACGCCCTAGGGACTCACTTCGCAAGATTCCAGAAGACAGGTTCAACATTAAAGGCTTCTACCACTCTGATCCCATCCATCATGGCGCAACCAACGTTCAACGCTCTTACTTTTCTTGATGAAGACCCAGGAAAGTTCGACGCAAACTTCTTCGCCATTCCCCCTAACGAAGCGGAGAGCATCGACCCCCAACAAAGGATACTGATGGAGACTGTATACGATGGTCTATGTTCTGCTAGTCTACCTATAGAGCAGTTACGTGGCTCTTCTACTGCTGTTTACGTCGGTCTCATGTGTGACGCTACCATGGTGCAGACCGACATCGACGAGATTCCTACCTATACCGGTACAGGCACAGCCCGCAGCATCATGTCTACTAGCCTATCATATCATATTTCTTCGACTGGCACGGTCCGTCTATAACAATTGACACTGCGTGCTCATCAAGTCTAATTGCTGTACACGAGGCTGTTCGTGTTCTACGCAGTGAAGAGTCAAGCGTAGCTATTGCAGCAGGAGCAAATATCATTCTTAGCCCAGGTATGTTAAGATCTCGGTTGATAATCTGTTGCACAAAGTGATTCTACATCTCGGTCTCTATGGATCCCTAGCCAATGCCTCGCGGCGGCTAGTACTGTTCGGGTCCAGATACGGTCTCTCTCCCAGTCCAACGGCACGATGCCCTGTTCGCTGGCCAAACCCCTCGTGGTCCGAAGTAGCAGCGTGGAAGACTGATCGATTGTCACAAATGGCTATGAAATATTAGAGAAGCAGCCATATATACGGAGAAAAATAAGAACACCTACCAAGATCGTTCGGGTTCTGCCAGCGGAGGCGCACTTGCAGATCATGGTTCTCGACGACCAGACTAAGGAACCAGTTAAGAAGATGATCACTTTCCTCATCAGTGACACCGTTGATCTTTTGAACCATATTTCCAACAGCGAAAACACTCTTCCAGCCAGTGACTGGATTAGTGCGGATCACAGGGTGCTCCGCGGATAGTTCCCCCCCCCCCAACGTTCTCGGGGGCACCGCGAGGACCAGGGTGGACTTCGAAACCGTTTTTCTTGGCAACGTCATTGAAGTTTGGTCCGGCATAGGTGGCAGTCAGTCCGTCGAGGAATTTCTAATATGGCTCCGAGAGACGGTCGTAGACCTCGTAGCCGGAAGCCCACAGTGTATTTAGCCAGTCTATGAGTGATGAATATTGAGACTGGAACCGGGGTTTTTTACTCACCACCTCCAGTCTTAGGAAGCTCTGTCAAGCGTAGAAGAGTGTAGTCGCATGGAATGGCATCGAAGGCGATGTCGCTATGTCATTCGTGGCGAGCAGTTTGTCCGCGACTGTTGCGGTCGGGGGACAACAATTGCCGTTGCTGGGAGCTTACAACGCTGATTTCGTCATCTGTCACGCCGTGCTCACGACCAGAGTTGACAACAGGATGGATGTGAAGTCCGGAAGTCTCTGGCTTGCCCGAAAGCTCACCCAGTCGCTGGACGAGTTCTTTCTGCAAGTTGTCATCAAGGCCGTCTTGCTTGCGGAAAAAGACCACGCCGCGTTGCGAAACTGTACACGGTTGTAAGTATGGGAAGATCATCAGGAAAACAGATAGTAGCAGTCTACTTACTGGTGAGAGCGAGCTCACGAAGCAAATCATCCGAGTTAGAAGCAGACAGGAAGTCCTTAAGGCTGGCATTGGGAAACTCGCGTCCAATAACCGGGGTCACATCAAAAGACTCGAATGCATCTAGTACACCGGTAGGTTTGAGAGGAGTTCGCTCAAGGCCTTTCAGCGTTATCCTATCTTCTACAATAGGTATCACCGGGGTTGTTGTTTCGAAAGGGGAGCCATTGGAATGATGGATAGTAAAGAATATCAGTTAATTAGTTATGCTTATTGAGATCTATATCAAATAATTACGTTCTTAACCCTGCTTATATACTAACTCCCGCGCCACGAGGTATACACGCATATTGCAAGCTTGTCAAAAAATCATGAATCGAGTCAACATTCGCAATTTTATTCATTGCCTTGGTAATTTCTTCCGAAGGAAGATTACAAACCTGCGATCCGGCTCCCAACAGTCTCCCACCGGCCTCCCACCATCAGCACTCCGCTCAGCCGTGAATTTGCTGGCGATTGGATGTGCAATAATGGTGTAAATGAATAATTTTCGGATTTGCGTATCAATGTTATGTACGGATAATGTTGAGAACCTGTTTTGGTGTGACGGTGCTCTGGACGATCATTCATCTTCCCTAACCCTGACTCGGAAGGTAGTTTACTAATCATAAAATACAGAATCGCTGCATTAGATAGATTTGACTATTACTCTTTTTACTTGATCACGCCCTTTGGGATTTCCTCCGGATAGTTATCCACAATGGGGACTAGGAACCTTTCGTCCATGTTTTAATGGTGGCCGTCGGACCCTTCCCTAGCTATACAATAAACGACCGTGTGCAAGGCAAATAATCATGTCTCGGTGGATGCCACCAGTTGTTATTTGGTCGTCAACTAATCGTAGTTCTACATTGCTATTGCCCAAAAAGAGGAGAGAATTCAAGAATGTGTTCCAAATCAATACGACTCAATATGTCTAGCTACTGAGAACCCAAAGGCAGTGTTCGAAAACACATCTGGAGAACATCTGGAAGAACCGCAGAGACAATTCAGTAACGAAATTCTTCCCCGACGATTACCTCACTGAGATTCCACAACTTGTTTGCATTGACGAGGTCAGAGGCGTAGTCCAAAACATTTTCTGGATTGCAGTCATTCAAAAAAGACCCTGAGTGATCTGTATGAACTTGTCAACCCGGTTCCCACTGATTACTGCCAAGATTCGTGTACTTACCGTCCAGGGTAGGGTCCAGAGCCGCAACAAGAGTAGTTGCGCAGCCTTGCCCGATGGTCTTTTCCTTTGGCATCTCCAGCTTCTTGTTTTCAAACAAAGCTCCCACAATTGGCCACGCTGCTTGGTCCACATCGGACAGGCCCGTTGTGTGTATCACTCCAGGATGCAAGGAATAGGACTTGATTCCCTTCTTCTCCAGTTTCTCGGCCAATCCAACAGCAAACAAGATGTTCGCTGTCTTGGACTGGCCGTAAGCTTCCCAAGCGTTATAGGTCTTTCCGTCGGAGAAGTTATAGTTATCAAACATGACTGGGCTGAGCTGGTACATAGCACTGGCTAAATTCACGATGCGAGCGCCACCAGAAGATTCAAGCTTTGGAATAAGGAGGTTGGTGAGCAGGAAATGACCAATATGGTTTGCACCCAGCTGGCTTTCCACGTTCTCAGGAGTAAGAGCAAATTTAACACCCATAATGCCTGCGTTATTGACGAGGACATCGATCTTAGAGACAGACGCATTGATCTCCGCTACCGCGGCGCGCACTGATACGCAGGATAAGAGGTCAATTTTGATGAATCGAACAATGGTCGAGGGGCTGATGCTACTGATCTCCTTCATGACTGGGGAGACTTTCTCCTCGGAGCGCCCAAGAAGGATGATCTCCGCAGGATTGGCGGCTGCTAGGCAGAGGGATGTGTGGGCTCCAAGTCCTCCATGACTGGCTCCAGTAATCACAACTAACGGCTTCTCAGTAACTTTGAATCGAGCAGCACATCGTTTCCATTGCCCACTATAACGGAAATCCGGTTATTGCCAGGACGGAAGGGTTACTTACATGTCTTCCCAGTGACTCGATCTGCCAACGCAGCAACTACTTCAGACCCAGTGGTCGAGAAATTGAAAGCAGTCATTTTCAAGGGCGTAGGAGGTAGTAGCATAACACAACCAAGGCGAACGGGGAAAGGTATCAGCTATCCGTAAAATAGCAGTGGGTGTCAACCGGTCACTCAACACCTCCCTCGAGTTATTTATACGTGTTCTGCTCCTTCATCTGGCTCAATGACTATTATGAACCAACCCGGTGATAACTACATGTCCAATCACTACATGGCTGTTGCCCGATCAGTAATCAATACAGTGCCAAATTTGTGGGTTGGGATTCTTGATACACCTGCATTTCCAATTACTATTGCTGTCGGGTCACGAATCTGTCCGGCTCCGAACTTATGCTAGGGTTCGAACTGCTGAATTGGTCATCATCGGCCCATATAAAAGCTAAATAAAGTATTATCCAAAGCGGCTGAGTGGAGTGCCGATGGTGGGAGACCGACTCATGGTGGGAGACCCACGGGTGGTAGATAGGAGGCCGGTGGGATACCAAACTGGTTTCGGAATCAATTAGTTATCTCGCTCGCTATTTTACAGGCCTTCTATACACACTTAGGGATTGTCGACCAGAGAATATAGGCATCCTGTATAATGCATTGACCAGACTTCATCAATAGTATCTCCGTATCCACCTCACTTTCTGACTACCACCAAGGGACAAAAGACAAGCTTAAACGCAAATGCATAGTTTCAGATACGGGCAGAAAATCCCATGGAGGGCCTCGTGGAGGGCCTCGTGGAAGGGAATATTATGATTTGGTCACTTACTTCCACCTTGATGCTACCGCAGAAAGTAGACCAGCACGAAACTCGCAATCCCATACTAAACGGCAAATATCTGGATGGAACGGATACCTTCTGATGGAGATGGAGATTCCCCTTCGGTAGACTCCTGTTTGGCAGACCTTGCGCCGTTTGTCCTGCTGGCCTATAAGAGATCTTTGTCTCCCCTGTCTTCTTGTTCTCTCTTAGAGATCGCTAGAGATACCAAGACTTCAGATTGTTTCATGATTGCTTCTTTTCGGGTAGTCGTACGCCACGCCTTGTTCTTCGATTGTCAATCTCTTACGATTACGAGCAATAGATATCATGATTCCCCAATACAAGCGAGTTCCTATATTCTTATAGAGCACTATTTTCAACATGTAATTCCATTGGCCCTCCAATAACACCTTCAGCGTATCCGCAGGTGTACGCTTTGGAGCAGCAAACTTCAAGATCGCTGGGCTGGTCGTAGAAGCCGAGCATTTGTCTTCCCACGCTGTCTCGGGAGCCCACTTGATTGAGTAGATGACGTTCTTCGATTCCTTGGTTACTGCATACTTATACTCGTACACCATGTCGATGAAAGAAGCGTCCTTATAACTAATATCCTTGACGGGCGTACTAATGTGCTGCTTAATCATTGTAATAATCTGCATCCCCGTTACATCCTCGGGTCCAGTTGGACATATTTAGCCTTATTATGGGCGGAACTGTCGTCCATAGTAGACCTCTCAATAGCCCGCAAATGGGCCCAAGCCCCCGGCCCACAGCTCATTAATGGGCGCCCATCAAAGCCCATCAAAAGCCCATTTCTGTGCACAAATACAGTCTTAGCACGTATAAAGTAGCTGATTCATGGCTGTATTTTACGCATGTACCAACCTGTATATTCAATTTCATCATATTATTACAGTAAGAAGTAGGAATTCAGTAAATATTATACTAATTTAAGCATTATGATACTAGATTTCATGCAAAATTTCATATAAAATCACCCCAAAAGATCTAACTTGACCACGAATTCGCACTTAGGAGGATTACTGAGTATTAGTATGAAAAGATATATAACTATATATATTAGGTCTATAACCAGGTGTTAATTATAGTAGCACTAATAGTACCTCTACTTACTATGTAATTCCCTAACAAAAATAAGTACCCCTTATGAAAAAATAAAGCTTTATAAAAATCAACTTTCCATCTTATGAGTTAATTTATAAACTTATAAGAAGAAGGTTTCTGTATACCTTCATGTATCGCTCAGATAGTAGTTTAAATACCCCCAAAAAAACCAGAGAAAAATGCATTAATTATACAGCTACGATAAATTGGCATGTTTGTATTGTTTGGGGCCCATTATGGGCCCGAATGGGGCTTTGCGGGCTTTCATTGCGGGCCCATGACCCACCAATGGGCCCGAAGGTAGGGCCCAAAACCCAGCCCATTTGGTGGGTTGGGTTGGGCTAGGCTATGGGCTTTGTGGGCTATTGAGAGGTCTAGTCCAGAGATAAGAGATAAGCTGTAATAACACTAATCTGATCAGGATCGATAGTTAATGCCGGTCCTTTAATAGTAGTAAGCGAAGTGTATCCTACTCTTTAGTCTCACGGAACATTTTGATGAAATCCACAGCAGGGGACATGATAAGCGGCGAGAAGATGTTCGGCTAAAGGGAGGTCTACTATAAGCTATCGAACTCGGGTGAGCCGAAGAGACACTTAATAGCCTAGTGCTGGCGTGGATAGTAGGCGGGATAGTCCAGGCGGACATTTATAGCCGTAGCACAGATAGGGAAGGCCCCACCCGACAGACATTATCCTGTCTATATAGCTGCATATATATACATCCAGGGTAGGACCCGGGTTCCTTGCCTCTGTCCAAACTTAAGATTGACGAATATTGTATCAATAGAAATATACTGATTTCATTAAGCCAGTCATGCAAAACGAAGAAAGCTCTACAATTCAATGTTGGCAAATAAGATTGTAGGGCTATAGATCGGTCATTTGCCATGTCACAAAATGCGCAACTGGTCTCTTCGCCCAGCCGGAATAAACTTCTCTTTGGTCTTGGGATATTCAAGCCGACACCCATTGCGACACTTGATACCCTCTACTCTACCCCTATGAGCATTCGCTTTTTTACTCCTTACACCTATCCCAATTGCTCAAACTCTCAAAATTTGAGCAAAGCCATCCTTATCTGTCCCCAGCCGCAACAAACACTCACGCCGTACGGGGCAACGTCTAGACCAGACCAGACCTTTTCATAATGGCGGAGCCACCTGCAAAGCGTGCTCGCCGAGTCGACAGCTCAGCTATGTGGGATTCTAACGATAAACTGCCTCGTGTACCAGAGCAAGGGTCAGACCGCGACCGCAGACGTTCACCAGCTCCACGAGATGACCGACGCGACGGCCGGTATCGCTCTCGCTCACGAGAACGCAAAGATGGAAGGCGAGAACGGAGCTGGTCTCGAGATCGCCGCGACAGGGACAGACGAGACGGAGACAAAGATGGGCGTGGGGCCCAGGACCGAAAAAGGAGCACTAGTCGGGAACGCAACCAGGATAGACGAGGTTGGTCAAATATCTAAGTTATTGGAAGGTTTGGGCCTTGCTAACATATGAATGTCAGGCAATACACCTAAAAACGTTAAGTTCCGCGAACGTTCCCGCTCCCGATCTCCGCAACGCAATGGCGCAAAGGCCCGGTCACCCCCTCGAGGCCCTAAGGGTGACCGCCATGGCGACCGCAAAGATCCTAGATTGCAAGATGGGCGGAAGGCAACTGGCGCACAACCAAGACCGGAACGTCACGAGGATGAAATGGACATAGACTTCAACGAAGATGCGGACGAGGACGAAATGGAAGCACAAATGCGAAAGACCATGGGTTTCAGCAGGTTCCGGACTACAAAGAATACCAAAATCCCCGGAAACAACATCTATGGTGTGCGGAAGGAGAAGAAGATCGAGTACCGACAGTACATGAACCGCCAGGGCGGTTTCAACCGGCCTCTCAGTCCATCGCGATGAATCCTTACTACATGTATTCCTACGGTCTCATCTTTTTTTTTTCAAAAATACTGGACATTTTTCGGCCTTCTTTCGACACGATTTGCATTTGCGGAGCATGGTTTTGTTGGCTTGATATTTTACGTTCCTATTCAATGGCCCTTGTTGGATTTACTACCAATCCCTTTTTTTTTTCAAATATTAGTGAACCACAAAAATATCAGAATGATTCATCAGCAAACCTGTAGAAAAAAAACCGGTCTTGCTGGACTTGATTGCGGATGCGACATGTGACTACACATGTGGGCATGCATACATCTTCAGTGACGTAGGCCTCCCTATATATCAGCACACCTGCGGTCCAAACTCGTCAGTTACAACTCCCTACACTGTGGCTTCATTGCGATCATTAGCGCCCAAGATAAAGCCAAAAAGGATGTCAGCAACAGGAGATCGGCGTGAAATTGTTATTGTTGGTAAGAATAGATTATTTGCGGCTTTGGTACCCCGCACGATATACTCGCAACTCGCTGACCAAAATACTCACAGGTGGTGGTATCATTGGATGCTGCTCTGCATACTATCTTACTAGACACCCATCCTACGACCCTACCCGCCACAAAATCACACTCATCGAGGCCTCTGAACTCGCAGGTGGTGCATCGGGAAAAGCGGGTGGCATGCTGGCGCAATGGGCTTTCCCGAGCAATCTCGTCGGTCTCAGCTACAAGCTGCATGCCGAGCTCGCAAAGGAGCACGACGGTATCAACCGATGGGGATACAGAGAGGTCAATTGCGGTCAACTCGTCGTGAAAGGTCGTGCTCTCGCTGAGAACACCCCAGGAAAAACTGGGGCTGGAAATACAGAGTCCCTCCAGAAACGTAGCACAGCAGCAATGTCTAAGCTGAGGTCTGCCAAAATCCCCCAGGACTTGGATTGGATTGAGCCAGACCTTCTGCGGGCCTATGAAAGTATGAGTGGGCCGGGCGAAACCGCTCAAGTGCACCCATACCTCTTTACTACGTCCATTGCAAAGCTTGCCCAGGAGAAGGGCGCAAACATCATCCTTGGACAGGTTACAGATATCGCTCGGTCAAAGAGCTCTGTCGAATCAGTGACATACACCGATAGAACGTCGGGTGAAACACAAACCATCGCCGCTACCGATGTGCTCGTTGCTGCTGGTCCCTGGACGAAAACTATCCTCCCGGAGGTTCCGATCTCAGCCATGCGGGCCCACAGTGTGGTGATCCAGCCAAAGAAACCAGTCAGTGCATACTGCCTGTTTACAAATATCGAAATCCCGGCCAACTTCAACCCGGAGAAGAAGTCCCGCCCAACTGTGGCTGCGCCAGAGATCTACGCGCGTCCTGATGCGACTGTCTATGCATGTGGCGATGGAGATAGAACAGTTCCATTACCAAAGACTACTGCAGATGTTGAGGTCGACCAGGAACGCTGCCAGGAAATTATAGACCACGTGGGTAGTATTTCTGACGAGCTGCGCGACGGAGAGGTCCGCACTCGCCAAGCTTGCTATCTTCCAAACTGTGATTCTGGCGCTGGGCCACTGGTTGGCCTGACTGATACGAAGGGACTTTATATTGCAGCTGGCCATACCTGCTGGGGTATCCAGAATGCGCCGGGTACAGGAAAGCTCATGAGTGAGTTTGTATTTGATGGTAAGGCGAAGAGCGCGAACATTACATCGTTGGACCCACGCGAGTTCATGTGAATACATACTTAATACCACAATTTTTATAGCAGAAAATATAGCACACCTTTTTCTATGGTGTTGAACGCATATTGATTGTCAATGAGACATAGTACCTAGTTATACAACATGTAGCAGCACTAAAGCGGAAAGGGAAAGGCGGGTGACGTCCGTGGATATTGTTCGGTACGCCTGTGATACTAGTCCATATTAAGTAGGCGGTGAGTTCAGGTACATACACCTATAGCTTATCCCGCGGAGAGGACAGCAGTCAATTGACTGAGGCTACATTATGCGTCACCTCAGGATTTCAGTGTTATTGACATCGCTCCTTTATGCAATTGGGATCGTTGCAAGCGAAGATCCCAATGATGTATCCGTCTTGATTCGAGAGGCCGGACGCGCCAGCAACCAGTCCCTGCTATGGGGTCCTTACAAGTCGAACCTCTACTTTGGAGTGCGTCCTCGCATTCCGAAGAGTCTCACAGCGGGATTAATATGGGGAAAAGTCGACGATTACGCTGATGCTCAACAAAGTATGCTCATCGGTAGCCCGGTTGCATTGATGAACTGTGAAGCTAACATGCACCCAAGACTTCAGACACACATGTGAACAAAACGAAGGAATGGCCGGGTATGGCTGGGACGAGTACGACATCCGGAAGGGTGGACGAGAGACTATTCATGACGCCGGGAACAACTTGGACTTGACAATTGATTTCATCAAGGTTCCCGGTGGCCAACACGGAGGTAGCTGGGGATTCCGAGTCAAGGGCACGCCTAGAGAAGACGGAAATCCCGACCAGTCCATTTCGATGGTATTTTATTCTACTCTCGAGGGCTTAGGTCACTTGGGAGCTGACTCTGAATCTTCTGGTTCCACTGGCGTCGAAGGAAATGTCAAGCTTGAAGGATACACCACTGAACTTGGTGATTTCGCTATCGATGTCACCACTGGACCGGAAACCAACTCACATCCCCGCTACAATCATCCTAGCTCCACAGACAAGCCATTGGATCGCAGCATTGTAGCCAGTGTGACCTTCCCAGAGGAGCAGCTTTGGCAAGCCAAGGGAATCTTCTTCACTCAATTGAAGGCGGAGGTTGATGATGCCCTTGAAGAGTATGGAAAAGAGAACGTTCCGCCCCCGGCTCAACTGTTTAGTATCAAGCATAAGCCTGGCCAGGGTAATGCTCATCTTGTCCAGAAGGTTTTCACAGGTGCATTTGAGTTTGATGTCCTGTTCTCCTCCGGCTCCGCCCCCGAACCGTTGACCTCGGAAACTCTCACTAAGGAAATCGATGATGCTTCGGCTTCATTTTCTGAAACTTTTGAGCACCTTCTCCCACCACAGGCGCCGTTTGACTCTCCAAAGTACTCGAGCTTCTCTAAGGCAATGCTGTCTAACCTCATTGGTGGCATTGGGTTCTTCCACGGTGACGATCTTGTGGATCGGTCTGCCAACCCTGCATATGAAGAGGAAAATGAAGGTTTCTGGGAAGAGACCGCCGAGGCCAGGGCTGCCGTGCAGCCCGTCATCGAAGGCCCGAAGGAGCTTTTCACTTGCGTTCCCTCCCGGCCGTTCTTCCCCAGAGGGTTCCTTTGGGATGAAGGTTTCCATTTGGTTCCTGTGATCGAATACGATACAGATCTTGCGTGCGTTTACATCTACTTCGTTTCATCTACTGGTTTTGGTTGATATACTGACTTTTTGTTGTAGGCTCGAGATTATCAAGAGCTGGTTCCACCTGATGGACGAGGATGGATGGATTGCTCGTGAACAGATTCTAGGCCAAGAGGCCCGCAGCAAGGTTCCCCCGGAGTTTACGGTCCAATATCCCCATTACGCAAACCCGCCTACTCTGTTCATGGCCCTGGAAGCATTCATGGACAAAGTCAAGTCTAGCAGCAACAAGAGCACGGACTTCGAATCCCTGGACAACCAAGATGCGACCGCGAGCCTGCGCTCTGCCACTGTCCGATACCCGGAACTGTCTGAGGCATACCTTCGCTCATTCTACCCGCTCCTGAAGAAGCACTACAACTGGTATAGGAATACTCAGCGCGGCGACATCGCGTCGTACGACCGTGAAGCATTCTCGACCAAGGAAGGCTACCGCTGGCGCGGACGTTCCGTCCAGCACATACTCACTTCTGGCATCGATGACTATCCCAGAGCTCAGCCGCCGCACCCCGGTGAGCTGCATGTCGATCTGATCAGTTGGATGGGTATGATGACTCGCACTATGCGTCGCATTGCCGAGAACCTCGGCGAGGAAGAAGATGTCGAGCAATTCGCCTCCTACGAGAAAGCTATCACTCGTAACATTGATGACCTGCATTGGGATGAGAAGGAGCAAACCTTCTGCGATGCGACTATCGATGAATATGAAGAGAGTGTCCATGTCTGCCACAAGGGTTACATCTCCATATTCCCCTTCCTGACTGGTATGCTGGGTCCTGATAGCCCGCGCCTCAAGGCTGTGTTGGACTTGATCAGTGATCCCCAAGAATTGTGGAGTGATTATGGTATCCGCAGTTTGAGCAAGAAGGATAAGTTCTACGAGACCGATGAGAACTATTGGAGAAGCCCTATCTGGATTAACATCAACTACTTGGTGTTGAAGAATCTCTATGTAAGTGCTTCCATCTTTTGATTTATTTGCCCGCAAAATCTGACAGCACCTTCACAGGACACTGCCACGGTATCTGGTCCTCATCAGGAACAGGCGCGGAAGATGTACTCCGACTTGCGGAAGAATTTGGTCGAGAATGTCTTCCGCGAGTGGAAGAAGACTGGGTTCGCTTGGGAACAGTACAACCCTGACTCGGGTAATGGCCAGCGGACACAGCACTTTACCGGCTGGACCAGTATGGTGGTGAACATGATGTCCATGCCGGATTTAGCCGGATCCGGAAAGACCACTCATGACGAGTTGTAAGCTATTAAAGCTCGATGTGAAAAAACCCGTCACGTATATTAGATAGTGGTCATTCTGATAGTTTTATGCAATCATTTATCCGACATTTGAATCGACCCCTCCAACGCCAAGCTAATGTATCAATTTATAGCCCTAGTTTGTAGCTCAATGGCGGCGATCATAGTCGTCTCGGTCTCGTCTGCGTTCGGGGTGTCGCCGGCGCTCAGCTGGTGAGTAGCTGCGCTCCATCCGTCGTCGTTTCTGGTGTTCCTCATCTTTGCGGCTGGGTCGACTTCTAGAACGAGAGACCGAGCGCCGTCTGTGGTGGTCTCGACCGCGAGATCGTGATCTGTGACGATGGCTGCGATGATGGCGCTCTCGATCGTCATGATGTCTGTGGTGTCTCCGGTCCTTGTCACGTGTATGGTCATCCCCTCGTTCATGTCGTCTTTCCCGCCGCGGGCTTCGGGTGCGCTCACGTCTGTGTCGGTGACTCGAGCGGTGGTCCTTTTCCCTTGTAGCAGCATCTGGCATCTCTTCTTCTTTTGGCACTGTATCGGTACTAGTGGAACCTCCTAGAGGAACCATGTTGGCGTTCTCGGATGCTTTCGGGGGGACGGGAAGTCCCAGAGCGATGGCCATTGCCTCCTCCTCAGCCTCCTTGACACGTTGAAGTTCCTCTCGTTCTTTGCGGATTCGTTCTTGCTCGTCTTCGTCTCCCTTGGCATACCAGCCAAGATCGCGATTTTGTTGCCATCTGCCGACTGGGGCCATCACTGAATGGCCTAGGTAGTTCTCGCGATGGGCGGAACTTTGAACGTCGGACCATTTGAACTCATTGCGGCCGCCGCTGAGACAAAAATTAGTAACCTTCAACAAATGTAGAAATAAAATAACAACACAACTTACCGGCTGCCTTCTTTGCGTACACTAGCAACCAAATCCATTATGCGAGAGAAGCTTGTTGAAGAACTATGTTGTAGAAAGGAGGAAGCCAACATCTTCGAAGCCATACCCGTAGACGTACTCGGGGCCCGTGCGCGGGCGGTCAGCCATTCCATCATCCGATGATTGCACCTCCCCGCAGCCATAGAGGTGTTTTCGACCAGCTTGATCATGATCTGTTTACAAAGTTCTTGCCCTTCTGTCTCTTGTGGCTTGGACTTCCTGCCATTGGAAATGACAGATCAAGCTTCTTCTTCTCTTGCTATTTACCACTCATTCTGCTCAGATCTAAGGAACTATTCTTCTCTGCGCTCCGCCATTGGAAACAAGCACCCTTAGTCTGCGACAATGTCTTCTCCTCTTACCGAGGAGAGTGTCTCTACAGAAACTGAAAGGGAAATTCCAGGATATCGGCCACAGGTACAAATCTTGAATATTGAAACAGAAGAGGAACGAGTATGATTGTCTCCAAGTTACCTCACGTGAGAACTATGAACTGACTTATGCTAGTTTCCTAGGTGGGCATCTACAGTTGTACAGCCTGGATTCACTGTGACTGATTATCATTGTGCTATAGAGATGTTTCTGGACCAACTGTATCTGCTTGGAGGTGTAACCTGGTGAGTACCTGCTGACCTAGATGTTGCTTCGACTGTATAATTTCTCCTCAATTCTGACCTTTATCTTGAAAGGCGGCCCTCTCACAGCGTCGAAATTTGCTTTTTACAGCTCATGTCGACGACATCTACGTATGGATTCCTAGTGGATCTCGCCAGCTCCTTGGCTCCCAACCCGAGATGATCATCCACCCAGTGATGAAGGAACCCAATGCGCCTGGATATATCGATCGCTCCAAGCCTCATACGATTAATCATGTTATTGTGGACGATTTGGGAGTCGACGAGGTTTTGCTATTAGCGACAGACTCCGGAAACGTCACTGGCTACAATGTTGAGGCTATCTTCTCGGCAATCAACAGGAGTGCCAAATATGGAGGCGATCGACCATTTAATGCGCACGAAGTCAAACCTTTCTTTGCTGAACATGTTCAGTTAAGTGCCTGGGGCTTGGCCACCCACAAATTTGCTCGGTTGATTGCCGTGAGCGCGAACACAGGCGTTATCACCGTCTTTGCTTTCGCATTGGTGGATGATGTGTCTGAGAGTGATGATAGCAGTCCCAGTCTCTCTGAGACCTCGAACATGGGGGACTCTGGTGTATTAGAAAGCACATGGGTGTCAATAGACAGCGCCCCATCGATGGAGGAGCTGAAAAGGGACATGCCCCATCATCGAACACGCAACCTGCGGCTCAGCTACAGGGGTCATTTCGACAACATCCCATGCGTTTCATTTGCCAACTTTGAATTGGACCCCAACGGTCTGTGGATGATCAGCACCGATATCCTCAACCGAGTCTTTGTATGGAGAGTCTGGGACAGCCTGACTCCTGTCAAAACATCCAGTTACAATTGTTCGAGGGAGGCTCGAGAGCAAAGGGGCTGGTTTGTCTTACCTTTGCATCCTCGCAGAGTCCAGCAACACCGCTACAAGTTTGATGCCTGTGGATGCGAGCCACGGCCAAAAATAATGAATGGTCGAATGGTTTTTGACGTATCTGATACGGCTGACGACGTCATAGCCAGATCCAACCTCGCTGCTCAGAAAGTCGCTGATGAGGAAGATGCAACAATTTCGAGCCTGTTTCTACCAGACGATATTTTTCCCCCTAACTGTTCTATTCATACTGAACCTCGACCGCAACATCCGGGCCCAGAGCATGATCATACAACTCCAGAAACCTCTGGAACTGCCTCTCTTGGTGCCGCCGGTGACAGCATTGATATAAGCGCCGGAGTATCACAAGACCATGAGGTGACTCCTCCCCGTCAATCGATCCGCGTGAGACGTGGTATTACCAATTTGGTTGAAGAAGAAAATGAGCAATGCGGCGTGGATTGTGTTGTCGATGTGGATGTTCTGAAGTGCTTTGTGTCCCATCGTAAGTGAGAGATGTGCTTTGATGTATTGGATTAGGATGCTAACCTGATATTCAGCGTGCAACCCGCGATTTTTCCCTATTATCCACTTCTCTGGAAACAACATCACTTTAGATCCTTATCCATTGGACCATGGATCGCGGACGCTGTCTCGGTCTCCTCTGCAATCGCTGGTAGAATATTCTATGTTCTCTTCCTGTGATCGCTTAAACTTGGTCAAGTACCTCCCTGAACTTGGGATTGTCATTGCCGCCTCCCAGGCCGGTGGAGTTGCCATCATCACTCTTACATGGCAGGAGGAAATCGGCCACACCTTTCGCATAGACTGGCTTCTCCCTTTTCCCACCCAGGAGAGAGATGATGAATGTCCAACACCACCTCTTATGGGCATTGCTGCAAGCCCCATGCCTGGATTTGAGATACCGCCGGATGTCCCTTGTATCCCTCGGGATGTCAATCCCAAAGATCGGATGAGATTCAACCACCGTCTGCTCAACCCAGATAAAACTGAGCCCTGTGTCGCAAACCCGCCCGAACGTGGGGCTCCCAGTCCCTCTGGACCGGACCCTTGCACCAAAGAGTCGAACCTCACAATTCCTGAAACCCATGCCTATGCCTCGGACATCTATCAACCTCATGAGACCTGGCATGGTTACCACCCTTCTCGGCATTACAGGTTGCTTTTGCTATTCTGTGATTTGTCTGTCATGAGCTATGAGTTCTGGCACGACTGGAGAGGCTAATCGCAATCACCAAACCAGGTTGGCTCCATGAATCATGGGTGCAAGAGACATGCTCATCCAAACCCGCAAATTTGCCCATGCTGATATCTAATTGTACAAGTGCATGTCAAATCATCTTAATTGAGCAACACAAAGTACCTGCGTCAAAATTCCACATCAAATATATTAAGCGTAGTCGAGAAATGGTACAAAGTATGAACTAATATGCCATCGTTCAGTGGTGACTTGAGGCTCTAACCGAGGTGAACCTGATTGGTTCTATAATAACCTTAAATCCAAAGTTTAAACCGCCAAAATTCCCAGTCAGGAGTCCGCTTCATGCACCTAAGCCAAGTGCCACTAGCTCATTGCAATCTCTCAAAAATTTCGAGACCTCGTTCTCATCATGCCATGCATCGTTGTATGCAGCACTAAGATACATACGGCCACGCCCAAAAGAGACCAAGTCCCCTTCCTAACTCTTCCCCGGTTACCCAAGGACTCCAGCTCAAATTGGCCGTGGCATGGTCTCACAATATTATCGATGACGCCCAAGCTCGAGATAGAAATTGAGGGCGCCTCATTCTGTGCTGGGACAGGGGGTACTTCTGGTCCCGCCGGATAAGCGGGAGTAGAGAGAGCCCAGTAGTGCGGAACCAGTGAGATGTGTTCCTTGTCATCACGAATCCGAAGATACTAATTTTTGACCTGCTCAATAATTCCGAGGAACTCTTCTTTCTTCGCTTTGACAGTATTGCGCTCTTGGTCTTCCGTACATGAAGGTACGTCCATGGCAATTACCAGGCTTGATCCTGAAACTGAATAATATACAGCGGCCGCATGCCGAGGCGGGTTGTAGGGCTCTTTGCAGAGCGGAAGTTTGTTGATTAGGGAATAGTTAATATATTAGACATTTCGCTCATTAGGACCACGATATTGAAGATCTCTGAACACAAGGACTATGGCCGCGTGGTATACATGCATTACGCTAGCACCGATGCTCTTGATTGCATGGAGAAGTTTCCTGGACTGCTCAAGATCCAGATTGAGCTCAACTCGCTGATGACGTCTAGGAGCCGCTTGTCCATGTTGAAAAGGCAATTTCGCGATCTCATTCACGAAGCGAAGCATTTGCTTCGAACATTTCCCTAAGTCGAGTTTCCTGCTTTGCTTCCAAGAAGACTGGAATCCGAGCCGCAACCCGCAATGGGGGGCTTAGGTTCTTCCACTCGTTGCCAAAATTTGGCAAAGCGGAGCTGGAATTCTAAAGAAACAGAGGTGCGTATTTGAAAAGAGTGTTGAGAAGATGCTCTTGTGTTAGCAGCACTTGGCACCAATAGCATTCAGGGTAACAAATAATTTTTTAAGTATGAGAATGTAATACGAGGACCTCAAAGCTGAGTAGTATGTTTCGGACTGGGAAATTCGTCTTCCAAGGCAACCCGCATGGACATTTTGTTGGTCCTGTGTGGGAGGTTAGCACCATCCAGGAACCAGATTGGTTCGAGCCCAAACACCTAGATCGAGTACAGCACCGGGATAATACCACATCCTCTCTCCTTTCCCCCAATCAATATATGGCTACGATTTAACCTTACTCCTATACCTTAAGAGCCGATTGCCACCAGCGGTTCCAGGATACAGTATACGTAGCGACAACACATTTGAAGATTCAATATGGTAGTTCTGTAGCGTTAAACCAATTCAATTTTCTTTCTAATTAAGCATAAAGATGGAGTATGAAAACCAGGAAACAAACCAGATAATAAGTAGTACAAAACCCGACAATAAGTAGGTGTCAGATGGAGCGACATCTTCGGTGAAATGAAAAGGGCAGTGCGTCGGCTAAAGAGGCGGCGCAGTGGTTAGTATGGACCAGAGTAGGAAGAAAGGGGCGACAAGTGTAAAATAGAGGAGCTAAAGGGAGGGGGGGAAGAAGAAAAGAGGCTAATAGAGCGAGGTTTGGTCTTTTATATCAGGTCGATAGTAGGAGGTTACAGAACAGCATATAAGGGTGCTAAGCCGGGAACGGGAAAACTAACCACATGCAGTAATTCACAGGTCCCAATATTACAAAAACAAAGACAAAGTCAAACGATCAACCACGATGAAACTATGACAGTATCAAATCAAAATGCAGAATATCAGATAGATGAGGGGCTAACAACACGCGCCATGTGTGTGGGTAAGTATATATGAATATTGCCTGCATGAGAGTAAGAAAAAAGCAAGAGTATAAAAACAAATCGCAAATTGAAACCGAAGCATGAGTGAAGCAAGAGTGAAATGAAACGGGGTGTAAAAGCAGACAAAGGGGGAATTGATGAAAAGCAAGGGGAAAATGTGAAGAAAAACAAAGAAAAGAAAGAGACCGTGAATTCGTTGTATGCATCAATATCATCAAGACGCTTTTTAAGTGGGAGGAAAAGACCAAAATTCTCATATCCGGTTGAATGTTGAGTTGTGGACATAGAAGCCCAATCTAGAAATCATCGTCCATCTCATCACTATCCCATTCGTCTTCACGGTCGTTTTGTACTAGATCCAAAAATCGCTGGAGACCAGGGTGTGCCTGTGCTCTACCTGGTCGGATTGCAAGGGCTTCCCATTGGATGGGGCCGTCTTCGTCTGCCAATGGTTCTGCAGGAACCTCTGCCCACCGGACAGGACGTCTGGGATCACCAGCCTGTGGAGGGAGACGATTGGCAGGAATGTCCGCCCATCTGACAGGGCGTCTGGCCTGACGTCTCGCATTTCGGTTTCGTACCTCGGCCATGGCACGAGCTTGGGCTTGACGTTCAGCTGCAGCTGCGCGGGCAGCTGCGTGGTCACGCTGGCCAGGTCTGCCGCCCCCGCGGTTGACTTGGGGTGGAACGGGGGCAGGAGGAGGAGGGTGTCGGTGATGAAGGTCATCTTCATCGTTATCAAATTCAAATGCAGGGTGGTCGTCATCGCTTTCATCGGTTTCTTCGTGAATGGCTACCACCGGTGGGTCATCGTCAAAGTGTAGGAGTGCATCTGGGATACGGTGGAGTGCTTCGGCTCCGTCGGGATTAATGCCATCACCACCTTCCAAATCCCAAAGACGATTGAAGCATTGGCCTTTCTGGTCGTTGAAATGCATGTATGGGTTGTCCGCACATAGCCAGGCTGAGCAAAGGTAGCAGAAGTGTGTGTCACACTGGAAGCAGCGCATATGATTGCATCCCATTTGCTTTTGGCAGGGGACATTGCAAGTCGGGCAAGGGGTAGTGTATAGACGCAGGTACTCTTCGGTTGCCTTTTCCTCCTCTGTGGGTTCGCCGTCGCGGCGTGGGAAACAGCGTACCAACTCGCCATGCCAGCCCTTCTTGCACACGCAGCAAAAGGCGTAGTTGCAGTCTTCGCAGATAGACACACGCTCCGCCATGGGAGGAAGCTCCCCATCATTGACTTCGTTGCGGGGCTCGGATCCATCTTCTTCGTCAGAACTATTCAAGTCATCCGACATGGGATCTTCTGGCTTTGGGTGTCGCTTGGATCGTGCAGCTCCTTGGCACCATTGCCGTGGACAGTAGACTGTGGTCTTGTCGGCTTCAATTTTCTTCTTCCTCTTAAGGAACGCATATCGTTGAACGGTTTCAGTGGTTAGAGGGATTTGGAGTAGCTCGCTTGGTCCCAGGGTACGATCACGCTTCTTGCGGGGCGGGATCTGGCCGTCGCCCGGTGCAGCTGCAGGTCTCTTGTTGTATTCACAATCCGGTGCCATGCATTTAACACTGTCAACATCACCCTCTGTGATGCAGCTGTTGTAGAAATCCTGCAAACATTGAATGCAGAACACGTGGGAGCAGCGAAGTAATCGATAGCAAACGGTGCCCTTTTTTGGTTCAAGGCACACCCCACATTCAAAAGTCCCCTGCTCAAACTTTTCCCGCTCGGCCTTTTTATTATAGTCCAGTAGTGCGATCTTCAAGTCTCGCGATAAACAGACTTCCCCAGACGGCTCCTGGATATTGAAAGTTGTTTCTGCAAGTTGCTGAAGGTGATCTATGTAGGTAAAGACGACCAGATCTTTTCCACATTCTTCCCAGAGTCGGTGGCAATCGCTGGATAATTGTTTGATGACCGAGGAAGGTAGCCATGAAGGGATCGTTCTCAGGTGAATGATAGGCGGCTTTTCGGTTGGGTAGCCCTGTGGCAATTCAATCTCGAGGTTAAGCGGAGGCAAATGTGAGAGTACATGGACATCTCTGATGGGTGGGTGGTCCAATTCCCCCTTGGACTCATCTAATGAGGTTGGAGGGGTAATGGCGGGTGCAGTTTCGAGCGGTTGCTGAAAATATATTGAGGTTGGGGCGGAAGGTGCGACTGGAAGATCGAGGACGGCTTTAAACGGAGAGGAAGGATCGATTTGTATTTCTGGAAAGATCGCAGCAATCGAGGAAAGCTCGACCGAGCGGTCATCCTCCGGGAAGTCCAGTTCGGTCATAGCGAGATGAAACCAAGTATGCTCACTTGTGAAGATTTCTCTTAGGTGGGGGGGGGGCGGTTGTATATTTTTTGCCTCCAATATGATGCTAGTGAATCGCAATTTGGAGACAATGAGTGTCTCCTGCAACAAAAAAAACTCAGCAACACTGGCTCATCGTAAAATTATCGAAGGTAATGATGATGACCGATCCCAAGTGAATTGTCACTAAGGACGATCGGGCACAAAAGGGGGGGTTATATCCTGCAGGAAGATCACTTCGAATCAGCGTTGCGACTGAGACCCTGGTAAAAAATCAGACCAACCAAAGATGAAGATGTTCGGAGTATTCGTTCTATGGGCCAATGTTCGGCAGAAAGTCGGGAGGGGTCTAGAAGATGATGCAATAGAGAGTCTGGGGTTTGAAGAGAGAACAACGGCGTCATTGTTTGAAAGTGAAGTGGGTAGATGGAGACAATAGAAGAAAGAGAAAGAACAAACAGATCCAGATTAGATCCAAAGAAGAAATGGCAAATCCCCTTGGATGCCTAAAAATGGAGGAAATAATTTGCCCTCGAAGTCCCCGCTGCCCAATCTGCTTATCGTGATAAGGTGAAAAGAGTCTTGGCGGTCTTGGCTTTGACCCTGATATCCCTGAATCTCCGAATTAGGGGATTTTGGAAACTTCCTATTATTCACTCTTTTAACCCCAACAATGGGAGACACTCCGCTGGCGTCGTTGTCTCTGACTCATGTCCACTACGTTAGTTACATGCTTGGATATCAAAATGTTTTACTGACTTAATTCCAGAACCCCGAGGACCGACTGTCCTTTGCCTCAGCATGGTTGGCCCTGATCCCACAGGCACTATGTGTGTCCTATGCAACTTTGATTTGGTCAACAAGAGAGGTGGAAGTCATCTTGATGTTTGTAGGACAGATGGGCTGTGAAGCCTTAAACTTTGTCCTCAAACGTTTCATCAAGGAAGAGCGACCGAAAGGTGAGTTGTCGATGTTGATGGTCTCGTGGGTACCTTCCTAAACTAACACGTGTAATTCACAGAAATGTTCGGCAAGGGATATGGAATGCCATCTTCACACGCCCAATTCATGACCTTCTTCTCCGTCTACCTCACCTTCTTCCTTCTCTTCCGTCACAGCAAAGCTTCCGCCAGCTCCTACCCCAATGTCGCCGTCCTCCTACGAGTCCTGGTCATGCTGGCCCTTTGCATTGGAGCTGCTGGTGTGGCTGCCAGCCGGGTCTATCTTAACTACCACACCCCGAGACAAGTCCTTGCCGGCTGTGGTGCTGGATTCGTATGTGCTTGTGGCTGGTTCATGGTCACCAGCCTGCTCCGAAGCACTGGGCTTATTGAATGGGCCATGGAGACTACTGTGTCCCGGTTGGTGAGAATTCGTGATCTCGTCCTAAGTGAGGATCTGGCTGAGGCTGGCTGGCAACGTTGGGAGGCTCAGAGATTGAAGCGTCGCGGTCTTAGTAAGAAGTCAGAGTAAGGGGTGTCCCCTTTTCGCGTATATATCCTACCATAGTAGCGAGCGGATATTCGTCTGTTGATTAAATTGTGTGAAATCAATTGTATTCTATGTCTTTCTCTTCAACCGTCGTAAATCTCGAAATAAATAGCACAATGGCTTTGTAGTCTGGTCACGTGTCAGCTGGCCTCCCGCTTCAACAGCTACCGACCACCCCTCGTGCACTGCAAAGACTTAGAAAATGTGTAGTGATCCATTTGCATGAGTCGCGTTCAATTTCTGGGCTCCTTTCTTTTCACTCTTTTACCTGATGTATGGAGCGTTGGTACCTTGGTGATCCACCGAACGACTTTCTGCCAGGAACACAGAACTCAGCAAGTCCTCAATGATGGACATGCCTTCAGATCCACCCAAAACCACTATGCAGGAGCATCATATTGTCAAGGCAGATGAGGTCGATCAAACTGGGACCGATATATCGCCAGTTTCAGATGACCAACTCATGGAGGAGGTGGCTGAGGGGCTCCGCCAGGAACAGGCCTCACAGGCCGCACCCGCTCCTGAGACGGCGCCCCCTGCGCCCGAAAAATCCATGAAACGACCCGAGCTTCGTCGTGAAGGCTCTGCTCCGCCTCCTCCGATGCAGCCGCCCCCTCCAGCTCCCGCCCAGGAGACTACGGATCGGGGTGCGAGCTCCCTGAGCTTATCGGATTTGCGGAAACTTGTGGGTGAAATGCCCAAGATCGAGCAACCAGCCTATGCTTTTGAATATGCCGACGCCCAATCATTTCCCGATGAGCTCGACGAGTGGTTCCAGTATAACGCCTTTGATCGTGTCATGTTAACCGGCACGAAAACGACTTTTAACCAGAAATGGCCTGCGTTTTGCCAGCAACGCCAGCGAGACACTCCCGGCTTGTCTTGGCTTGACGCATCCAAGGATTTACGTCGTTCGTTTGTTTCTCAGTTGCTTGGGGATTTGCAGCTTGCTGAAGTCTCGGCGCGATTGGAAGCCCTTGAAACCATTTGCTATGTCGTCACTGGTGTATGGGGTCTCAGCGGTGGGAGAGTAGCACCCGACTATCCTGCGGATGGGTATTCCGAGTCAGCAGCCGAAACGCCACTGCACAACTCATTGCAGATTCAGTGCATCGAGCAGAATGTTTCCCTTCTCCAGGAATGCTCGGGCGTTACCGCCTTGGTACAGTACATGTGCCGCCTTTTTGATAAGACCCGCTCGGCACTCGGATCGGACTCTAGCGACGTTGATTACGAGCGAATTGGCCCTGGTGATATTGCGGCACCGGAGCGTGAGGCCAACTTGGTCCTTACAAGTTTATACTTTGCCGTGGAAGTGGGTCGCAGGCAACAGGCGCGCGACCCTCAGTGCAGCTCGATCCGCGATGCACTGACCAGCTCAAATCCTAGTCTATTGGTCTCCATTGTTGAAATCATCGCTCGATTGCGTTGGGACGAATCTGCCAATATTCCTTTGACCAGGATCCTGCTGTTGTTGTGGAAGTCGCTGCTTCTTGTCTTCGGCGGGACCGATGATTTAAAACGCGCAAAGGAAGTGCTGGAGCCTGCCGTTCCCTCTGAGAAAGATGATTCCAAACGCAGGACTCCATTTTTACACGCCTCCCCTCTGGACTACCATCTCTTCCGGCAAGAAATCACTTCCAAATACCCAGCTTACAACCCTCCGCCACTTATCGTCCCACTGGAATTGGAAAACAATTCCATTCTACCCCCTCTTCCCCACAATGTGGCCAGGATGAACCCATCCAGTGGTATCTTTTGTGGTGTGGCCCCATCAATCTCCGGTGGAAATGGCTCTATTCTTCAGCAGGCTGTTCACATTGCAACCCCGGCCCCATCTCCACCTCCATCCCCCGCCGGTCCAGGAGGGAAAGCTGGGAAAAAACAAAACTATCAGACCAATCAGAACTTCCCCTTCATGTACCCTCCCTTGGATGATTCCAGCAACCGCATTGGCGGGAAGGGCACAACGGAGCGCCAGGATGCCTTGGTTGGAAAGAGATGGGAAGGCAGTGATGTCCCTGCGTCAATTATTGAAGCCGGAAAGCTCTTTTCGACGCATGTGAAAATGACCCGTGCGATGCGACAGCTTTGGCAGGAGCGTGAACACTTCATGCAGTACGACCGCGGCTGGAACTCCGAGGACGCTGCTCACTTCCCTGATAACATCTCAGATGACCTACCAGATGATTTTGAACATTTAGATTTGTCGGGTGACGACGAGAAGGCAGAGCCTAAACCCAAGCCAGCAGAGAAAGAAACAGACGACCCCGATATCCAGCGGCGCCTGGATGCGGTTGACTCATTCTATGTGAGTACATGCTTCTTAAGACCCAATTTCAACATTCGCTTACTGTTTACCAGACCCATACTCTATCTCATCTTCAGTCCATCACCATCGTATTCTTGAAAATTATCCTGACAAATGTCAGCGCAGTTGTCAGCCAGGCTACTAGCCAAACTACCCAGGGCATGAGGTGAGCTCAGACATTTCAAATAACAACGAATGCGTTCTAACACAATTTTCAGTAATGGTCATTCCATGAATGGCTCCTCTCATAATCTCCTTTCTGATGCATCCATTGATGAGCTAGACAATATTCGTCTCCGTGAGATCACTGGGAAAGCCGTGTCTGGAATTCTGTTGCTTCTGCTTAAGTGGTTTAAGCGATCTCGTGAGTCTACTCCCCGAATCTTTTTTTATGGGTGACATACCGCTAACCCATGAAGATATCTTGAAATTTGAATATATGACACAGCTATTACTTGACTCTAACTACATCCCCTTGATTCTCAAGATGTTTGCACATCAAGATGTTGACCAAACCGTGGCGTATAAAAATGACCGCGAAGACTTATCGTATGTTACTCTGTTACTTAACCTCATTCGCTAAGCTAGCTCGCCCACTAACACAAACCCCAGCTTCTTCCACTTCTGTCAAAGCAACACCGGTCTCCCCGTGGAAACCGAAGAAGACTCCTGCGGTGACACGGAAAGCGAAGACGATGCCATGCCACCCCCGATCGCCCGCCACCGCTCCGATCCAACAGCAAACGGCAGCATGCCAGGCCTCTCCGAGGAAGAATCCCTAACGGATATCCTCAGCGGACCGACACGCCCCGAAGTCGACGAACTAGGGTACCCAACCGCGCCCCTCCCCAAAGAACCAATCAAAGTATTCTCCTTCCGCAACTTCTTCTCCGCCATCAACTACCTACACGTCATGCAAAAGATCACGCGCAATAAAGCCCACCGCTGCCTCCTACTAGTGCAGTACAAATCAAGCAACATCCTCCGCAAGGGTCTCAAGATCCCAGACCCGCACCTTCGCTTCTACACCCTCAAACTCTTCAAATCCCAAGTTCCCTACTGCGGTCGCAAATGGCGCCAGAGCAACATGCGTGTCATCACCGCTATCTACTTGTACTGTCGTCCCGAGTTGCGCGATGACTGGCTCGCTGGCTCTGACGTCGACGCTGAGGTTGAAGAGGCTTTGCCGTTGGAACAGGCGCTTCGTGGTCTTACGCACTGGTGGCATCTGCGTCAGTACAAAGATGTGATGGGCGGTGACGAGGGTGCGTCTATGATGGAGGAAGAACGTGATTTCTTCGTTCGAGAACTTGAGTCTATGGGCTGGGGTGCTGCTGATGAGATGCTCGGTGGGACTTGCGAGGAGGAGGTCAGTGCTCCTATGATGCAGCAGGGCAGTGAATGGGAGGGTGTGCCGCTTCCTATGGAAGGGTGGTCGTAAGATCCCTGTCTTGTGAGGCAATGAGATCAATGAAAGTGCTTTCTATACCCGCTGTGGTTTTTCTGTTCGGTTATGTAGTCGATTTTACTGCTATGTTTGTTATTCATGTTTGGTTTTCGGCTTGGGTCTACTTTGTCTTTCTATAGTTATCTTTGGAAATTCAAAATTCAAGTTTCCCTGATTTCCGGTGTCCATACTACTTCGAGACTCTTTCTTTTTATCCCACCCACCGTTTGAAGGTTCTAGCCAGGACAACTAACTCCGAGACACGTGCTGACCGAGTGAATGAGTTGAGTCGCTAGATGTAATATGCTTAAGTTCTCATATATTCCTATCCAAGTGCCTATTTTACAGAATTAGGTGATAATGCCGGATATCATTATGACCCCTTACTGTTCAACCCGCAACATTGTCGAGCATCCCCATGCTTTCCCCGGATTGATACCCTAAATCCAAGTCCAAGTCCAAGCTACTTGAAGTAGCGATTATCTCTGATTGAGTTCCATGAAGCTGATACAGCTATTTTCGGCTACGGGTTTTTCCAAATACCTTCAATAGAATGGTATGGAAAGTAGGGTTTCCCTTCCGCTCGGCCACATTAAAGCCAAAGTTGTACGTGGGCAGAGTTCTAATATATAAAAATAAACTTAAGATGTAGCCTTTAGAAACGTCGAGCTAGTATATGAAACATTGGTGCGCAAGCGGAACCGGGGTAGCCGCTTCTACTTTACACTCTACTCCATCGGCCGTAATCGTCTGTAAATGATTAGTCTCCGAGTCGTATTCCATAGTTTCAAACATAAAGTACCGACTCACAAAGGCTTCGGCATCAACCTCCATCTTTGGCGTGGCATTGTTGAATTTCATGTCAAGCTTAGTGACTGTGCGAGTATTCTTCACAATTTCGACCTGCTTTTCAGGTCGTAGGATTTGACGGAGCCCTTCTCCATACCAGCCTTGGAAACAAAAACCACACTACTCGAGGGTAAAGGGGCTAGGTTGTTGTCAGCTCAGGATATCTTATAGATAAGAAGAGGACTTTATTAAGCTTACCGCAAACATAACATGGATGTCGATACCACCGGCAGTGATTATTCTCCCCTCTGCAGCAATAATATCCGCCTTGGATCCAATCACCGGGGCAGGATTCACCTCATCCATCACATCATGATTGCCGGTCTTTCCGATCCCCACAATGACCCCATCTTTCACTCCAATATCGGCTTTGAAGATTCCACTCCAGAACGCATTCACCAAAACTAGGTCCGCACACTCGTCATCTGCACATCCAGCAGCTTGTCCAATTCTGTGGCGTAGAGTCTTACCACCTCTAAACGTACACTCGTCTCCGTGTGCTATATAGTCCTTTTCAATCTTCACCCACAGATCTGTTGAGCCCAGACGGACCAAGTCACCGATAGTCAGGCCATGCATTAAGATATATGAAAGTTGATCCATCGCAAAGGGCCCGAGCTTTTATATATTAACGAGCACCTCCTCGGAAGTGTGTCGGAACCCTTCCTCCCTGGTGCATTGCAGTACTGCGTTGGTGTGGGACAGGTCAATGGTTCCTGTTGCAATACTGCTCCCCCGCTTGATGGTTTTGAGACCACTGATCTGCATCAAATTCACAATTTTAGTGTCGCCGGGCTCTAAGTGAGTGGATGTCCCAGCGGGTTTCAAGGTGGTAGCCATAAGCTTTGATCCGGTCGAAATCCAGCTCGGGGTTTGATCAATGCCTACTCTGTTGTTGGTTATATCACTAGCTAACCTGGTTTTGTCACTTTCTGGTTCAGAAAGGGGGACCATGAAGAAACTCTTGATCCAAGATAGTCTGATTCTGGATGAAACATCGTCTACCAAGATAAGAATGAGATGGACGATCTCGGGGTTTTTGGCACTCTCACCATTCGAGGCCTAATATTTCCTTCTCTCGGCGACTTCTTTCTCGCGGAGTTTTCCCGTCTCCCGCGTATTCAAACAGATGGGAAACTCCATGGACAAGCTGGTTTGCACTCCGGCGAATCTGTCAAAGCATGAACTGCTGCTTCCGTGCAAGACTCTGTCATTGTCAAATTTGGCTCTCGGGATGTCGATGCTGCAGAACGTTGGTTGAAGAACATGATATTGCAAGATGGAACAGTGGAGAGGGAATTTTGGGAACGCTCTCTGCTATGTCTACATTGAGTGGTCTCCATGATTGACATTCCCTATCATAATGGGTTCGTATCATATAGCAGCTGGAAATCAGATCTCACATGTACAGATATCTTTCGTAAGAGACAACTTCCTATGGTCCCACTATATGATATGGTTGGATGAGAGAAGACCCGGATGCTTTGTGCCCAGCCCTTGCGGCATATAATAGTTCTTTAGTCCTAGTCCCTTTGCTGTTTCAGTTAGCATATTGTGTTTGTTTCGAGGTACATACTTGGGGTTTAGAAGTGGGCAAGTTCTACGTGGGGTGGATTTTTATCAACAGTACAAGTCAACATGATCTCCAGGCACGACTAAAAGCGAAAGTTTAGAGCGCGAAGTGTTTTGGACGCCTAGGGTCAATGATGCCTTTTAATTGAATGTCTCGAGCATGTAGCGAGAGGGCCTTTTGAACTTTTCATTCCAAAATATGCGTGAACCCGAACCGAGTATATGGTGATGACTACATAGGTATTAGGGCAAGATCCTCAGTATATATTTCAATTCTGACTGAACGTTCGGGGATCTACCAGCAGAGTATTGAGAAAATACAACAACGCCAGCAAGGTATACAAGAAATAATGTAGCCGTCTATCTAGTTCGAGGCAAAAAAATTGGGACGAGCCGGGATTGAACCAGCGACCTTGCGAACTTCAGTCGCACGCTCTCCCAACTGAGCTATCGTCCCATGTTGGAATGATGTCATTAGCATTGTACTGATACATACTGCTGGGCTTGAATGCCATTTGTGGTGGATATTTGTAATTTCTCAAGAGAGAAATGCGGCGCTAGGATTGGAGTATTAAGAAAGCCAACAGTGGAATGATGAAACTAAATAAAATACTTGGGTGATCTCCTTGTCTGCTTCTCCTTGGTCTTCTTGGGTATGTGAAGCATTGTGTCATACTTTTTGCTACGGAGATTACCTCCTAGGGTCACTACATTCAACTCTCTTGAGTTGCGGATACCGCGTTTTGTGCGTTCATGTCTGTATATTCTGTGAGATAACCCAATAATCATCTAAATAATTGCGAGATTAGTTATCATTCATTCGTGCTTGAAATAAATTTCCCAAATCAAAAGCAACCAAGGCAAAAATATGTATCCATCCATCTACTTTCTGGCTCGTCCCTCTATGTGTACATAGCACATAAATGGGTAGAATATGGCAAATAACCATTACATACATGTACTGTATTTCAAATTATGGTCCTTGTAGGCTATACGCAGCACCGATGGCCTACCCCTACTATAAGTACGAGAGATCGATATAAGGTGCGGAGAATAATGCATGCGTTATATATATATTCACAGCCATGCAATATCGATATATACTATGCCAAAATTCTTGACATGCTAGGTCATCAATTCAAGTAATCTGTGAGCTATGCCTCTCATGCGCATTTATGCACCCTAGCGTCCCGCGGATCTTATATGCTTGTCCATTGAATTTGTAAACAATATTGAAGACGTGGAACAAAAATGTTATATTTTCTTAATAATGTATTCAAGAGCTTAACTCTTCATCCCAAATGGGACGATAGCTCAGTTGGGAGAGCGTGCGACTGAAGTTCGCAAGGTCGCTGGTTCGATCCCGGCTCGTCCCATTATTTTTTTTGCATTATTCGTCTGCTCGGCTAGTTACGGACCAAGTGTGCCTGCCACATGGATGGATATAAATAACGCTCTCATTGGATACTGACTGCCTAGCCGTACGTAAGCCGGCTCCTCGAAGCACATCTATATATGCATGTCTATGCAATTTCAAATTGTATGCATTTTTGTATTTCGTAATATCCACCTACAATACAACACTTCCTACCTCAACTAAGGATGACACCGCATGGGTACATTAACAGGTAAAATCCTGCTAGATCCATTTAAATTCAGAATGAATACATATGTACTATATAGCACACAGCGTTACGTGCACTAAAGCCCACGGAAAAACCTGTTTTACTACCACATATGATTCGGGTTAGCTGTGCCTGGCGCCTAGGCCCATTGACCGATGCCCATTTGTGCTACAGCCGCGCCCCATCCTCGTTCAACCTCACTCTTCTGGCGGGAGCCATTTTCGGCTCCTTTGTTGACCGTCCTGCTTCCCTGAGTCTGCGACTCATTTACCAGTTACATTCCGGGTAAATTGTTATGTATCAAGGGACACGTAAGATTAACTGCCGTCATTAACAAATGCAATGAAATCCAAAATCCCGTTCAAAACGAATAGATTGCTGGTGGGCTTTCTTTTCTATTCGTTCCCGGGATCGGATTTGACCTACCTCCTTATATGGGTGAGTGAATGATGTTCTTCACTTAACATTCTGACTTCCCTAACATAAAAAAAAAAGAACAGCCCCGGTACACTACTATAATGGACCTTCGTTGAAGTAGCACATGCCCAGGGAAATCTTGAATACCCTGGGCCTATGATACGAATTGCAGGTGAAACCAAGCCACGGTTAGAATCAAGGAATCTCTCCATGACATTAGTCTTTCACGGTTCTCTCTATCTGATACGACTTCATGGGGCGCTTGGTGGCGTTGGCTGAACAAGAAGCTCGGTCGCTCGATCAAAGCGCACAGCGATGTTAAAATCATCAGTGAATTACTCCAAGAACTCAAAGTTTCTACAGAAAAAAAGACCCCTCAACTACTTGATAGGTTTTCGGTTGCAACACCTGAGATCAGCTCCATCAGTTCAACAGTTAACACTGCACTCGGGGATTTGAATCCGCGCACATGGGTAGACGATATCGGGTTTTACCCCAGAGGCTTAGCGGTGGCCGTGGGCTGTGCATAAAACCAACAGGATCTTTGGGAATACTCAGACGAGTTTGATAACTCACCTAATGCCCATGTTTTCACTATTGTCTACAGTGCATCTTCTATACACCAGCATCTTACCCCCCTCTCTCTGGCGAGGCTTTATTTCCATTCAATCGGGACGAAGGGCATTTTCTAGATTTCGAAGTCGGGCTAGATCATCTTCCCCAGACAAACGGGTCCCAGGATGCATTATAGTCCCGCCTTCGTTCGCAACTATTGGTCCTTCCTCGAGACTACCCATATTATTTTCCTCATATTCTTGTGACTGGGGAGAGAGTAACCTACCCGCAATTTCTAGCTACTTTGAGAGATGCCCTGGCTGAAATGATGCCTATATCGCCTGTGAATGTTTAGTCAAATACCCAGATAATGGGGATTATGTGGACCCTGCTATCGTCTTCAAAGCAGCCCCTCGAGGTGCAGCATTATATGCCCGAAGACGACAAGAGGTACAGGGCCTACAGGCCGACTGTACCGAACGCTCCAAATGCGAAGCGATAAGGAAAAGAGAGCGAGTGCGTCTTCCTTTGAAGGAAAATCTATGTTAAAGTAAATGACACGCCCTATTTGTTCACTTTTTCTTAAGATGCCATATGGTGCTCTTAGCGCATGAGTAATACTCGCCCAACCAAGACACACCAACTGCCGGGAAATATAATCCAATGAGAGTTGTGTCTAGGAGACACATTTAGTTAATTAATAAGCTCATGAGTCCAATAATCCCTGCATCTTGCATCCCAAATGGGACGATAGCTCAGTTGGGAGAGCGTGCGACTGAAGTTCGCAAGGTCGCTGGTTCAATCCCGGCTCGTCCCATATGTTTTTTACATTTCTTCATCAGCAGTTGTAAATTAGCTTCATGAGCCAAATATTCTTGATTCTTTCATCCCAAGTGGGACGATAGCTCAGTTGGGAGAGCGTGCGACTGAAGTTCGCAAGGTCGCTGGTTCAATCCCGGCTCGTCCCAATTTTTTTCGCCTCGATCGTCTAGATAGACGGCTGGCTACATTATTTCTTGCATACGCAGCATACCTTGCTAGCGTTGTTGTTTTTCTCAATTTATACTTGTAATAGATAAATACATCACAGGAGATGGAGTGAACTGCAAGAAGATAGACACGCAGGCGTCCAGACATTCCCAACAAAGGAAGGCTTGTTACGGCAATACATTGAATGCGGTTAGGCTGTTGTAATGGTTGGGTAGAAGGAGGGGAATGAGAAGGATAATTCGATAGTAAGTCTAGTTAATATTCACTAACTAGTTAGCTGTGACAAAACTATTCACTAGCTCCATGGACATAACTCTAGAAGATATCTTTGGAAAGGAGCAACTCTGCCAGTAACTCCATTGAGGGAAGAGGTAAAGATGGTGTTCCCACCAGGAGCTTCCTCGCTAGACCGGCGCGGTATGCTTCACTTACCTGTGTGTCCTTCGGGCCCATCTCCGGCGTTATATAGCCGTTAGCATTTCCATACACAGTTACGACGGTGTCTTAAGACGTATTAGTTTTTCGCGTGACAGGTGGGCGTTTTTGGAAAGAGGTCGTGTGGCACTTAGTGGCTTGACCGGGTAATGTAAGTCGTGGCTAGGAATGAGCCAACTGGAAGTCCAAAAAAAGTTCAGAATTGAGAGCACCCAGGCCAAAATCATTCATCATGTGGAAACCAAGCTGGTACTTTGATATTCGAGTCTATAGCACCTTAGGCAGTCAAGAACATCATTAGACTCCTCTATACCTACTGCTAAATATTAATGTGGTATATGATAACGCGCTAGCTTATAGTACCGTCCTTTCCACCCGTAAGCTACTCTTGAGAGTTTTTATACTCGAGACTGTAGAAGTTCCAAGCACGCAAGGACTATCATGAGGATCCGTGGGGGATTGCATAGTATATGGTTGCTCCTCTTCTGTCCTCTTCTCCTTTCCCATAAACAGTGCTCGATAGCAAGTACAGCCGTATTACTCTATCTGCCCTCCTCTCTCCCTTTTCTCCCAATGTACTGACTTTTATGCTAGCTCCTGGGAAGCCTGTCCAGTAACCGATACAAATGACGCCAATAATGTAGTGGCGAACCCCATGGCAGAAAAATCTCTGATAGATGACCACAAAAGAGAGAGGGCAAAAAATTGTCCAGCAGAGAGGAAGGTCTTAGCAACTTAGGTAAGCCTCAGGCAGCTTAGCCCTAAACAAACTGGCTAATTTTAAGAGACCCGAAGGAGACTTGATGTTTACGACACACCTTGTTGAATGGATCCAAAACCCCTGGTGAATATCGGCTAATAAATCCACATTCCAGCGCCTCAGGCTAGCCTAGGTGGTTTTGGAAGTAGGAGGGACTTGAGGGAAATCTGCGATTATCTAGGGGTGTGTGCTGGTTTATTTTGCCCTCTATTGGTCGAATAAAGCCTAATTTTACTAGGAGAAGGCTAGTGACCTCGGTTACAGGAAAGATGGCAGATAACCACAGAGCAACACGCTATTGAATTTGATCATCCACTCAATCGGCCCCCTCGATCGTGCATCGTGCAGCCACAATATGCATCCACTGATTTTCTAGTTCGATAACTGGCGTAACGCTTAGGTAATGTGGAGAAACTAACAAGATCTAGATCCAAGCGCTTTCTTGATTGGATTTTTCGAAAAAGCAAATATTCAAGTTTATATTAACTGATCGAGGCTATAATTCCTACTAGGTCCTTGCCCCCGGTCACCCCCTGCTTCATCGCCTCTCTCCGATCTTATAAAGTCTTTCACCTTGGCCTTTCAACTGTTTCGTTCGACATATACCAGCTCCAAAGCAATCGTTATGGCACCACGTCTATTGAACAAAATATGCCTCATCACCGGTACAGGTGGTGGCATGGGACGTGCAGCAGCCCTCAAGTTTGCCCAAGAAGGCGCCAAAATTGTCGGCTGTGACATCAACACCGTGACCGATGCAGCAACCGTCAAAGTCGTGCGAGAACTAGGTGGTGAAATGATATCCCTGGCCCCATGCGATCTCACAAAACGCGAAAACTGCGAGCAACTGGTCAACCTAGCCATAAAAACCTATGGACGTATCGATGCGCTGTACAACAATGCGGCAATGGCCTACATGAGCTGGCTCGATGAAGCCAAGGATGATGACTGGTACAAAACAGTCGACCAGGAGTTAAGTCTCGTCTATCTGTTGACTCGTGTCGCATGGCCACATTTGAAGGAGTCTGGTGCATCTATCATCAACGTTGGCTCTTCCAACGGCTGGATTGCAGTTCGTCAAGTGCCTGCTATAGCCCACACAGCTGCGAAGGGTGGTGTTATTGCCATGACACGCCAGTTGGCCATGGAAGGGCGTGAGCACGGTATCCGGGCCAATTCGATCTCACCAGGCCTTATCGAGACTCTACAAACTGCACCTTTGCTTGCAGACCCGGAGTGGACCGCAAATGTGACGCAGAAGATTATGCTTGGACGCAGCGGTCAGCCAGAAGAGGTTGCGGCTGTGGCTAGCTTTCTTGCTTCAGATGAGAGCTCCTATATCACTGCTGCAGATATTCGGGTCGACGGTGGTATGACAGCTTGGTCGTGAAGTTATTTGCATTCATGTTTTGGCGAGTGGTGATTGAGATCAATGCATAGTGTCTGTCGTTGTGTTGGCCATATCTGTATTTTCTCAGAGTTGGTCCGGAAGGCTACTCGCTGCGGTATCCCTATCGGGAAAGGCGTTTACATGTGTCGTTATGCTGCATAGACGTCGCTCCTTTTTTAGTTCTAAAATCTGTAAGGATCTGTTTTGTTGTCTGTGCCAATAGAGACAAATAAATGTTCCATCCTTATGAAAGCAGATCAGTGAGGGAAAATTGAGACTGCTAGAAGGCTGGGGATATGACAGCTGACTCTTCTCAGCTTTACTACGGATACAGGATTGACCCTATCCACAATTTTCTAAGAGGATCGTCAGTTCTCACAAAAAGTTGGGTTTTCCAAGTTTGCTCTTGGGGCATAAGGTCGCCTTATATTTTTTGGGGTTGGCATTTTTGGAGCCGAGCGGGCCGCGATCTCATCCAGAAACCTTATCACCGGTATGCCCCACCCTGTAGCTCTGATTTGTAATCCATCAACCCCCTAGTTCCGGGGTCATCGATCCTGGGCATTGGGGTGTGCATATCGAAGAATATGCATACATTTTGATTGAAGGCGACAGTCTTACCATTCTACACATACTGTTACATTTCAATGGCCAGACACGATAAGCTCATTTCAGGTAGGGCGGAGCTCCAGGGAGCATGACTTCATATCTTATGATTAACTTCGTGTTTTCAGGTGACCAATTCCTTTTTATTCCAATGAAAGATTCGAATGACCCCATAACGAAGCGCTTGGCCCGGTCGCATGCTGTAGCACACGGGCTTCGGAATAAAAGAAGGGTTCAGCAAATCTCGGGCCATAATTTCCATGTTTTATGCCCAGCAAGCGATCAGAGCCTACTAGCGAGCAAAGAGAAACATCAGAAAGATCTTATCGCACCATCGGCTTTCCTTGGTGCAAATTTCTTCGATCCGTTCGAAATGTTAGCTGCAGAGTCGCCGAAACTACGGGACTTGTTAAATCGACGTAAGATTCTGGAAATCACCCAACGTCCGACAACAGCTCAACTAAATTTTGCTATAGAAAGGCTCCAAAAAACCACCGAGCTGGTATTCAGTGTCTCTGATGAGCTTGTGCTTCAAAACTTTCGCTCCGTTCTTCAAAAAGGACTCGATGATAACGCTCTTCTGAGTGCTATCATGCTCACATTTTCCTTTACAGCCACAGAATCTATGACCAGCAGGGAGTGTCTCGAATACCAGAACAGGGCTCTGAGCTCTATCCGTCAAAGAATGAGTTCTCTGGATAGGGTTGCCACAGAGCCTACAATAGGGGCTATTCTGCTACTCGCCGGTATAGAGGTTCGTGCATGTTTCCTTTAGATTTTACCATGCCCGGGAGAAGTATAGTGACCCAAAGCTAATATTTTTGCTACCAAGATTCGTCTTGGGATGCCGCATCAAGTTCAGCTCCACATGGGGGCAGTACAACACATTCTTGACGTATGCCAAAGAAAGGGCGTGAATTTGAGTGACGATATAAAACGTGCGGTCTTCTGGTAAGTGAACTGGAACATTTTATGATGATTAAACCTTACATCGGCCGACAGGTCAGACTTGAATGGGTCAGTCATGACAGGCTCATGCCGAGTTGTTGATCACACTACGTTTTCCGAGCTCCGGTGGAGAAGAGATCCTGCCCATACGCACTTTTTTCTTCTTCCATCCGGCTTTCAAAATCACTCCTATACACTGGGTCAGGATTTCGTTGAAATTCTCAAGGACATTTTTGCATTGCAATGTATCCGAGATTCAGCAATCCTCGGCAAGGAGGATGTAATTCCGATGGCACAGATCGATAACCACCAAGCGTCTATCCAGTCGAGGCTAGTGAGCTTAACAATTCGTTCGCCTATCTCAGAATGTTGCTACCAAGCGGCGTATCTATGCTCGACTATGCTGCGCTGCAAAATCTGGCGGACTTCAACTATCCCTGTAAGACAATCGCAATGGCTGCGTTCCTTGCCCAGTCTATCGGACTGTACTAACTTTGCATACCACCAGTCCCATCTTTCATTACAACTACTCTATGAGCTACAGGCAGCGAGCGATAGTCCAGCATGGGATGATTCGCCTGATATGTTAGCTTGGCTCTTACATATCGGGGGGGCTTTTGCCCCCGTAGGGACTGTACGACAAGGCTACGTACAGCTGTTGCAATTGAATCGTAGCAGATTCAGATGGCTGTATAAATCATGGCCCGAACTTCTTGCAATTCTCAAGCAATTTATCTGGTCGGAAAAAGCATTTTTGTCCCAGGTTAAGGCCTTCTGGGAAGAAAATTCCACCCAGACTAGTTCTTTAATGGCTCAATTTACTCAATTATCGAGGCCAAAGCAGTAAAAGCGGTAACATGTTGATTATAAATCATATATAGTTAGTTATTATGAAATTGCCTTGTTATATTTGTCATCGCCAATTATGCCCAGGTGGCGCTGATTACTTCGAGGGCTGAAGTTAGCAGAAACTCTCGGATATTGTGCCCCACTAGCCTCAAATCCCAGATGAATGATTGGCCCCAAACGGGGGACTCTAACCGCAAATGGTCAAGTTCGTTGGCTTTTCCCTAATAGGAAGTATCTCTCTACCCTACTTGTATAGAGCAATTCTAACATTCATCCGACGACTGCTGAATAATTTTACTTGAAAAACGAGTACAAGTACCCAGTCCTTCCTGAAATCGAGGTATGGATCAAAATCTTCTTGACTCTCCCACTGAAGAACCGCCATTCAAATATCCTTGACCATGCCTCAATCACGCCTTTTCAAGCCCCTCAAGATAGGTGGCATGGAAGTCAAACATCGAATCGGAATGGCACCACTCACTCGCTTCCGAGCAACCGAAGACCGAGTTCCAACACTCCTCATGAAGGAATACTACGGCCAACGCGCCGCAGTGCCAGGCACCTTGATCATCTCTGAGGGAACATTTATATCAGCAACATGTGGCGGATTCCCACACGCACCAGGGATTTGGTGTGAGGATCAAATCGCTGCCTGGAAGATTGTCACCGATGAAGTTCATCGTAAAGGATGTTTCATATTCTGTCAACTATTTGCCATGGGTCGTGCTGCGGATGTCGATTCAGCCCGGAAGGAAGGCAACGAGGTCATAGCTCCCAGTGCTATTCCAATGGAAGAAGGCGCCGTGGTGCCCAGGGCCATGACCACCGACGAGGTCAAGCAGACAATCCAAGATTATGTCAACGCTTCGAAGAACGCTATTCAGGCCGGCTTTGACGGTGTCGAGGTTCATGGTGCGAATGGATATTTGCTTGACCAATTCATCCAAGACGTCAGCAACAATCGGGATGATGAGTACGGCGGGAATGTTGAGAATAGATCTCGTATTCTCGACGAGGTGATCAAAGCTGTTGTTCATACCATTGGCCGTGAACGTGTCGGGCTTCGGCTGAGCCCCTGGAGTACGTTCCAGGGTATGAAAATGGAGGATCCAATCCCGCAGTTCACGGATGTGATCAGCAGGGCCAGACAGGCAGAAATTGCATACCTTCATCTCGTTGAGTCGCGAATTTCCGGCTCCCAGGATTACAAGGGTCATGACACCCTGAATTTTGCTTACGATTTATGGGATGGACCTTTTCTGGTTGCTGGTGGGTATGAAGCGCATGAGGCCCGTAAATTGGTGGATGAGAAGTATCCGGAGAAGGACATCATGGTCATCTTTGGCCGGCACTTCATCTCCAATCCGGATTTGATATTCCGGATTAGAAAGGGTCTGGAGCTCAATGCGTACAACAGAGATACTTTTTATGTCTTTGAGTCAGCGGAGGGTTATTCGGATTATCCATTCAGCAAGGAGTATCTGGCAGATGGGACATACGCCTAATATATCTATGAAAAGTATTTAGAGTACCTATAGGCAATCTCACCAACCTCAAGGGTTTTCTGGATTGAGCGCCAAAAGTCTTAGTTGGCCGTGGAATTGCAGAATAAATGGCCTGACAAATATCATCTTGACATCTCCAAACATATCGCCCCATACAGCCTCTCATATTGGTCGCACATAGGTGATATCCTCTATCTTACCGCGCTATGTTTCCGTTTTGTTTTCAAGGTCTTTCCGACTCTCCCGGTATCTGTCGATGTCCCAAAATAGATCACACGTGCTATCAATTTATTCGGAAGATAGTTATGCCGACATATTTCTGTTCTGACAGCAGATGTTCCCCTATATTGTACGCAGTATGTTGTATAGAAATGTCGCAACCCACTAAGTTCATGAGGCTTGCGAGTTAGTGCGCTTCTTTCCTTAAGTATATCAGTCACGCTAACTGGAACCCAGGTCCTAATGAACGCCGTACAATTAGTCGCGAAGATGTCGGCTTTTACAACGCGCTTGTCATAGCAGGAGTTTATGAGATTGCGAGTGAAAATATAGACGTTAATTCTATCCAATCATTTCTTGCTCCTTTGAGACACTGCATCGAGAAATACCCACACCTAAGCGTGGTCGTTAAGGACAAGCATACCGACAAGCCAGCATACGAAGCTGTTTCGAGTATTGATCTTCACAATCATGTGTCTATAATCCACGAAGACGAAGCTAGCAGCAATGACGAGACGGCAACAATTGAAAAGATCATGCCAGCCATACTTGACCGGCCATGGCCTGCTGATATCCCACCTTGGCGAATCGTGGTCCTCCCTCTGCTGTCACCGCAAGACTCCAAAGTGAAACGATGCTTTGTCGCCTTAGCGTTCTCCCATACTCTCGGAGACGGCATGGTTGGAGTTGCCTTCCATCGCACTTTTCTAGATGCATGGCGCCAGCCTACTGACGCGGAGGAGAAAGCCTCTTTCTTAGTGACTCCGCCAAATCAAACGCTCCCAGCACCCTTTGACACACCCGAAAGGCTCCCCATATCTTGGAAGTTCCTCCTTGGGCCGTTGGTAGCAGTTTACTTGCCAAAATTTGTGAACACAATTCTTGGGCTCCGCGCATCTGCTAGCACGCTAGATGCCGGTACTTGGATTGGGTCACCGATGTTCTTCGATCCGGCAGCTGTCATCCAGAGCAGAGTAAGAATCATTGAGATTGAAGCCCCACTCGTCCAAAAGGCCCTACAGGCATCAAGAAGTCATGGCACCAAGCTCACGGGAACGGTGCACCAGATGATTGTTCGGGGGCTAAGTAAGGCCATTCCTAGCCTTGAAGTAACCAATTTTGTCTCAGGGACACCTGTTGATATGCGAGCGTCTATCGGAACGCCTGGTCTCACATGGGGTCTTTTCGTGTCTGGCCTATATGAGGTACATCCACGGGTACCGAATGTGACGGATCCTGCTTTGTCCGAGGAGATGTGGGAAGCCGCGAGGTCGATGACGCAAAAGCTCGCTGAATGCGGGGCGAGGCTGCAGGACCAAGCAATTGGCCTGCTGAGATATGTCCCCAGTATCAGAAATTGGACGTTGAGTAAAGTTGGACAGCAGCGGGACTCCTCGTACGAACTGAGCAATTTGCTTGCCTTTGATAACATGGACGACGGTGCAGATCAAAAGTGCAAGGTCGTCAAGATGGTGTTCTCGCAGCCTGGCAATGTTACTAGTGCGCCACTTGCTTTCAACATGATCAGTGTCAAAGGTGGGAGCTTGGTGTGCACGGTGAGTTGGCAAGCTGGAGCCTTGGGTGTACCGGTAGAGGAGGAAATATCATTGGTTGATAATATATGTTCGTCGATTCGAGCGGACTTGGAAGCCTTGAGGGATTGATTTTACACCATTTTCAACCCTGGGACCTCTTGTTTATATTTTTAGACTCGTACAGGAGAAATAATTGTTGAGACTTCCGCCTCAGGCTGATGTTTTTCATATGTAGTGGGCCTATTGTCATTTTAGTGAATTAGAGTCATACACATCTGCCATTCATACTATACAATGTCGTACACCCAGATTTCTGTTAGTCCCTAATCATAATATCTCAATTTTGTCTGAATCTAGGTAAACGAAATTTTCTGTAGCTAATTATACATTATGGGTTTGAATTGAGTAACCACTGGGGTTCAATCTAATCTCCCCCGTGCTCTGGGCACCTTGCTTGCCATCTTGATGATTCTTGTTTGTGGTAGCAATGATTCTTGCGAGAGCCACGGCTATTTGGCTCTATTGGGCACTCCCAACATGCTGGTTGCTATCCTGACGTTTGTTGATCTGCCTTAGAGCGGTCTGCTAGTAACTAGCCCTCCAAGTTCAACACAGTTTTGCGCATGCAGGTTCAAGGAGTCGCAGCTTCAGCCGCAGCTTTCTTCTCGGCTCTCTTTTTAACATGGTCTAACCGTACGCTCTTGTGCTCTGCAGCAAGGGCGACCAAGAAGGACACTCCGGCTAGGGCAATACTCCAGATCCAGGCGGCCTTTAGTCCTTTCATGTAAGCGTTAACAACGATATTGAGCTCCTTGGCATTCCGGAAGATCTTGGCCAAATTGGCTGAACCAGCGGCAAACACATCAGCGGTAGATATCGAGCCATCTTTCGGCAGCGAGGAAATGAGGACGTTGTTCATTATATTCGTGGAAGCTGAAACACCGATAGTACCGCCAATAAATTGGAAGACTGTGAGAGTCAGGGTTTCCGTCAGTCAGTGTGACCAGGGACAGAAAAAGAGGACGGTGCGCAGCATGACTCACATAAAACGGAGCCCACGGTGACAGACATGTCCGCCCGCTTGGAGATGGCCTGAGCCACAATGACGTTGAGCTGGATGATGAGGCCCGACCCAATTGAGGCCAGCACCTGATAGCCAATGTATTTGCCTGCCCCAGAGTTCGGCTCCAGGGTGTAGATCATAGCGGATCCTACCGTCACAAACATGGAACCCAGTAAGAGGAAGGGCTGGTAGTAGCCCACCTTGCCGATAGCAAGGGACCCGGCGAAACTAAATATGGCTGTTTTGGAAGGTGTGTTAGTTACGAGGAATCACGAGAGACGGGGCAATAAGGACAACCGTCGAAGGCTACTTACAGGTTGTCAACACTGTAGGCAGTGTTCGAATGCCCGACTCTGATGGTGACTGGCCTTGTGCTGCCTGGAAGTAAATGGGAAGGTTATAAATACGGGCAAACCCAGATCCCTGTGCTGTCAAGTTGAACAGGGCAAGGACCAGAATGGTTCGGCGCTTGATGATCCGAGGAACAATCATGGCCCCTTCACCTTGCTTCCATTCTAGCGCGATGAGCAAAATAACCATCAGGATAAATCCAATGAGAAGTCCAATACAGTAGCCGCTGTTCCAGGGCTTGGTGACACCGCCGTTCTCCAGTACCAAGACCAGGCATACCAACGCACACACCGTGAGGGCGATGCCCGGGATATCGAAGAGGAAGGGGAGCTCCTTCAATTTAGCATGCGCAACACGAGAATGAGGAGGCATCTTCAAGAACAACACCAAAATGATCATTGAAAGTCCTCCAATGGGTAAGTTAACCCAGAAGCACCATCGCCATGTCGCGTACTGGGTGAATACACCACTCAGTATAGGGCCCAGCACAGAAGACAAGCTAAAGACGCCACTGGTGAGACCGAACACTGCGTGTAGGTATTTGGGACGCGTGATGAACGCTAACACTGTGTAACAGCCACCGGTAACACCCGCGCCACCGACGCCTTGAATGGCACGGCCGATGATCAAGGCCGGGCTGTTGGGCGAGAGGGCAGCTACCAAGCTTCCCAGCTCAAACACGGCGATGGCGGTTAAAAAGGCAATCTTGATGGGGAAGTACTTGTATGCTTTCCCCCAAAAGGACTGAAAGCTGGCCAAACAAAGGAAGAAGGCGGAACCATACCATCCCATCTGACCTTCGCTATGGAAGCGAGCCGTGATAGTGGGGATAGCGGTAGTGATGATGCTCTGGGGAGGCTTGATTAGCTACCTCCTTGCACAGCTCCCCGAAGGGAAAAAAAAAACATAGTTCTTACCATGTCCAAAGCGACCAGAAACATAGCCAGCAGCAAGGCGATGGTGAGAATACTGCCCATTATGGCTCCCGGATACTCCACACTGGGAGGCCCGGTTGGAGGAGCCGCTTTCTTCTCATCCTCATCTGTAGTATTGCGTATCGATACATCTTTCGACTCTTCAGAGCTGGCGACAGGTACCGGGTTACTCGAAGTGGGTGACGACTCCCGAGATGGATCTTTCACTTCAGCCATATTATATCCAAGTGTATGTGGCTGGCACTAGCTCCAGATATTCAAATGTGGGCGACTGTAGTTAGACACTAATTGAAACAAAAAAACATCTGTGTGAATCGCCAATGATTAGTGTTCTTAAGTATGGAGATGCTTCTTTGTCTGCAGTATCTACCCCTAGACTTCCAAGGGTCATGTTTGCACTCGCTGCTACGATCTCCTAAATCCGACAAATGCAAACTAGAGAACAAAAAGCCGCTACTTCTGTGGGCTGATGATTGGATCTGGCCAGGGATGTTTATCAATGCTTGAGATTTGTGTGGTTTGCATGGTTTGGTGGTGGCGTAATGTAAGGCGTGCTCGGGTCCTTTCTCGGCCTTTGGTTGGCACTTCTCTCCTCTGCTGGGTCTTTTGCACCTGTAAGCCTCTTTGCATGGTTTGTATTAGCCAGGCCGCGTAAAGGGGCGATACGAGATCGGGTCCTTTCTCGGCCTTTGGTTGGCCCTTCTCTCTCCGTCTGTTTGCACCTGCAAGCCTCCTTGCATGGTTTATTGGCCGTGTCGTGTGTAGGGTGATACGAGCTCAGGTTATTTCTCGACACGGGATGGCCGTGTAATTCTAGAATGCTTGTTTGTTAGTTTTAAATTTGGGTTACGATTTGCTCATCGCCCAGACGTCTTGGCGCCGCTAAAAATTCGATTGAAGATGAACCGCGAAACAAGCCTGTAGGCCAAGAACTGGCTACCTGCCTGGGCCGCCTTTAGGCTGTCACCCGTCGGGAGGATTCCACCCCGTGCCGCCCCGAATACGCGGTTCAACTCTTTTTGGCGTTATCATATAACCACCTGCCAGAAAGGGCTGTCACTTTGCCATAGCCGTATGATCATCATATTCGATTCTTTCACTTTCAACTTCCGGCCGGATATAGTAGTATTTGAAATCAGTTTTATTTAGTGGGCGTTATAGTAAGGTGGGAAAACTAAAGCCGACCGCTTTGTGGGATTCACCCCAGCGTATAGATAAAAGATATGTTATACACTTCCGGGAGCTCGAATCACTTCGTGACTATCTCTCTTGAAATTCTTTGCACCTCAGAGATCGTCTGTAGAGAGGAGTAGAAGCATTCGATAGCCCGTGCTTGCAAGATGGAGACTAGCGTGATCCGTATGTTGCTTATAATCAAATAAGCTTCCAATTGTGGGACATGAAGAATCTTGTTTGTGGACAAATATTGCATACATGTACCCCGACAGTTAATTCTGTCTCAGCTCCATTCCCATCTACTACAATGTTCTTGTTGACACCCATGCTGCGTTTCACGTTATAATCCAGACTAGATTACAGGTGCTTCCCACCTGCTTCCTTTTCTCTCCACTCTATCTCACATGCTTCGAGATTCTTTCTTCCGTCGTTTCTATTCTGGCTGCGTATAAGACGTAACTGACCACCTTTCTCCTACCCCTGTCAGCGTAAGCGGCAACGCAATCTCCACTGGCTGCAATGAGTGGAGACCGTCGAGAATTAAGGGAGGGAGGCTACTGGTAAGACTGAGTTCAAATATTACTGTATCTATAATGTGTTTTCAATTGCTGCGAATTTCCAATCATATTCTTGTTCGTCTCATGTAATCAAAAAGATGCCATTAAGGTGTTTCGTCGCACATATTCCTAGAAACCCCAAAAGGATGGGCTCCAAGAACAACTACCATTCGGAGGTTAATACAAGAGTTGATCCGAAAAGGGTTTAATTAATGAATATCGATCAGTAGACTGTGTACTTTGTACGGAGTAGAAGAAATACGCTAATTTAGGTAGGGTTACATTTTGACGGGCGGCGCCTACTAATTAATGTCTTCCCACTCTTACCGTTGAGCACAAATGCCTTATTATAGAAATCATACTCCGCAGTGGCTGCTTCGCCAGGATTAATACGAAGACCCATTGAAATATTCCTTTTCTGGTTGAGTCGTCCTTTCGCTCTAAACCACCAAACTTCATTTGCGCAATATGTAAGCTTGCCAACGCTTCCTACCTAGTGCTTCGTATCCGCCTATCTATTCACCAAGCCACGTTCTTTCTTAATGGACCGCATTATCGCTCTTTTACCCTGGACGTGATTGAAAAGGGAAATTCTCAACTCACTTTGTTTGAATCCCCATTGGAACTATGCTTCTCCAGCCAGAGTCTCTCCAAAAGCCTCGCAATGATTCCCTGCCCGGGTTCAAGTTCCATTCGTCGTGCGATACGTGTCTTAAGGCCAAGATCAAGTGTAGCCAAGCAAAACCGACATGTGCTCGGTGCCTCCAGCAAGGTCGCCGATGTGTATATAGTCCATACCGCAAGATTGGCCGGCCCTCCACCAAGAATCTTCTTCCCCCGGACCAGATGCAGCAACCGATGGGAGGGACGGCGGGGGGGACGGCGGGAAGGACGGCGGGAAGGACGGCGGGAAGGACGACCCGCAGAAGCTTATCACAACGAGTTTCTCTCCCATCGCCAGGCATTGAGAACGGATCCAGGGTAGGCGATCTCTGTCATGCAACGAATCAAATCTTGCATGCCCAGGAGTCAGTCTTGGTGCCAAGCCAGAACTGGTCCGATCAGGAATTAACGGGCAATTTCAACCGTTTGGACTATGGGCTAGAAGGAACCAACTGGCCCGCTTTGGAGGGGCTTTTAGATGCATCTGTGTCGATGTTGCCCCGGGCAGACCAGGAGTTAGCCTCTGCAGCCCCCCGGTTGGACGAGGTCCACGCTCTAGATCCTAACCCCAACCAAGACGATCTCACGGGTTACTTGAGCCCTTCGTCATTAAGTAGCCGAGAATCCCTCTCCACGACGTTTCCACCGGAGACTGAAGCTGGATCGTTCGGAATCAGCTCGGAATTTCCCCTTTCTGCAGAGTACTCCCTGGGGACAGGCCCCGTGCTGTCCGAAACCCTGAATGCTTTCCCAGTCCTCTCTTCTTTTTCCTCGTCCCCCTCCTCCCCAGTCACTGAGGCTCGTGGGTTCAATTTATTCTCTGTACCCGGTGGCCGATGCACGTTTCAGTGTTACCTGGTCCTGATCAATATACTTGACGACATGAATGAATTTCAACGAAAAAGCTCAGGCATCCCCCTTGACGTGCTACTCAATCTTGACAAGCGAGTGCGCAAGATACGCGAAACGACCTTGGGCTGCCCATGCTGTCTAATGAGCTGTGCGGCGGGCTTGACACTGATGTTGATCACTATAGTGAACATCAACCTTCTCGGGTTGTTTGAGCAGAGCTGTGGATCCACTGATGGCAGTTCGGGTAGCATGGGCTGTGGGGAGTTGAGTGGGGCCTCCAGAATCGCCCTGGGTGGCGGAAGCCACGCCAGTCGAGATAGGTCGCGCAACCCTTTACCGTACACAACAGGCCATCTGACCTTGGGAAACATCCACCTGGACGAGACGGTGAAATTGGGTTTTTCACGAAGACTGGTTCGCCAATACCTAGAGCGACAGCTGGGGGTGGTGCAGCAGTTGAATCAGTTGCTGGGTACAGTAGAGGGGGACGTCGCGAGCGTTAAAGTCACGCAAGATTTACTTAGAGATCAGTTTCGAAGATTAGAGCACTTTGTCGGGTTTATCACCCTGACAGACTAGATTTCATTTATATTCCGTCTCCACAGCTGCCTTACTTTCCCTGTACTATCCAGGTATTAACTTGTTAGACTATGAATGGATCGCCTCCGAACCTGAATTGATAGTCGACGGAAAGTAAGTAAGAAGTTGCCCTATTCTATGTATTTAACATGTAAGGCCTAGCTTTCTAGGCTAGAGAGAGTAGCTGAAGTATTTTCCAACAGCCGCCTGACTTGCACAAGTATAGTCAACAATCGCGCATCTACCTGTTTAATCTCCGCATTCTCTCCACCACCCATCTCTTGCAGGACGATGACTAGATTACGGAGAGTCCGGCAAATGACATCAAGAGCCAAATACTGACTCTGCTGCTCGTCCATCTCATATTGGCCCAATATCATTTTGGACGGTCGGCAGACCACGGCGGCTGGGCTGCGTTGTTCTTGTAGAGGTCGATGTGTACTAAAATCCCGAAAGACTGATCTCAAAGCCTGATCATCCAGCGCATAGGTCAAGTTTCCTTGGCTGGTTCTCCGGAAGGTCGGTGTTGTGGACGGAGGAGGTTGCGAGTTTGTTGCATACGTAGTTATAGCCCTTTCAAGTAAGGTAACCAGCCTCCCATATATGTGAATGAAGGTATTGTATGCCTCTGCTGCTGAGTTTTGACAGTGTAGCTGGCATTTTTGCGACTGCTGGGATAATTGAATGGCCTGTGCACTTGCGGCGATGATCACATCAAAACTGACATCGACCATGGTTTCGATGCGCTCCCAGGCGCGAGCTGCCGAAGCAACACATAGACATTGGAAACCTAGGGCTGCCATGATCTCAGGTTCGGGTTCCTTGAGGACATTGCGCGGGATGTCAGAAATGAAGTTGTTCGAGCTTCCCTCGCGGCCCCCAAAAAAGCAAAGGTACCTTTGCTGCATGATGTCTTTCTCGGACCCAATCATCTTATGCTGACATCCTTGTGACATGCATGTATCGGAAAATTTCGAACGTAAAAGTCAATCTACTTGGCCTCTTTCCCGTCTCGCTTCTGATTGCTAACCTTGGAGGGTTAAGACGTCCCGCTGTCATTTCTGGAGGGTTGTTGCCTCCTACATGCTAACATAGACATTGCGGCCCTCTCTGTCCCTCTGTCCATTTTTCGTACGGCCTGCTACTTACTGCCTATTTAAAAGCCCGATTAAATTATTGCATGCGGAAACAACAAGATTGAGTTTTATTGAAGATATAATGACTTCGAACACCTGGCCTGCGTTGGGTCTACTAAAGATGTTAGTGGGGGGGGGGGGGGGTGGTTTCAAGCCTCTAGTTCTTTCTGAGTTCAATTCGCGCTAGTTGCATAGCTTGATTAACCTTTACCTTGTCGCAAAATACAGCGAGGGTCCAATAAATATTTCGCCCGAAGTCCAAAAATGATGTGGATGGCTCCGTTTCTCGGTGACACTTATCGACGAACTGCAGCCATCGGTGGTCTGAATGGGTTTTTGGTTTGAGTGGAGTGGCGAAAATCCCGAAAATAAGTAAAATAATAAGGTAGCATATAAAATAATCAAACCAATAAAAGAAAAGTGTGAAAAAAGGAGCCGATTAGCCAGTGCTAGAATTATGTACCCGAGAAGAATCCATACACTCGGGGAAATTCAGTCTCGGGGACAATGTGGTGTAAGCTGACGTGTGCTAATCTGTTTCTTAGCATTTCGTTTTATTCAATCACCACATATTGTGAGTTATGGGGCCGATTGGAAGTATGGTGATGGTGAAGGGGCTCGGGTTCTAGCCTCCTATCGTTGCAGGCATTTATTATTGAATCAGTCTTTCCCTCAAATGATCCCATGAAGGTGTCCCAGCGGCTTGGAATTGTGAGATATTCCTCATTCAATAAAGCACCTACATCTGCGCATCCACGCCAGCCAAAAGAAGATGGAACGGTCCTTTACTGTCGAGTGTCCTCCGTTCGAGGTTGAGATCTCCCATTGGGACCGTATTCTGCCACCAACGCATTCGAAGCGAATTCTGTGTTTCTGTCTCCCTGAAACTACGGACAAGGAAAAGGTGGTGGAACAGCTGCATATAGCATTTCATCACACCGTCCAGCGACTTCCCTTGTTAGCAGGCTCTGTAGTCCCCTTCTCGTCGCATCAAGGAGGACGTCCATGGCTTCGCAACATCATTCCCGAAGGCGGCGCCCAGCTCATTGTCAAGGATATGTCAGAAGAGATCAGGTTTTCAGATCTTAGCAAGGCCAACTTCTCGCAACATCTGCTGAACACTGAGCAGCTGTGTCCCCTCCCAGAGGTCGGGTACTTCAAAAATGAGCCAGTGGACGTATGTCGTTTCCAGGCCAACTTCATTGAAGGTGGCTTGCTTCTCGTTGTATCTATTATTCACAACGCGGCAGATGGTCGGGGGGTGACTGAAGTGATCAAGATCTTTGCCAGTGAACTCAACAAGGCACAGTCAGGCGAGACGCATTATCCGCTAGAACCAAGACCCGATGTATATCGCACGGATCGCACAAAGCTGGTATCCGGTCATGGGGTTCCTGGATCTATCGAAAATCATGCGGCATGGACTTCGGACCCAGCCAACGCACATGCTCAAATTCACAACGTGGAGAACTCGTGCCGTACCTTCCGCATCAACGTCAAGGCTCTGAGCGATCTCAGAGAGGCCCTCTCTGCCATTGCTCGTGGCCCAGACGAATGGTTTTCCACCAACGACGCAATTTCTGCTTTCATCTGGCGCAGCATCATGCTAGCCCGTCACCGGGCCGGAATCTTGAACGGCGAGGCAGAAACATACGTAGCACAGCCTGTGGATTGCCGTGCACACCTTAAGATCCCCATGCCGTACTTTGGGAATGTTATTTACATGACCAAGTCATCAGTGCTGCTGTCTGATCTGGTAGACTTTGAGAGCGGGCTAGGTGTCGCAGCTCGAGCTCTGCGCGCTGATATCAAGGCCGTGACGGCCGAGAAATTCTGTGACTTGGTAGGATACGCGGAACGAACAGCGCTTGATACTCACACCCGCTTGAATATTCTGGAGGCTATGTCTACATCGGGCATTATTCTGACCAGTCTGTTCAAGATGGACCTTCACGGCATGAACTTCGGGCCTATCTTTGGTGACGGTCATATTAAAGCCCTTCGCCTGCCGGCCAGAGGAACCCAGGCTGGTGCTGTTATTGTCTTGCCCCGGGTTCCGGATGGGAGTTGTGAGTTCATGGTGACTGAACAAGAGAGTACAATCAAGTGTCTCCTGGAGGACGAGTATTTCCGTCGTTTCATAGATGACGCCGACAGCACTGGAGCCCCCCGCGAGGAGCTTGTTACTTCCTTACCGCAGCCTGCAATCACTGTGGAAGAAGGCATAGTCTCCGTCGATAACACTTCTCGGGTGATTGAGGCCATCACCGTCAAGCCAGCTCCAGATATTGTGCCTGTCATTATTGAAGCTACCACTGCAGAAGTGGAACCAATCACCATGAGAACAAGTTCAGATACTGAACCTGTCACCATTGATATCACTGCTGTTGAAGTTGATACTGTCAGTACGGAGGCTACCTCTCCTGTTGTCGAACCCACCACTATGGAACCTGTTTTAGTTGAACCTGTCACTGTCGGGACCACTACTACTGAGGTTGAGTCCGCCACCACTGAGACAACTGCTCCCGAGGTGCAGGCCCTCACAAGTATCCTCAAAGAGTGGCATCTTGTCCCCGCGGGTGACGTTACTATGCCCGCAACACTGATCTGTAACCGAGTTGACGCTCCCCAAGTTGGTACCATCAAAATTATCCAATTGAACCGGCCTGCGGCGAAGAATGCCCTCTCAGTGCAAATGGTGCACGAATTGAGTTGTGAGATTGAAGAGATTCATCACGAGCGGCACATGGGCGGCACACGCGCCTTGGTTATTGCGAGTGCAGTAGACGGAATCTTCTGTGCGGGAGCGGACCTGAAAGAGCGCAAAGATATGAGCTTGACAGAGACGCAAGCCTTTTTGACTAGTCTCCGGGGCTTGTACTCACGTCTAGCTTCCCTGCCTATCCCCACTATTGCCTGCGTTAGTGGCCAAGCGCTCGGGGGTGGACTGGAGCTTGCGCTATGCTGCCATCTGCGTGTCTTCGCCTCTGACGCCGTGGCTGCATTACCCGAGACTCGGCTGGCCATTATCCCCGGTGCTGGTGGCACCTACCGCCTCCCCAATATTGTGGGCATGTCGAATGCTCTGGATATGATCTTGACGGGCCGGGGGGTGCCAGCAAATGAGGCGGCGAAGATGGGACTGTGCAACCGTCTTGTTGGGGCAGACCTCTCGGAGGAGACGCCATCGTTATCCAACCGAGTTTTGGCTCTGGAAACCGGTATCCAATTAGCTGAACAAATTGCCGATGCCGGACCTATTGCTATTCGAGCTGCAATCAGAGCGCTTTCGTACAGTTGCGAGGCGGTTGAGAACGCCGCTTACGAGTCTGTTCTGAAGACGAAAGATCGAAAGGCTGCCCTTGTCGCATTCAGTGAAAAACGCAAGCCTATCCTGGTCGGGGAATGAGACTATCTATTCCAAAGTCTCCTAGACTTATTTTCGCATAGAAGCACGATGTTTTCATGTATACCTCACTCTTTTGGTGTTGGACAATTTATTTTTCTGTTGATAGTTTGAATTTCTGAGAGATATATGCATCACTAGAGATGCTTAGTCCGCGTCGGTCATTAGTTTAATTTTGAAGGATACACGTGTAGTCAAATATAGTCATATTTGTCTTGTTGAATAAGATCCATAATTAACTATCGTGAGTAGTATAGTTATCAGTATATTGATATCTTGTATGTTGTTATGGTAGATCGACTTTAGGATTTGTATTGAGAAACTAGAGAATGGAACTTTAGATTGGCCACCGTTACATGATATGTCAACATTATATCACTATATACATGGGGCAGGCCGGAGTATTATCACTTAACCTCTCCGCATGTTCCCAGCGTTGAGTGTACATAAGGAGACAGGAGCTTACCTCCGATCCTTTCTGTTCTCCTTCCGTATCTCCTTTCCATAGCATCAACTCTACAGTTTGTATTTCTCTCCCTTCTGTTACTTAACACATAGCCCCTTTCCTCTGCCTAGCTGGCATCCCCAGTTGACAACTTAGAATCTGAAGCCCTTAATAAGCCACGGAAGTGTGTTCCCTCAAGGCCCCTCCTTCCAGTTATCTATGCCAGCTGCGAGATTTTCTTTTTAAATACCGTAGCTCGCCATCAGACGCGATCGCACGTGTTCTTCAATGGTCGGCGCATCGACTTCCTCATTTTCATTCATCCCAGAACTCCTGAGAGGTTTCACTTTATAGTCCAGGTTGCCATCGTAGAAGAAAACCACACTGTACCGGTCATCACTCTTTCTATTCCACACCCGGTGCACGCTGCTCTTGTATTCCCCTTCTGTCATGATGGAAAGGATGTCGGCCACGTTGACAATGTACACATCTTCTTGGGGGGTACTCCGTGCCACTCGCCTGTCACACTGTCCTGAACTTCAAGACCGGGACTGTCGTCCTGCAACAGGAGTGTGAAGGTACCGAAATCAGTGTGCTCACCAGCGCCGAGCTGAAGCTTCTTTCCGTCCTGTTTCTCCAAGCCCCGGGGATAATGGAGAAGCCGAAGCAGAGACATTGGGTCACCAGTCTCGAGTTCATCGAATACATGTGGCCCGTAAGGTAGTGTTGCCGCAAGAAGCGACAGAACCACATGGGATAACCGCTGCATCTCCGCATAATACTCTTCCAGAACCGATTGGAAATCCTCGGGTCTGAGCTGCTTGGGTTTTGGCCAGACGTTGGGGCCCTGCAGGAAGCGACCGTTTGCCACATGGGGGTGATCAGGAGGTAGATCGGTTGCAATGAAGAAGCCTTCTTTGATGTCACGCAGCGCATCGGCCTCCTGAACGGCTCCAAATTCGAGCTCATATGATTGGGTCTCCATCACATCGTAGCCCCGGAATCCAACGGTCTTCCGGCTGTCAAGTTCGAGTTTGTTCTTTGGTGGAAGGGCGAAGAATCGAGCGGAAGCCTCAAATACCGACTTTTGCAGCCTGAGAGGGACTTTGTGGCCTTTAATCTGGAAGAAGCCAGTGGATTTGCATGCCGTGCGCACGGATTCGATGATACCCTGGGCAGCAGCCCCATGAGGATCTTCCAGAAATGGCGTGATATCCACGAGTGGAAGATAGAACGATGACTTGTTCAGAACAGGCATTGTCTCTCACAGATGATAAACTAATTTCGGTGGTTGAGGTAGCTTGTATTTTATTTTGGAATATCTATGGGGACCGATGTCGTGACATAGGATTGTTTCAATAAGCCATCATGTCCTTCTCCCAGTTTACTACGAAAATATGACCCAGGACCCTCGGACATAATCGGGTATAGCCGCAATCGGGCCATTTAGTAGCTATGTGGCGTTATGCTGGCTCGGCTGCTTTCCTGCAGGAGAAAGTTGCCGGATATGCAAACAAGGCGAGCTCTTTGATTGTCGTGAACCCTTTTATGATAGAATCGAGCTAAACGAATGAGGAATTTTCGGTATTCAATTTAATTTTTATTCTAATCTTTTTGGAAATCTAGCTCATGTTATCGGTTATCTATCATGAATTGGCCAGTATACTCTATAGAGATAGACGATTGGACAAACAACGTACTTAATATATGATTATCTCGTATTGATCAATCGTGTTTCTGCCATCCTGGCCGCCTGACTCTGAAGATCTCAACTTAATCACCGCTGAGAGGTTTCCCTCGTGCGTTATTTTCGGATGCCCTTAGATCCAACTTTCTTTCATCATTTGCTATCACGAGGAAGAGTATTGCCCATAATGAACACAGCACGCGCGCGAGACGACTCGACCATCCACCTACCACGGATATTATGTCTTCATGGTGGTGGTACAAACGCCCGAATCTTCCAGGCTCAATGCCGAGGGCTTATTGCTGGACTAAAATCGGAATATCGTCTTGTATTCGCCCAAGCTCCTTTTGCATCGCAGGCTGGATCAGACGTTCTATCTGTCTACAGTCAATGGGGTCCTTTCCGGCGGTGGCTTCGATGGCGACCAGAGCACCCAGTGATCTCACCAGAAGATGCAGTTCAAGAGATTGATACATGGCTAGAAAAAACCATGCATCAAGACGATCTTGCTGGAGCTACTGGCGAGTGGATTGCCCTCTTGGGCTTCAGCCAGGGTGCGAAAGTGTCCGCCAGCCTCCTTTACCGACAACAAAGCTGGCAAGAGCTCTTCGGCACCCGCCCAGCTGGAATTAACTTCCGTTTCGGGATTCTCCTGGCGGGCCAGGCACCTTTCATATCAATGGATTCTGACTTGACGTTGGATCCGCCACTACCGGACGCCTCGCAAATCACCGACCTCAGACACAGCGAGCGAGAATTATATTATGGCAAGGGTCATGTGTTGCGAATTCCTACGCTTCACGTCCATGGACTGCGAGACAAGGGACTGGATCATCATCGGAAACTGTTTGAGGATTTTTGCGCTCCACAAAGCCGGAGGTTGATAGAGTGGGATGGAGATCATAGAATACCTCTCAAGCTAAAGGATGTCTCACTTGTCGTTCACCAGATCCGCGAGCTTGCAAAGGAGACGGGTGTTTCTTAGAATTATATTTTCTAGTTAGAGATAGTTGTTTAACAAATAATAGATTTGTGGTTGTTGCTTCCTGTTAGTTTGTATAAATTGTATACCGAAGAGGTGATCGGCCGATGGGGGTCATCGTTGGGCTTGACGCAAACCACCATTTCTCTCCGCGCTTCGTCAACACTATGGCGAAGGGGGCGTCATCCAAGGCCTGTAGGCTACTGATTTCAATCGTATATGAAATTGACTTGTAAAGCACGATTGACTGCAGGTACGATTGTTCTGCATTGGCCTCATGGAAACGGCTGAAGGCTGACGTGAGGGTGAGGAGCGCGCCGGGGGGTTATTTAGTGGCTGGCGCTCGGGTTCTTTCTCTCGGGGCCTTTACCCCCCGGGCCTCGCCTCGGGTAGTTTAGGACGTTGAAGTGAATCTTCAAACACCAGTATTCAAGAGATCGACAAAGCTTAATACCATCGTCTAATAATATGGTGGGGATTAGTACTTCTGATTTTCATACATTGAGCTCCTAGCCTCGTGGCAGGCAAAAGTCCCCGTGAATAAATTGCACAGGGATGCTTGAAGATCAAGTTGTCAATAGCCCTACTTAACTCAAATCAACCCATGGACTGAACTCTATATTCCCATCAATTGAGCACCTGACCTTCAACCTTTTGTTTCTCAGTGGTACACCAGTCGACCTCAACGCGACTAGCAAGATGCCGTCGAAGTCTGGTCCTCGGGTGAACCCCAAGGTGTTTTTGTTCGGACCACAGGCATTAGCTTTCGATACCAAGCTCTTTGCAACACTTCACAGCCACCTATGCGACAGCTGGGCGTTAGATGCCTTATCTGACCTGCCAATTATTTGGGAGAGTCTCATCAAACAAGTGCCAAAACTACAACATGTAGAGGGTGAACGACTATTGCAAGAGTTGCATCGGGGCTTGCAGACGGGCAGTCTACCGGATTCTCTGTTTCCCTTACCCAATATCCTGCTCTCACCCCTGGTGATAATTGTTCAATTGACCCAGTATCTCGCCTTTGTGAGGTCTGCGTTGCCGGGTCTTGGGGATACCGACGAGATACCCCAATCCGTCACGGAAAATTCGGAGAGTCTCGGTCTATGTACTGGTATTTTGAGCGCCTTTGCTGTGAGCTGTGCCTCCAGCCTAGCCAAGGTTCAGCAATATGGTGCTGTTGCCGTGAGGCTATCGATGCTTGTTGGTGCGCTCGTGGACGCTGAGGAGGCATCACCGGACACAGGCAGTCCTGCCATGTCCTTCTCAATGTCATGGAATGCTTTAGAGTCTCGTGCCAGCGTGGACAAAGTGTTGGCAGAATTCCCAGAGGTAAGTCAACTTCAGACCACATGACATGGAATTACTGATTAACATGACGTGAAAAGGCATACATCTCTGTTTTCTTTGATGAAAAGAGGGCCACAGTGACTGCCCCTAAGATATCGGCTCCTGCTCTCCTTGACAAACTCAAGTTATCCGGTGCACATGTTGCTGAAGTTGCACTTTCTGGTCGGTTCCACTGGCCAAAACATCGTGAAGATGTAAAGCAACTCATTGCCTTTTGCGACAGTGACCCCAGATTCCAGTTCCCCGATGCATCTGAAATGGTGTTGTCGAGCAGGCTGAGCACTGGAGGCCGTCTGCATGAGATTTCATTGCAAGAGATACTACTCAAACCATCTGAATGGCTGAGTTTGTTCAGCCTCGTTCAGTCATCACATATTGACGCAGGTGGTGCGAACTTTGTCTGCTTTGGCTCAGAACGATGCGTGCCACCGACAATGATAAGGAAGCTGGGCCCTCCACTGATTCATATCTCTGACATCGATCTGTCAACCTCTTCTCTACCGAGTGCACTTCTCCATCCAGCTTCCAAATCGTCCTTCGACAAACTACCAGACGATCAAATCGCTGTGATTGGAATGGCTTGTCATGTTCCTGGAGCGGAAGACCTTGATGAGTATTGGAGAATCTTGACTAGCGGCCAATCACAGCACACTAGAGTCCCATTGGAGCGCTTCAGTATGAAAACGGCGTTCAGGGAGCTCGAGGAGAATCGTAAATGGTATGGCAATTTTCTACGAGACTATGACACCTTCGACCACAAATTCTTCAAGAAAAGCGCACGCGAGATGTCGTCCGCCGATCCCCAACATCGATTGGTATTGAAACTTGCATACCAGGCCATCGAACAGTCTGGGTATTTCGGAACTTCCCATCGTAGCAAGCACATTGGATGTTATATTGGAATCGGGAACAATGACTATGAGCGTAACATTGCCTGCCACCCAGCAAACGCTTATTCGGCCACGGGAAACCTCCGAAGCTTCGCTGCCGGGAAGGTCAGTCACTATTTCGGGTGGACAGGTCCAAGTTTAACAATTGATACTGCCTGTTCTTCATCCGGTGTCGCTATTCACCAAGCGTGCCGTGCTATTCTCCATGGCGAATGTACAAGCGCGCTTGCGGGCGGAGTCAATGTCCTCACCAGTCCTGAATGGTTCCAAAACCTGGCTGGTGCTTCCTTTTTAAGCCCGACTGGACAGTGCAAGCCGTTCGATGCAAGAGGTGACGGATATTGCAGAGGAGAGGGCGCTGGCGTTGTTTTCCTCAAGCGACTTTCCTCCGCGATTGCAGATGGAGACCAAGTGCTTGGAGTGATAGCGAGCACGAAGGTCTACCAGAACCAAAACTGCACAGCAATCACCGTTCCTAATTCGCTATCACTGGCTGAGCTTTTCGGGGATGTGGTGGAACAGGCGCGGCTTGAGCCACAGGCTATTTCTGTAGTCGAAGCCCATGGAACCGGAACTCCAGTGGGTGACCCCGCGGAGTATGATGCTGTTAGAAGGGTATTTGGAGGCTCAATCCGTTCAGACACACTTTCTCTGATGTCTGTGAAAGGTTTACTTGGCCATACCGAATTTGCGTCGGGTGTAGTGTCCTTGGTGAAAATCCTGCTCATGATCAACGAGGGCTTCATACCTCCACAGGCTAGCTTCACTTCTATGAGCCCTGCCCTGAACGCTGATCATGAAGACATGATAGATATTGCAACGCAACTAACGCCTTGGGATGTGGACTTTCGGGCTGCTCTTATCAACAACTACGGCGCCTCGGGCTCCAATGCTTCAATGATCATCACACAGGCACCGAAGCCACACTCTTTGACGTCGAATCCCTCGCTGCTATCAACGTCTGATACAAGCTTTCCCTTTTGGTTTTGCGGAATCGACTCACAAAGTCTTCGAGCATATGCTACCAAACTCAGGCGTTTCATTCACGATAACGCCGACTCAGCGAAGGACCTGACAGTGCGAAATTTGTCGTTTCAAATTTCCCGCCAGTCAAACCGCAATTTGCCAAAGGCGTTGATTTTCAATGCTGCCTCTCGTACCGAGCTGGAGGAGAAGCTTCTGGACTTTGAACAAGGGGGTAGGAGTATCGCGGAAATTGAAGTTCCCCCACCTCGTCCGGTCATTCTTTGCTTCGGCGGCCAGATCTCCACCTATGTTGGCCTAGGAAAGGATGTCTATAACCAGGCAACCATTCTGAGAAGTTATCTGGATCAGTGCAATGATATATGTCTCTCACTGGGTCTCAGCAGCATCTACCCCACGATCTTTCAAAGGTCTCCAATCCTAGACACGGTGGAGCTACAGACCGTACTCTTCGCCGCACAGTACTCTTGTGCGAGAGCGTGGATTGACTCCGGAGTCAAAGTGACCGCGGTGGTTGGCCATAGCTTTGGCGAACTGACAGCTCTCTGCATCGCCGGTGCCTATTCTTTGACTGACGCCCTCAGACTGATCTCTGGTCGGGCATGTCTGATTCGCGACAAATGGGGTTCTGATAAAGGATCCATGCTGGCAGTGGAGGCGGACCTTGCTGAGGTGACAGCATTGCTGTCCGCTTCAAACAAACCGGATGTCTCCATTGCATGTTATAATGGTCCCAGATCCTTTACCCTCGCAGGTTCGACAGAGTCTGTTCAATTCATCGAGAAACTTGCACGGAGCAACCAGACCTTCTTTGGCATGAAGCTCAAGAAGCTGAATGTTACCAATGCCTTCCATTCTGCCAACGTTGATCCATTGATCAGTGACCTGGAAGCACTAGGCCGCGAAATCCAATTCAATGAGCCGATTATTCAAGTTGAAGCAGCGACTGCGACAAGATCTAGCCCGAACTGCGGGCCCAATTTCATAGCTCAGCACTTGAGAAACCCGGTTTATTTCAACCATGCAGTCCAAAGACTTGCTGAGGAGTACCCAGCTGCAATCTGGCTTGAAGCTGGATCAAATTCTACGATTACTACAATGATCAGCCGGGCACTAGGAAACTCAAGTTCTCCACACCATTTCCAGTCTGTTCATATCACCAGCGAAGAATCGCTCCCATTTTTGGCGGAAGCGACAACAAAGCTGTGGAAGGAAGGCCTAAATGTGTCATTTTGGGCACATCATTCGAAGGAGGTGTCTCATTACACAGCTGTAATACTTCCTCCCTACCAGTTCGAAAAGGCGAGACATTGGATGGACTTGAAGGAGGTTTCGGAAGTCAAAACCTCCATCAGCGCAGCGGTGCAACCTCCAGAGCCCCCCAAGGGCCTAACAACATTCATCGGGTTTGAAGACCAGGCAAAGCAGTCTGCCCGATTCAGAGTGAACACAAACTGCGACAAGTTCCAGAAGCTGACATCGGCGAATGTTGCTCTGAATACCACCGCTGTAACGCCCGGCATGCTTCAGATTGAAATTTCACTCGATGCGATAATGAATCTGCAACCTGACTTCAAGGCGTACCAGTTCCAACCGGAGGTCCAGGGGGTTTCTTATCACAATGCCCTCTTTGAATATAATTCTACGGACTTGTATCTTGATGCTGTTGCTAAAGATGACGGGGGCCTGGCCTGGAGATGGAGACTTTACGGTATTGACTCCGGGGGTAGCGTAACTGATTTCAGCTCTGGAAACATTGTTTTCTTGCCGGTCAGTGACCCTGCACTCAAGGAGAACTTCGAGCGCTTGTCGCGTCTGAGTGGCAAGAAACGGCTTGCTAGTCTTCTCCAAGGAAACGGTGCAGACGACGTGCTTCAGGGCCGAAATATCTATCGAGCGTTTGAGCAAGTGGTCAACTATGCGGAGCCATTCCGCTGTGTAACCAAGATAGTTGGAAAGGAGGATGAATCAGCAGGCTACGTTTCAAAGGCCTATGCTGGGGACACCTGGATGGATCCGGTTTTGACGGAGTGTTTCTGTCAGGTCGCCGGCATTTTCGTTAATCTCATGACAGATGCATCTGATCTGTCTAAAAGAGGCGTCTACATCTGTGACGGTATTTCTAGATGGATGCACTACCCCAGACTGGGTAGCATGACTTCAGCTCCTGATGCTTGGGAAGTATTTGCGGTGCATCACCACGAGTCTAAGACTAAGTATGTCAGTGACGTGTTCGCTTTCGACGCTCGTGATGGATCCTTGATCGAGGCGATCCTAGGCATTTCTTATCGGATTGTGCCCATGGAATCAATGTGCAAACTGTTAACTCGGGGCGCTCAGCAAGAATCTCATTTTTCGACGGCTGCTGTCTCCTCGGAATCTACACCTGTCCACGCTTCCACCCCTACAACAACGGTTAACTCCACTCCCTCTAGCCTGAATTCATTCCAAGAGAGTACTACTGTGAAACATGTCGCCAAGCCCCCTGGACCAGACATCTCTGCAAAAACGTGTGAGATCATCTGTAATCTTTCGGGGTTGGAGCCGGAGGAGATAAAAGATGACTCTGATCTTATTGAACTCGGGATTGATTCTCTTATGGCCATGGAACTGGTTCGAGAAGTCGATTCTGCATTCAAGTGCACTCTTCAAAATGAGCAGCTTATGGAGCTGACTGACTTTGCCAGTCTGGTCTCGTGTATCCGGTCTACCCTAGGATTTGACGATGAGGAAAACGGCGTCAGATCTGAAGGGGATTCTTCGGTCGATACAGAAGCGTATATAATTTTGGAACCGAATGAGCCCACCACAAATATCAATGGCGTCAATGGTATCATCAGCTTTGATCATAGAGATGGCAACGCTATTCTGTCTACGTCAACATTCCTCGATGCGTTCGGTGAGATCAAATGGGACACTGATGATGACATTGTCAAGGGCCAACTGGGAACCTACTCCAAGCATGTCATGCCGCGGTCCACGGAGCTCTGCATTGTGTATATTGTGAATGCCTTCGAACAACTCGGTTGCCCAATCCGGTCTGCAGCACCAGGTCAAGTGCTTAAGCGCATTCCATACCATCCCAAGCACGAGAAGTTCATGAACATAATCATCTATGGGTTGTTGGAAAAGGACGCTCGTTTGATAGACATCAACGGCTCTACTATCACACGCACGGCGGTTGCGCCGCCGACCGCATCTGCAGACACATTGCTCAGCAAGATTTTGCAGGATGAACCTGTTCATGCTGCTGAGCATAAGCTCGCAGCATTGGTGGGCCAGAGATTTGCAGCTCTCATCACGGATAAAGAAGATGGCCTGAAGCTCATCTTTGGTACTCCTGAAAGCCGAGAAATTGCTGCAGATATGTATTCGAACTCCCCTGTCAACACAGTTTGGATCAAACAGCTTGGGCGATTCTTCGAGCGGGTTCTTAGTCCACTTCCCAAAGATGGACAGCCCATCTGCATTCTTGAGGTTGGCGGAGGCACTGGCGGGACAACAAGCAGAATTGTGCCATTGCTAGCCAAGTTAGGGGTCCCTGTCAAATACACCATGACAGACATTTCAGGGTCGCTCATCGCGGCTGCTCGCAAACGTTTCAAGAAGTACCCGTTCATGGAGTTTAAATCTCTGAATATGGAAAGTGAGCCAGATGCCAAACTCTTGCAGAGCCAGCATATCATCTTGGCCACCAATTGTATCCATGCAACACGGAATCTTTCCATATCATTGAAGAATCTTCATCGCATCTTGCGACCTGATGGTGCTCTCATTATGTTAGAAATGACAGAGCAGGTGCCGTGGTGCGATTTCATCTTCGGATTGTTGGAAGGATGGTGGCTGTTTGAGGACGGGCGAGACTACGTCCTCCAGCCAGCCATCTATTGGGAGAAGGTACTGCATTCAGTGGGGTACGGCCATGTCGACTGGACTGAAGGAGAACTTCCCGAGGCACGCATTCAGCGTTTGATCATCGCCCATGCATCTGGATCCAGGTATGATCGCGAACCAAAGCCTCTGGCATCCATCCCTGAACTCACGTTACCAGACATCTCTGAGCGCCGAGCGAGGATTGACGCCATTGTCCACAAATACACAAAAGACTTCGTTGCTCCATCACACATTTTATCCCCTACCAAGTTGCCATCCTTGAGTTCAGGGCAGTGTGTGCTCGTTACCGGTGCTACCGGAAGCCTGGGTGCCCACATCGTGGCCTTCCTGGCACAACGCCCAGATATCCACACAGTGGTATGTCTGAATCGACTGAGCACAACCGAGGCGACAGTGCGACAGCAAAACTCTCTTCAAATGAGAGGTATCTCACTCGACCCGACGTCGCTGTGCAAGCTAAAGGTAATTGAAACGGACACAAGCAAGCCCAATTTAGGGCTCTCGCCCGAAAACCACCAATATTTGATCCAAAACGTGACCGAAATCGTCCATAGCGCTTGGCCAATGAGCTTGACACGCCCAATACGGGCCTACGAATCTCAATTCAAGATCGCGCGGGGTCTCATCGATCTCGCACGCGAAGTCACCCAGCACCGACCAGCCCCATTCAAATTCGGCTTCCAGTTCATCTCCTCTAGCGCTGTGATCGCAAACTACCCTCTGTGGGCAGGAACACCACTCGTCCCCGAGCAACCTGGTACGGTCGAATCTGTCCCTTTGACAGGGTATGCCGAAGCCAAACTTGCAACGGAGCGTATTCTGGCCGAGACAGTATATCGTTTCCCAGAACGGTTTCATGTGATGGCGGTACGGATCGCGCAGATTACCGGCTCGACTAGCAATGGCTACTGGAACCCCTCTGAGTACATGCCGTTCCTGATCAAGTCGTCACAGGTGCTCAAGATTCTTCCCGATCTCGATGGGACCCTCTCCTGGTACCCTGTTAACGATGTTGCTGCTGTCCTGGGCGAGCTACTCCTGTCTAAATCTACGAAGGATCTTATCTATCATATAGACAATCCGTCCCGGCAGTCGTGGCGGGAGATGATTGCGATCTTGGCTCGCGCCTTAGATCTTGGACAAAAGAGTATCATTCCGTTTACTCAGTGGGTGAATCGGGTGCGAGGTTTCCGGGGGAGCATTGCCGATAATCCTGCGTTGCAGTTGATTGATTTCTTTGATCATTATTTCGTTCCGATGTCTTGTGGTGGTTTAATTCTGGATACCACCAAGTCTTCGCAACATTCTAAGACGCTGCAGAATCAGGGTCCTATTGATGAGGAGCTTATGATGAAGTATATTGCCAGGTGGAAAGAATCGGGATTTCTGAACCCATAATGGGTTGTTAAGTAGCGTTGGGGACCATCGGCGTGTTTTATTAATGTTATATCATTCAAATGGCTGCTTGTATTATTTGCCGGGTCTCGCTTGTTAAGATCTTCGAAGATCCACCATAACTGAACTAAGCCCTGGAAGGTTAGTCTTATAAGTAAATGTCACTAAGTATCAGTCTACACGTGACTGAGCTGAGCATGATCAGCCCCAGGCGCTGAGGTCTGCTTAGTGAGCCTAGGTCTAAGCACCTAAAGGCATCTCAAGTAGAAAAGCCCCACCCGGGAAAATTCGGTATAGGTGCATATATGCGACATATCCCTCGCTGAGACAATTCACTGTTATATGAAACCTCTGGCCAATCCCAATATTCCATATAATGGCCGCAGGGCGAGAAGATGACCCTGACTTCTCACAATCAGAGCATCCTGCTCCCTCTCAAAGCCAACATTTATCAGATGCAACGAACTCATTAGAAGATCTTTCGCACAATGGCTCTTCTACATATGGCAGTGTTTCTGAAACAAGCGGGTTGGCCTCTGTCGCATCCCGCACATTCAGTGATAATTTGAATTTAGAGAGATCGGTCAATATTGATGCCGAGGATGACAATGGATCTCAGCCTACCCAAGATAGGACCACGCGATCACCCACCCCAATATATTCGTCTACTGTCTCACTGCCTGTACCCAGACCGCCATCTAATATCTCGCTGACTGTATCAAGACCGTCATTAACCCAAAGACCACGTCAACGAGTTCGAATGGTTGATTCAGCACACTTTACTCCTCACACAATAGAAGAAACGCGTCCACCACCATACAAAAAAACCATTAAAAACGCGGGAAAGGTGCTAGACCATATCAAAAATGGAAGTGTCGGGAAACCTTCTCGTCACGCGAAGACTTCAATCACATACTACGACTATCGCGACGGTCTCATATCCGATCCAACACACATCTATGATTCAGCGACTATCGCAGCCCTGCGTCATGTTCCAGAAGATGTACAGCAAAGGCTTATTCTTGTGGAAGATCTTTCTAATCCCATGATAGACATATTGGGCGAAAACTTCAGCATCAATCCCGAGTTCTTCGAAGAGCATTTGCTGAATTCTGGCTATGCCGGCGGAAAATATGACAGTCCACCGGCTCGAAACTGGAGCACATCATCATTTGAGAAATCCTACAGATCATTCAGGTGGATTCGACCAGTTTATCGACTTCCAACGTACTTCTCAAGCCCTGACCTTGAAGATCTGCTTCTTGAGGACAGCGTAACACATTTTACTCGAAAGAAGTCTGTTACGACGGGAATCCTCACGAATATATTCCGGTTAGAGTGGGGTCTGTGGACCGACCCCGCAACGACATCGATGATGAAAAGAGTGTGTGGGTTAGAGGAGAGAGTGTCAATTTGGAAAAAGAAGCTCATTGATCAAAACACTGAGATTGGTACGTGATATACATGAAGTAAGCTAACATGAGATACTGACAGGCCATGTAGTAATCGTACTTCTTGACCCTTTGCCGGAGATATCTGAGATACATCATTACTGGGCATCAACTGGTTCTCAGCAAGAAAATGACGAGAATAAGTACAAGGATGAAAAGGAGAAGAAGGACGATGATGACGACGATGATGATACGTCGCCCCGCCCCTCCAAAGAGCTGGGTCAATACTGGGCATCAACTGGTCCTCTGGGAGAGAATGGCGAAAATGATGGTGTTGACGCGTCGCACTACTCCTCCACGAGACGGAGTGGATACTGGACATCCATTAATTCTCAGGATTCTCAGGGAGGGAATGGCGAGAATGATACCGATAGTTCGTTACGCCACTCCGTGGGACAAAGTCATTACCGGGCATCATCTAGTTCTCGAGAAGAGAACGGCGGGAATTATGATGGTGATGCATCAAACCACTCCTCCAGGGAAAGGAGTCAATACTGGACACCACGTGGTTCCCAGGGCGAGAATGGTGAGAATAATGGTGATGATGCGTCGCATTACTCCTCCACGAGACGGAGTGGATACTGGACATCCACCAATTCTCAGGATTCTCAGGGAGGGAATTGCGGGAATGATACCGATAGTTCGTTACGCCACTCCGTGGGACAAAGTCATTACCGGGCATCATCTGGTTCTCGGGGAGAGAACGGCGAGAATGATACCGATAGTTCGTTACGCCACTCCGTGGGACAAAGCCATTACCGGGCATCATCTGGTTCTCGGGGAGAGAACGGCGAGAATGATACCGATAGTTCGTTGCGCCACTCCGTGGGACAAAGCCATTACCGGGCATCATCTGGTTCTCGGGAAGAGAACGGCGAGAATGATACCGATAGTTCGTTGCGCCACTCCGTGGGACAAAGCCATTACCGGGCATCATCTAGTTCTCAGGAAGAGAACGGCGGGAATGATGATGGAGATGCGTCGCACTACTCCTCCATTGAACAAAGGATTTTCGAAGAGTTTATCATGGACGAAGAGCAACCACAACGTGTCAGGGATGAAACTTCGTTTGCTAGGGCACTGGGCTGGATCCTTGGCAGAGAAATCCGAAAAAAATTCAGACCTAGACAGAAGCTCGAAGTACTGGATTATATCGTTGAGGAGAAGAAGAAGAAGAGGAAGCCCGACGTACTGAATAAAGTTATCATTGAGCAGATAGCTCCTCGCCAACCCGTCTCAGCCGACCTAGACTGCGTATTTCGAATGTCGCAGTCGATGGCAGATTTGCAAGCAAAACTCCAGGAGACCAAGTCGACCAAATCAGGGATCTGTGAAGCTCTCAGGATGCACCAGGGGCCTGTTAGTCTACTCAGGCCGTTGGTCCAAATCATCCAACAAGACACCATGACCCTTCTCAACCAGCTGCGACAGGTTCTGGACGAAATAGATATCGAAATTCTAGATGATATCATGATGGAGGATAGATTAAGCTTATGGCGACAGATCATCAATCGTGCTCAGCGAGAGCTTCCAGAGCTGAGATATTCCATGGAGCCTTTTATTGAGTTTCTCACGAAAATCAATCCTCTAAGCTCTCCCCGGGAGGTTGCAGTCATGGAACTGGAAGCTATGCAAGATATCCATGAACTTTGGAAGAACATCGATCACATCGTTGTTCGGCTTGAAAGAACATCAGCGTCTTTGACTTCCAATATGGGTCTTCTGGAGAGTCGACGCTCGATTGACGAGGCTCATGCTGTGGCAAGACTCACTGAACTCGCATTCATTTTTGTCCCCATGTCTTTCGCTGCGTCTGTTTTTGGCATGCAAGTCCAACCATTTGCAAATCCAGTTCCTATTAGTAACTTCTTTGTTGTGGCTGTTGTCGTAACATCATTTGCTTATTTGATGCGTATGACTATGCGCAGTCATTGGCTGATTGCTCTCAAAGCAGCCGTGAGAAATGATGTCAGGAAATATGCAGCGAGGAATGGTCAACCTGTGCAACCCCGAGGGCTTCCGATGCTCCTGATCTTTCGGTCAATAGCAAGTCGACTAGGTACCATCGTTGCTGGTATTTGTAAATGGCTTGCACAAAGAACCCGTTCAGTGGCCGAAAAGGTCTGGGCTGTGTTTGGCTTCATAATAAGCTTCGTTTTGTTGAATGGCGTTGCATCGGCGATACCAATCGGGTTGCTCTGGACCCGCGATCTTGAGTCAGATGTCCGGATTGCTGTCAGTATTCCTATCGTTTTCATTGTTATAGCCACTGTGGGGGTTTCTTTCTGGCTCAAATCCAAACCAAAGTTCCGGAGCGCATTACCAGACCTGATCATGGACAGAGTGCGCCGGGCACCTTCGTGGCTTGGAGTAGCCGTGATATATTTAATCTTGACTGCAGTATTTATTGTGGTGCCTTTGGCACTCATCTGGACACGCCCGCTAGCTACTGGCATCAAGAGCGGGCTGACTGTGGGCATTGTGATGACGATGGTTATAATTATGCTATCTCTCATCGCTTTTGGTGTTACGGGGCGATATCGAATGCTGCGATTTCATAGCTAGCCGCCCTTTCAAAGGAGAGATTTGAATGACTTGGGAGAGAGACTGAAAATACAATTCATGTGTCAAAGCAGCATCTTCGGAACCATAGGGGAAAATACAGCATTATCTCACTAGACTGTAAAGACCATGGCCTCTATTTATAGCACAGAGGGGACTGTATCTGTAGCACTGTGCTGTCACCGGGATATCATGACGGATATAAGTGAGGAAATATACCAGAAGTACAATGCAAGACCTCAAATTCAGAACTATAGAATGCAGAGGAATTATATGACAGTACGGATGCAAACCACAGGTAAAACCATGGGGGATCCTATCAAGCGCTCAGCAGAGAACTCTCAGTAGCCAGCATATTCAGGCCAGTTGACAGTGTAGTTAATGCATCGCGGACGATAACAGGATCCTACATCTCAAAATATTACTCTGAATTATAGATTAGGTATCATATCGTACAATACACAGAACCCCATGAGCATGACACAGTATCTTCTAAAAGAAAAAGAGAGTGAACACTACAGTCGCCACAGTGAACAGTGTAGAGGAATGCCCCACCTTGGGAGCGTCTCCGGTAAAGAGGCTGCCAGAGGCAGTTGTCACATAAGAGGTTGCTTGGTCGGAAACCGTGTTCGTCGTTGTGCCGTGCGTAGCTCCCTGGGTAGATCCAGAGGATGCGATTGCAGATTTCCAGACGTTAGAGGGTTGAGCGTGTGACATGGTGTATTTAGTGTCACCAGCTGGCTCGTAGCCGGGAACATGCAGATGCGCGAGTGAGACAGTAGGGACTGCCACGGGCTGCACCGATGCGTTCGTAGACTCGGGGGCCTGTGCAGAATCCGTGACCGCGACTAAGTATGTCGTCGTAGAGACAGCAACGGTCTTTCTGGTGGTGTAAGTACTTATCTGCCCGATAGGACAATTTTGGACAGAAGGCGGGCATGCGGTGAATACGTCGATCTCCGTAGCATAGATGGTCGAGGTAGTCATATACAAAGGAGGAACACCAGTCTCTATGCCCTGAGTTGAAGAAGCACTAGCGATCTGTATAGTGGCGTGCTGGGGGTTGGCGGTCTGAATCAGACTAGTATGAGGAATGGGTGTCGCAGAGTCTGTAGCACGAGGAGTTGTGGTTTGAGCGCCTTCGGGACAAACTGTCGTAACATAGGTGATTGTCTCGGTAGTCAAGTATGTCGTCTGTTGGTGCGCGGGGCAATTGGTAACGGCGGCAGCACAAGAAGTGATCGTGTGGACCTCGGTTACCCTGACGGTATAAGTTGAAGTGGTTGGTGTGGCCCCGCTTGATTGCTCCGAGGACTGGGTTGAAGGAGATGATCCACTGGGTGTCACAGTTGTGGTGACAAGCGCAGTTGAGCTGGCGGTGGGCTGTGTCACAGACGCGTTCGGACCAGAAGCAGACTCACCGCATGAGGTTGAAGGAATAGATGGACCTGAAGAGGTCGATAGCGACAAAGAAGATTGGCTAGAAGCAGCCGATGAACTGCCCAAAGATGAGCCGGTAGAAGAGTCCAAAGAAGAAAAAGATGACGACGAAGACAAAGATGACGACGAAGACAAAGATGACGACGAAGACAAAGATGACGACGAAGACAAAGATGACGACGAAGACAAAGATGACGACGAAGACAAAGATGACGACGAAGACAAAGATGACGAAGGAGTGGGCGAAAAGGAGAGAACAGACGAAGTGATAGAAGAACTGGGAGATGAGATGGAAGGAGTGAAAAGGGGAATAGAAGAAGAAGAGCCTGGAGAGACGGAAGATATAACTGAAGTAGGAATCAACCAAGTCGACGACGACCGTATAGGAGAAGACATCGGGCTAGATCTTGTAGAAGAAGTGATGGTCGACGACCGGCTCAGTGTTGTCGACGAAGGGGTACCCGACAGCGTCTTAGAAGGCGTCAAAATAGGCGTCACGGGGGTGGGAGTCGGGGTCAACGTAGCAGACGTGGTAGAGCTCGGTGTCACAGTGTAAACCACCTCCCCCGTCGAAGTGACCGTGTACGTTTCCGTGACCAGCCAGGTCGAGAGACAAGGGCTGACCGTAGGCGCATAACGGATTGCTGCTTGGTACGGTCCACCGGAAGTGACGGTCACATCGCCCTGGAGTAGATAACACATATTACCACCATACAAGGCCGCGCTACAGGCAGGTCGGACGGCACAGGCCGATGCACAAGCCCGCAGTGAAAGGGCGGAGCTGCTCAAGATGAGGGTGCCACCACTATACGAGGCTGCGCAGGTCTCCTGCCACACTGCCCCATATGTGTTGTAGTATCCATTGCTACAGGTGATCTGCATGGAAGGCGTAATAGTGCAGCCCGCGACCGCAGCCGAGGAAGTGACGAGGCCAGTTGTTGGAAAAACCGTCGTAAATGTACTAGTGATCTCCATGGCGCTGGACAAAGGAGCCAAAGCTGCCAGAGCAGGCAGAAATTCTCTCCACCGGCCCATATTGATAGTTAAACGAATGTAGAAGCACAAAGTGTGAAGACAAAGGACATGAATTCATTTTCAGGGGCGCTGTGATGTTTATCCTGCTCGCTACAATCTACCAAGTTTTCAGCGTATGTCAAGGCAAGACTTGCCGACGAACTTTAAGGTGTCTTAGACTACTCCATACGGAGGATAAATAGTCGATGCGCTAAAGCTCCATATCATGCATGGCTGATTTCCAAGCCATTTTATGTTAGCTCTTAGTAGAATTAAGCGTGCTCCGTAAAGCTAGTCAATTACGAGATTTCAAAAGCGAAAACGTAGAACACAATCGACCTTGGAGGCATTCGAAGTCAAATCAGAACTGGATGTGGAATAGAGAGAAAGGGACAAGGGAAAAAAAGTATACAAACATAATCCCATAACCTCCACCCTATTTTATTTTTGTTTTAGAGCTATTATACTATAGATTATATATTCATAGAGTTTCGTGTATATAGATTAACAAGTTCCGTTCTATAACCTAACGTAGCTTAACTATATGGCCCAGCTTAGCCACGGTTATACAAGAGTTCACCTCTCAAAACAAAACCTGAGACTTTAGATGTAGAGAACACTAAGGCAAAATCGGTTAGCGGTTGCCGTAATAGGGTTAGTATAAGTTCTCGACGTGCAGTTCGACATTTCTCTTTTCTCAATTTTTACCCCTCTCAACACCTTTGATACAGTTATGGCCCGAGGAAAGCTGCGAGCAAAAATACGTACGGTCCTCAGCAATTGGAATGAGTTTATGTGCTAACACGACCCAAAGCCGAATGGATACATGCGATCTGTTACCATCATGTTTTGATGATCATATCGGCGATTGCAATTATTATGCTATGTGAGGACAATAAATATATTCATCTGGATTTCAATAATTAATATATTCTAGCCATTCTAATAGCGGGCTGTTCTTCCAACAATCTAAGCAATATATACTTGTTGTCGCTAGAATATTCAGCGAAAGATCCTCCATTATCTACAACACCCGGACAAGTGAGTTCAGATATTGCGCATGCCATTCACAATGTGTTTCAAACTGGCAATGGAACAACTCTCGAGGTGCGAGCGGGGTACATGGGGATCTGCGTCACGCAGAGCCACATCGGACGCATCTGCTCTACCAACGCCCAGGTATTGGCAAATTTGTTCCAGGCACAAAAGCATGTCAAAAATGGGACAAGCACAGAAATTGTACCCGACCCGCTCAATTTGATCATGATTGCGAATGAGTTTAAGGAGAAGATTGTATTCGATGGGCTGATGTAAGTCTTTCCCTCTGGCGAGTTTGATGCAATATACCAACCCTGATAGATATATCGTGATAGCCTTGATGTTCATCTGTATTCTCATCCTATCATCGTTCCCTGGATGGAATGAGGAAGTTGATGACAGCGGCTCAATCCGCATGGTGAGGCCATTTCCTAGCATGCCTCTGTCGCAGATTTGTCTACTCGGTTTTCTTTGTAGCAGTGCATTTTGTCTTATCTCCGTATTGTGGCAGCATATCAACAGCAGTGCTGCGGCGACAATGACCGAAACACTCACATATGGCGCTGTTTCGGCCCATGTGGGAGGCGCGGCGATGGCGTTAGGATGGCTCTCTGTAGGACTGATTGCGGTAGTCAGTATCGGGATTCTCGTGATGATATTGAGTATAAGTATTCTTAGGAAACTTATGGAGGATGACTAGAGCCGAATCCATGCCCTCGATATTTGAAACATGTAGCCCTTGTGCTTGTGGGATGAGGGGGAGGCAGGGAGGAGGTCAACGGCACCAAGGGTTATGGAGCTATGCACAGAATAAAAAAATAATTGATTTTTTGCTAAATGGATGTGATTAATTGGACCACATAAGTTTCTGTTACACCAGACACGCTAACCCGTGCACCTTCCAGGGTCATCCAGACTGAGATCCATGGATCGACAAGTAGCTTAGCGGAGCCGCATGAACCCATTCACTCCAGCAAGCCTTCAACCAAACTTCGACCTTCATTATCCGTAGAAAGATGTTTGGAAATAAGTAAAACAATTGCCCTTGAAAAGCCATGCATGAACCAGCACTCATGGACTTCACTCCGCTTAACCATAGTGGCCGCCCAGTGGGCTAGCACGATAAGTGCGGCTGGATTTTGAAGCAAAACCATATGCTTGAAGTGGTCCGTCGTCTTGCTTAACCATACGCTTATACTTTGCCGCGCACCTGGTAAATCATTGGAGCATTGGAGCAAGGCTCCAATGCCGAGTAGAATAGCCGGGGCATCTTGCTCATTATCTGGTTTCCCGAATATCTCGGCCATGCGATAAGGAAGCATCTGAAGACGGTTGAGTAGCACAGTCGGTGCTGCGGCGGTACCTCGTGAGCTGTTTGTATCTAAAGATGTTTGAAAATTATCACCCTTGTTCTGCTCAATTTCTGAAGAGCTTGCTAGTTCGGAAAAATCTCGCATATCGCATAGTACAGACTCTAGCTGAGACAAGGCTGTGGTAGGACTCAGGACAGTCTCATGATTCGCAGCAAGTCCAGCCAAGGTCCATCGTGCACAGCTCGTGATGCTCCTTACTTGAATTGCTGCCTTTTTTGTTCTCTGGAAAGTATCGGTGGATAAAGCGTTTGGAGTATTGCTCATTATCTCGTTAAACCCGACGAAGAAATCGTCACGGAGCTTTGTCGCCCGCTCACGGTGCTTTTGTTGTGTTGTTGTCTCGTCCTCCAGTGTAGCTGAATGATACGCGGAAATAGCCAGCAATCCGCACATCAGCCACCGTTGTTGTAGAGCCAACGAAACGATGTATGTCCCCCAGTATTTTGACGCCGGTAGAGAATCATCGATGTTAGGAAGTGTGAGACACGTTGTAATGATAAAATGATGGAAGTAGGCCAATGTCTCTAGGTCCACCACGACCACGGGAGAAGACTCGGAAAGTGATAGCGGCTGTGCTGGTGATGGCATTCCCCTCACACCGACGTCCTCTCTATCATTCCCACCCCCTTCGGCAGGATTCTGTGACCCTGTGGCTTTACTTGGCTCAGAGACCTCGAAGTACTTGAGTTTTGTACCGCGAAAGAACGTCTGGAGGCTCACTGAGCGCGCGTGAGATGCAAAATCATTCAATCCAGTAACACCGTGTACATCACTCCAGTGGCGTATCATACGTTTAGAGCTTGCACAGAGATGCCCGCACCCGGTCATGGTACAGGAATACCCAGACACTACGGGTAGGGCATCAACCGGCCGTGTACTTGGGCTGGGCAGCGAAAGCTCATCCGGTTCAACGATGTCGAGTTGATGAATGGTGGACAGTAAACGAAGCTTTTCTTCTCGGTAAATTTTGTGGCGGAGTAAATGGCTCCCTAACGCATTTTTCTGGATGGCGTAGTGGCATTCTCGGCAGATAAGCACTTTGTACTTCGCGTTATACTCGAGTAGCTCTCGTGGACCGAGTCGCATTATAGACGGCGACCCTTATTCCGGGTTGGAGGATGGTAGATAAAGCGGGGATGTGCTGCCGTGTACGTATTCAGAGTTCATTGTCGTATTAAAGAGACATTATGAGGTCTTGATCGAATTGAATAATGTGCCAACGGTGAATCACTAAGGTCTCGTACGTAACAACGGGTTCGCACTAAGCAGCTGCCTCTTCTGTCTGTCTGTTCTGCATGAATACCAACACTCAGGGGCTTGCTTCTTACGCTCTAGCGGTAATTTATGGACATAATCTAATGCGGCGTTAAGTCGGATTTAAGGAACGGCATATACGGTTCGTAATCAGAGAACGGTACATGCGGTTCTAACATTTTTTATACTTGGTAATATTTACTAACTACCTGCTTTGAAAGAATACATGTGATTTGGGCCTGTGATTACGATTATTCTCTGTCGTTCTATCAGAAAAGCCATGGAGTACTTATAGTTCGGCAGGTCCTGCCCCAATTTGCTTTTTACTTAGTATCCAACAATCAATTTGCTCAAGTCAAACATCTGTGTCTTCTCCGCCATTTTATAAGCCATATCTACCTTCTCTCATTCTTCTCTCGGAATGTCGACCCCAAAGAATCTAGCTGCGTGGCTCACCAAAGCTGGCTCTCCCCTACAGGTGGATGATGCTCCACTTCCCACGGCTGGTCCAGGAGAACTCGTCATTAAAAACGCCGCAATTGCTATCAATCCTCTCGACTGTCATATGCTAGACTCCGGGGTCTTCGTGAAGCAATGGCCCGCTATCTTCGGTTGCGACATCGCCGGTGAGGTGCATGAAGTGGGAGATGGCGTTGAACGCTTCAAGAAAGGGAATCGTGTAATTGGGTATGTTATTTGACAGCATATCCAAGCCAAGTTATCCTGAACTAATTTGACATCTCTTCCACAGACATGCTATCAATTTGACTAGCGGGCGCCCAGAAGATGGCGCATTCGCTCTGTACACGGTGATTCCTGCAACCAAAGCAGCCATACTCCCTGATGAAATATCTTTCACAGATGGTGTTGTGGTTCCGTTCGCATTGGAAGCGGCTGTCTGCGTGCTTTCCCTCAAGGAGCCCGGCTTCGCCATGCCCGGTGTAAATACACCTGCACTGAGCCTTCCATATCCCTCACTACAGGAGGTGCCATCTAGTGGAAAGACGCTCGTTATATATGGTGGCTCTTCCTCTGTGGGCTCGATGACAACCCAGCTTGCCGCATCGACCGGAATTCATGTCATCGCCATTGCCGGAGCACATAATTTCGAATTCAGCAAGCGGTGCGGCGCAGCTGAAGTATTTGACCGCAATGATGATTCACTTGTCGACAAGGTTACCGACGCAATTCGACAGAATGGTGGCGAGTTCGTTGGCATCTTTGATGCTATAGGCACTGCCGAGACTTACGCCCACGACATCATCATTCTTGATCAGCTAGGTGGAGGGCATCTTGCCTCCGTGCATCCTCCTCCTCCTGCTACCGATCTCCCCGCGAATGTCAATGCCGGTATGATCTTTGCTGTCAACGATGTTGCGATACCTGTCTGGGAGGAATATGTTACTCCTGCGTTGCAGTCGGGAAAGCTCCAGTGCCTCCCACCCCCGCTGGTCGTCGGCAAGGGTTTAGAGCATGTTCAATCTGCGTTGGAAAAGTGCAAGGCGGGTGTCAGTGCCACGAAGCTGGTGGTGGAGTTGTAGCTGCTGTGTTCCTCGTTTCCCTTCTACGGGAGCAAACTATGGCTTTTGTCACGCTGGCCGCAACGTACCTGATATAGGTGTATCATTTCACTTTGGTTCATCACTTTCGACCATATTTCTGTTTACTCCTTGCTAGCAATGGTTTAATAAAGACTTTGTTTGGTCAAGGCATAAGAATGCGTATCCGTTTTAAATAAAAGTAAAGTCGCTAAAACACATGAATGTATTGATTATGATTTAAATAGACCCGCAAGTGCTGATTCTATCGCAATCTGAATCTACATAGCCATTAGAGGTCACGGTTTTGCCGAGGTACTAGTTTGACATATTGCAAACTTAACGATAGAGAAGGAAAGATCTTCCAGTGTCAATCCAGAAAAATCTATGCATGTTCGATATACATGGCGTGCTGTGTGTGGAGTGTGAGTTTAATAAGTTGTATAATTAAGATATACAAAAAATATATGGGACGAGCCGGGATTGAACCAGCGACCTTGCGAACTTCAGTCGCACGCTCTCCCAACTGAGCTATCGTCCCATGTTGAGATGTTTTATCTCGACTTATTTAGGACTATGTTTCTAGAATTGATATGCTGTTTGTAGTAGGTAGTTAAGTTAATTAATGATATTAACTACTTCGTAGTTACTCCGTACATTAGAAAAAAAATGCACTCTCCAGCCATAGATAGAAAAGTCGCTTTCACTGATTAAGCCTCTTACCGTTTTCTTTCCACCGTCTATCTACCTATAAAATTGAGAAGGGGGAGAAAATGTCTTGAAAAAGAATATCTGACACTACCGAAAAAACAAGTTACTGAAACGGCTACCACCAAAAAGACACGGCCTCATAAGCAACCATATACTCCGTACTCTCGTCGATAATAGGGTTCGAGTGTTAGGAAGCGCAATTTAGGGGGGGTAAACAATAGATAGTCACTAACGGAGAGTCCAAGGTAAAAAGACAAAAACAATGATGGGGCGAGCCGGGATTGAACCAGCGACCTTGCGAACTTCAGTCGCACGCTCTCCCAACTGAGCTATCGCCCCACACTATACTAATAGGCGGTTTATTTGGCTTTATCAAGCTTGGATAAACGCTACCGAGTAGATTAAGCCAAAACACCATAGTAATGCGATATATTATTCTACATTCATACCTCAACAACTTTACTTTTATATTACCTCATTATTTATCGAGAGTTGTTAGTAAGACTTGTTAAAGCCATATATCAGTTTTAAAGAGTAGAATGCTGTATTATCGTCATTTCAAAGATTACTGAAACTACGTTGCTAAAAACTAGAAATATATATATCAAAATAGTCAAGTCTCAACCCTTCTTCAAGCTCCCGAAGTGACGAGATATCACCTAGAAAGTATGAGGCTATAAGGCGAAATCCGGAAAGAACACTGTTTTTGAGATATCAAGTTGTAATTTATCGCATTTACTATGGTGTTTTAGCTAATCCACTCGGTAGTGTTGATTCATTCGGTAGTGAAATATGTTGGACAAAATACAACGTATTTTACCACTAGACCATAACAAAAACTAAGGGTCCTGTTTAGGGCCTAGGGGAGTCATATGTGTAAGTTGAAAAAATACGTTAGTTAAATAGTCTATGAAGGCTTAGCAGACAAGGCATCTGAGCAAGCATACAACATGTTGACCTCAAACTAATCGAGAGCCTCTAGGAAATCGTCCTGGACACTTTCGCTTACTAGAGTTTGGAGTTTAACAACTCCAGGAACTGCACATAGTACATATATGCATTGAATGGAGTTATCAAAGATAGAGGACGATGGCCATGGATGTATGCATATCCTACTCGTGTGGTAAGGATGTTTAATTCGAACCAGTCAAAACCATTTTGGCATTCTTCAGGTATTCGAATCTTTCTCGATATGTCCTAGGCTGTTTCTTGGGGTCTCCGTTTGGCTCAAGATCGAATATTATGCCGGGAAGCTTAGGATAATCGGCTAAGTCGCAGTGTGCGTTCCGAAATCCCTGATGGATTTTCCACAAATTCGTGAAAGAAATCATGTCAATTTTCTTGTTGACGGGCTCGAAGCAATGATTTTTTCGTTTCCCATCGCAATAATATTTGAGCCGAGGTTGAACAAGGCGAGCGGGTGAGTGAAGTGTTCACTCTGGTGTGTAGTAATCTCTTTCGCGCCCGCATTCTACTTTCTGGTTAGTTACCTTGACCATAACCCCTGCAGCGTACACGAACAATATCAGCACAACCCTCCAGGCCATTGCCTGTGCGGCATAGGGGGCCCTTCCAATTTGCCTTGCGGCGTTTAGTCTGGACAATAACCCTACTTTCTGTGTATGGTCCTGCACTGTGTGGTTAACAGGGACGAGACCTGGCTTTCCTTTGTAGCCATCTTGCCCACAGCCATTGCCACCCTTCTGGACACCCGGAACAACCTCGATAATGTAACAACTTGGCAATTCCACAACAAAGAAGAGAAAAGCGTCGTTCAGAACGGGCCTCTGGCAACCCCGGCATCTTAGACGCGTTGATTTCCCTGGCTCTCCTGGGATCGCTTTACCTTACTTGAATCCTGATTCAGTTCAGGTGATCTTCCGGTTGTACATGATTCCGATCATGCGGGCGAGATGGTCAGTCGAGAATTGACCAAGGTTCGATACGCGGCCTTTGCCAAGAAGAGAAAATGCCGATTCCAGTGTCTCTCGATTTGTTATTGGCACATCATGAATATTGAGACCATCCTGGGGCCGGAGCCATGAGAAGTTATCAAACGGGGTACATGATAGCGTATCAAGTCGTCACCACATTACATCGTCTTCAACGACGCAGGAGCCATGGATCCATATATACATACTGTTGGGCTACAAAGGGAGAGGGAAGAAGGAAGAAATCTTTCCTATTCAATCTATCAAGAAGAGTGACTTTATACCCTGCTAAACTAGCAAACAAACGCTCAGTCCAACAAAGAATCGTCAGGACAGTCCTAAGACGGTTAGGGGACGGTCTGATCTCCAACACATACATATGTAAATAACAATCTTAGTGTGTTATCCGATTCTCTTATCATTTAATTTCACAAATAAAGATGTAGCACCAGTTTAATTGTATGGCTCGGGAGAAAACACATCCTTAAGACGAAAGTGTGACAAGTCCCAAATAATCTGCGCAGTCTGCTTCAAGTTCCGCTTAACAATGACAGAAGTAGGAAGAGAGAAAATCTCATCAATCTCCTCAAGTGATTTGTTCTTAGTCTCCGGCATAAATAGAATCTGGTAAACCCAGCCGAGGACAGCAATACCACCGTAGAACCCAAGCGTCAGACCAATCCGATGCATAGACTCCATCATGCGCGTGAAGTTGTACGTGACGATAAACGAGCACAGAAACAAGTTAGCGTCGGCTGTCGTCATTCCATACGAACGCAGGTACGTGGGGAAGACCTCGGAAGGCACGACCCACGTTAAGCAAGCATATGAGCCGAAGAAACCCATGTACAGCACAATACCAGTGAGGTAGATTCCCTGCGCCGCGGCGGGGTATTTATCAGCATCGATAGTGTAGCCGACTCCGACGAGTACAAGACCAATAAAGAAACCGGGAAGCATCGCGTTCGCCCAGTATCGACGACCAAATCGCTCCATGTACAGCACGGCCGGGATGGTGCCGATCAATAGTGACCCACCGCCGACAAGAGACATGAAAACGGCGTCCTTGTCACCGAAGCCGATTGCCTGCATCAACGTTGACATGTAGTACATCACCGCGTTAACGCCAGTGAATTGCCCGAGAAAGATCATGATATTGGCGTAGACCATTGCACGGCGCGCACGAGGCACAGTGAAGAAATCCATCCAAGGGTACTTCTTCGTCTGGGCTTGCTCTTGGTTCTCGGCTGTGACAGCCTGACGCATACCGAGGAACTCATCTTTGGCTTCAAGATCGTTGAACCCACGGATCTTCTTCCATACTGCGTATGCTTGGATCTCGTGCCCCTTGTGCATTAGGAACCGGGGGCTCTCTGGTAGAAAGAGCATGCCCACGAAGAGGATTGTTGAGAAGACCAGTGAAGAGCCTAGGATGTAACGCCAGTTTCCTTCGACACTAACAAACATTGCGGCGACGGCGTAACCGAGGACTTCGCCCAGGGCAATGTTTAGTTGGTACAGGGAGACGAGATTACCGCGGAGTCTGCGGGGGACTGTTGAATATTGGGGTTAGAATTAGACATATAAGTGGGTTGGGAATGATGGGCTACAAACCACACTCTGCGACATAGACTGGAACGGTACCACCCTCCAAACCGACACCAGCTCCAAGAATGAATCGGCCAGCGAAGATCATTCCGAAGTTGATAGCGCCAGCCTCCAGGGCAGCGCCAATAGTGTACAGGATGCAGGAGACGATGATAGCCATACGACGACCAAGGTACTCGTTTGCTGGAGAGAGGAGAAGAGCACCGGCCACGGCTCCAAGCGGCATACCAGCATTGACTAGACTGTTGTCTGCTGAAGACAGGCCCAGATCAACAGGGAGGTAGAGGTTTGCACCACTGATAAGCGACTGGTCAAGACCAGATAGCATACCTCCCATGGACGCGAAAGCGACGAGGACGTAGGTGAAGGTAGCAGGGTTTGACAAGGTCATCTCGAAGCGGGATTTGGGGAGAATGTGCACCTGCTCTTCAAGCTGCTGTAGTTCCGCGTCCATAGCGGCTTCGGTCATCCCGTTTTGGAGCTTTTGCTCCGCCACGTCGTTGATCTTGGAGGCGACGGATTCCATTTCTTCCCTGTGTGCATTTTGGAGCGCCTCGGCATCTTTAGGGTCGGCCATGATGAGACCTCCTTCTCAGGAGATAGTTTATAGGTCTACTAAAGGATATAAAGTATAACAGTAGATTGGAACCGTCACCTCAGGCTCTGCCGGAGCAGGGACTAGGATTTATAGAGAATGGAGAAAAAATATGGAACAAGTGATTGCACCAGCTGACTGAGCCAAGCGGCAGAGCGCAGGACTATTTCAGGCCATCCTGATGACGATCATGGCGACGGTTGTTCGACATCACGCACGACAAAGACTCGGTGTGGGGGTTCGGCCCAAAAAACAAAGTCAAGAAACCGCCTGGCGATGCGCTAGGCTGTATAGATTGGCCGACTCGTGAGCCAGACTCGGTCTGGAGTATGCACTCTGTACCCTCCCATGTGCGGAGAGAAGTGGGGAACCAGGCCAGTCCGGGGTGATTAGGTTGGGGAGAAGGGGACGGACGAAAACGCGGGCTCACCGGGAGACAAAAACAGGATTAAAGCTGGAATATGCAGTGTGCCGTAAGGGAATACAGGGATTGGAATGTGGAGAGACATGGGGGAATTCAAGATATGGGGGAATCGTGCCACCAAAGCTTATGTCGACTATTCCTGGGCACACAATAGGCAGTCTGTGTAAGTAACTCTCAGACCTCAGATCAATAATGCTGTCAAATGTGGCCTCATACTTCTGGAATCTTCCCGGATACCCGTTGTGTCGGCATATACCACGGTATAGCCGTATTGACGGAGTGAACCCTACGGAGGAAGGCAATCCCAACACTTTAAGCGGGATATATCTGTAGCAAAAAAGAATTTCATCAAGGGCCACATCTTGAATATAATACGGGCTTTGAAAGGCGCTAGGACTCGGTATCCAACTGGCTTTGGAGTCCCCGGGAGAGGTCTGCGATATATCGGCGACATCTCGGGGAAAATGGAGGATATAGTGAATTTTCTGATCAACTAAGCTCAACTAAGCTTCAAATCTGGGCTTGGGCCCATCAGCTGAGTTGCGTTATACTCGGAGCATAACGGCTTTTCAGCCAAACACGGGATGGCTGCGTCGGGGTCAGTTAAACTGGGGGGTTTCCCCCAGAGCAAGCCAGGATGATCATTCGCTGGCTGTTGTTTAGCTTTGGTGGCTAATCATCCCTGGTTTCAAGGACTAATTATGGGGGCCATGGCATATCTTAGGTTGGATAGTTGGAAAGGGTGATCTCTGCCCTATTGGGGATGAGTTTAAGTAGTCTGAAGGATTCGGCCCGAAATATCCCTGAAGCGTGGGGGAAAAGGTCAAATTAGCAAATCTTCGCGACTTCTCGGAACATACTACAATATCATGCTACATATAATGTATTTGGTACATATCTAGGAATCACCTGACCATCCATGATGGAACATTTGAATGAACTTTGTCCTCATGTATGTACTCGGTAAACATTGAACATAAAATAACTCCCGACGCCACGCTCTCCACCATGCAATGTAAGCCTCTACACTTTCATCGTCTTCCAGGCGCTCCAACCGGCTTCCGAATACTGGGGTCAACATTGGGGCTAGGAGACCTTCCTCCTTGTAATCTGGCCCGCAGTCGGTCCTGGGCGGAACCACCACCCGACCCGACACGGTCGAGATTCGGACGAGCCTGGGAAGACTGATGCGACCCAGTTCGCTGGCTGGGCAATGGCCGAGCTCCAGATGGATGGGGGAGCCCGACCCAGCAGGCGAGTAGGACTGAGAATGTGTGATGGCCGGACCAGGCGAGGGGGAGGGGCCCGGCGGCGCGCTGTTGGTGGAGGTAAGCGGTGGGGCTGTGCCACCACGTCCGCGACGAAGACTAGCTGTCTGTGGGATTGATGTTTGGGATGTGGGAGAATCGCCCCATAGATCACCTAAACCCCCGCTACGGCTGGAGTTGGCGGACCCTTGGTTGTAGCTGCCGGGGGGTAGTTGTGAAGTCGCGATCGGGCGGGAGGGTGTCGGAGACGGAGCCTTGGGATCTTGTGGGAGCCATGGCGGGAATGGTCGACCATTTTCGGTGTAGTAGGCTCGCAGGGCGTTGGAGATGTGGGAGCAGTCTTCGTTGTCTGGGTCATCTCCCTCGTCGCCTAGGGTAATGGCTCGGCGAAGGTTGGTGAGTCGCGAACCCAGGCCAGAGATGGCTGAGGAGGAGGTCAAGGATGTGAAGTACGAGCTCATTTTGCAGCAGCCGGGTGATGTGGTTGAGTAATGCGCGGTTTGTAGAATGGAAGCTTCGGTGCGGGGTGGGTTGGCGCGGAGCTGGAGCTGTACTTGTGGGGACCCAATGCAAGAGCTTCAGGGTCGAATAGTTGGACAAGAGATGAAGATGATCACAATGGATTATTAAAGGGGATATTAACAGAAGAACCGGCTCCTGGGGTGAGGTGAAGTCGTTCAAAGGAAAATGAAAGGCGACAAGTGGACATTCATTGGACGATAGTCAACACGTGATCACGTGTTTCACCTAAATAAAGCACCAGCCAGGTCTTGTCGCAACTAAATTATGTTGAGGCATCTCAGGAATAACAGAGATATCGAGCGGTACAGCTGAAGATAAAATAGACATTGGAGAATCTAGGATCGTGAGTTGTAGTGAATGCAATATAGCAGGGTATGATGCCCAATCACTAGCACAGAATAAGAATATAAAACAAAAAGAAATGACAGCCCGAACGCCATGCAAGATCAGGTAAACTTTTCCCAAACTCTCTTAACATCGACAAAATCATGCCATGACCTGGTCCTTGCCAGCACCCTCGGTCTCGTATTCGATCTCGATGCGAGGGCCCTTCTTGCGAGGCTTCGCCTGGGGAGCAACATGCTTCCGCTTGGCACTGGGCTTGGGCTTCTTCTCATCTGCGCTAGCCTCCTCATCGTCCTCGCTGTCATCATCATCACTCTCATCGTCATCGTCATCGTAGTCGCTGGAGTCAGCCGAATCGACGCCCAGCCAGTCCTCCATATCCTCGAGGTCCTCCTCTTCATCGAGATCGCTGACGTACTCGACCTCACCAACACCCTCTTCCTCCTCCTCCTCAATCTCCTCGCCGTCATCCATGTCCACATCACGCTGACCGTCACCAGCCCGCTCAAGACCACGGAGAACCTTCTTCCAGATGCCCTCCTCAACATTGAGTGGGCGGTCACCGTAAGCGCCGCTGCGCAGACGCTCAATAAGCTCACGCTCAATGGCTCTCTCGACCCTAGCGGCAGACTCGGCCTTACGCTCACGGGTCTCCTCACGACGGCGGATCTTCGGCGCCAGCTTGGGCACAATACGCTCTCCGAGACGCTCGTCTTCCTTGGCGATGTTCTTCATGCGGATGCTGACCTGCGTCAGGCGGGTGAGACGCTGCTTGCACTTGTGGGTCAAGAATTTGGGCCAGTAGATAAGGCGCTCATCGACTTGCTCAAGGGCCTTGGCGTAGTTGGAAGATAAGCGTACACGCTCCCACCATTTGCTGGGCATATGGGCTCGTTCGACGGTCTTCATGTACAGGTACATGACGCCTGTTTCGGGATCGCTTCGCACCGTCGCATATCGCGAGTTGGCCAGTGGGCAGGACTGGCGATTGCACAGACCGCTGACGTTGTATTCATTGCGACAGAAGTTTTGGTCTTTAGTCGTTCTAGAGAGAAGGTTGGAATTAGTGGAAGGTTCTTGCTTTTCTGTCCATGAATAATGGAGATAAACCTGCGGACTGAATAGCCAGCGAGTGAAGATTTTACACTTACTTGAGTTTGTAGGAGCAGAATTGCTGGTTGATAACTTGCCAGACAATTTCGTCAGACATGATGGGCGAGGAATTGACAACCGAAAAAGTGGTTGGTCCTGGAGTCTACGCAGCAGATGTTTAACCACGAAGAAAAAAAAAAGATTCGATATGTATTGACCGCCTTCCTGAGTAGGGTAGTCACGTGCTTTACTTATCGATTCCGCGCAACGTCATTGGACCTGGGGAGAGATCCACCTTCCAAGGTTGCCGTCCAACAACGACGATGTACGGAGTATTAACGCTGTTCCTCCATTTCCGTGTTTATTGGCTCCTTAGGTCTCTAATTAAAAATGGAAGTGTATCTGATGGCTATGAGCTGGAAAGGGATATTTCGTATCCGAAACTACTCAAATCAAAGAATTATTTGGTTACATGTGCATTTAAAGTTCATATTTTAACACAGAACTAGTTGGCCTGATATAGGCGCTCATCTCAACACCATCTATCCCCAAATCCTGGTATCTACCAGCCGATGGTTGTGCCGTCGATGTTCCAGAAATCGCCCGCTCCGTTCTCCTTGGTCAAACCATCGATCTTGGCGACAATTGCATTCACGCTGTCCTCAACTTCAACGAAAGCGCTTGGGTAGCCCGCAGCTCGAGCAGCATCATTTCCAGCGTCTGTTTTAACAGCTCTATAGAAAAATATTAGCCAGTGCCCCAAGCAAGGGAAAGGGTTAAAAACAAGGTATCTATGTACATACCCAGGATGGATAGCCAAGGTCGCAATCTTTTCATGCTCATAGTTGATTTTCCGGATCAAGAAGTTCGCTGCAGCCTTGCTAGCACCGTAAGGCGCAATCTTGAGCGGGATATCTTGAATACCTCCGATCGTTCCCATAAGACTACTGCTTAGGATGAAACGAGCGGAGGAGGAGTTCTCAAGGAGAGGGAGTGTAGCCTGGAAGAGGCGCACAGGACCGATAGTGTTCACATCTAGATGGATTTTGATTTGCTCAATAGAAGAATCGGCAACAGCGGTGAAAGCGGCTATGTCAAAGACTCCCGCATTAGCGATAACGATGTCTAGAGCTGACACCCCATGGCCAGACAATGCCTCAACTGCAGCTTTGGCATCAGTGTCAGAGCTGGCGTCAATTTTGACAATAAGCAACCGACTAGTCTTCCCCGTGGGAAAGTCAGAGAGAGAGGTTGCTTCCGAGGAGGTTGGGTTGCGGACTGCTGCGATCACAGTCACATCATCGCGAGCTAGGTATTTGGCGACAAGACCACGGCCAATTCCTGAGAAACTTAGTACATTTAAAGTAAGATGGAGTTGATCTGTGGGCTTGGCTTACCTTTGTTGGCACCGGAAATCAAGATGGTAGACATGATAGTGATGCTTTGTATTCTTGCCTTTGGAGAAAGTAGCCTGGCGTATACTGGAATATTTTCTCGGATATATATGCTTTCTCTTACTCTTTATAGTGGTTATCTTATAATAACTGATATGAGAATCCACTTTTTGTGAACAAGGAACTCTTTAGTTGACTGAGCAATAAACTGAACTGATTTGCGAGCATTGGTAATAAGGATCTATAAATTCCCAAGCATTGGTAATCTCTAACATTTAAACATCCCTGTATAGTCTAAGATATGTGAATTATATGTAAAATCTAGTGCTGGTGGCATATGAATGGCACTGCTGCATTGTCATCTGCATAATAAGCACGCTACTGCATAATAAGCACGCTACTGCATGATAAGCATGCTATGCTGACCTGAGGGCATTCCTGTCTATTTTCTCCCTAGATTAGTTATGCGACTCTCGCTGGTGGCCTTTATCTGCTATGTCTGGTCATCTACCGATCCTATCCAAATCCACTGCGCAAGATCAGCCATAATTCCAAACGCCGACGCACCATAATAACTAGGCCAAAATATCAAAACGGCATTGTATCTTAGCTGGCATAGACAGGATCTTTTCAATGATCAGTAGAATCACTAACATACGTTTAATATATAACAATAGAGGTTTCCAATGGGCCTCCTGCCTACTTGCCTTCTTGAATTTGGCCATGCTTCCTTCCCCACACGCATTCACCTTAGAATTGATGGCGAACTGTATATGATTCATCCAATACCCATTCTATAAATATGGCCGGAACCTGAGAACCAAAAGCAAGTTCGCGTCGAGTGAGCGCAATTAGGCTCTATATGTATGTTCGATTAGCTGGAATATGAGTAGGCGGGGACCCCGGATCACGACATAAATGAAGGGATGAAACTTTTCTTTCAAATTATATACTTTTTCGATTATAGGAATCAATTGATGGAATCAAAAATATGTATGGAAAACACCACATCTGGTACCCCGAGGTCTTGGCAAACCTGGTCAAGTTCTTCAACATTGGAAAATTTGCAACATTGCATTTACTATGATAACCATATATATTTAAGAGATCCCAGCAGTAGACGCATCAATCAATATAGCTGCTCTGGAGTACGAAAGTCGAAATCATGGGAGATATAGGTATACTATTTAGATCAGACCAATGATACATATCCACGCTAAACCCTATCCAGTACGTAGTGTGTGTGGTTTGAGTGGACTATTTGACGCGCTTTCAAAATTCTAACCTTTCAAACGGCAGTCCATTAACAAAATGGCGCAAAATTCCCTCATACTCCCTCGTCCAGGGACAAAAAGTCCCGGTGACACACAAAAGCCAATTAAAGCTCCAACCGAGGCTCTTTTCACCTCGACCTTCGGCAATCTCCTCCCGAAGGCATCATACCTAGAGACTCCAAACGGGCGAGCAGCATATTACTCTCTACCACTAGTCTCAGCCTCATCTTCAGACCAAGAGCCAGGGAGCCCCATACAACGCCTACTATTCGTACACGGTGTTCAGACATCCGCAATTGGCCTCCAGCCACTAGCCACCACTCTATCAGCGCGCTTCCCATCCGCGCACTGTGTACTACTTGATCTATGGGGCCACGGGTTAAGTGATACGCCTATTTTGGCACACACGTCTGAACTATTCCATGAGTTGCTCTTAGCACTGATGGACCGACTGGAGTGGGCTGACGCGCATTTTGTGGGGTACTCGTTTGGAGGGTCGACGACAGCCTCGTTTACGGCTCGGCATAGCGAGCGTGTTGCCTCGATAGTGCTAGTCGCACCGGCGGGGTTGGTTCGTGCGGCGCAGTTGGAAGAATTGCAGAGGAGGTATATGCAGGGTGGGGAGGGGTTGGAGGACCAGGCGCGGGAGTGGGTTTTTGAGTGGTTGGAGGGAGGGAAATTGGTTGTTCCTGTGGATTGGAAAGAGAAGGTTGGGAGGGGGGGAGGTTGTTGCGGAGGCGGTTCGGGATTGGGAGGTTAGGGAGCATGGCGGCCATGTAGCCAGTGTGGTGGGGATTGTTCGGGATGGAGGAGTGTTCGATCGAGGTGCAGAATTTGCTGAGGCGGCAAAGAAAGGAATCCCGAATCTATGTATTCTGGGAGAGTTGGATGATTTGTGTAGTGTGCAGGATTTAGCTGCAGTTGGGATGCAGAATGTTTCTGTTATTCCGCAGGTTGGACATGGTGTTGTTAGAGAGAAGGTGTCAGATGTTGCTTGCCTGATCGAGGATTTCTGGAATGCGCTTTAATAACTAGTAGCCACTAGGTATAGATGGCGGAATATACATGTACATCAACTTCGATCTACACCAGTTTTATAGGCGTTTTAGAAAAAAGGAAAGCACAAGAGGACGTGCCTTCCAAAAATAACAGGAGTACTCCTGCACTATAGAAAGCGAGGGTATTGACAAAAGTCGATGAACTTGATACCAAGGAACTTGATACCAAGTACTGTCTAGATGATCAACCATCCAAGGTTGAACCGAAGTGATAGATTAGTCCCATAGTATGGCCCCGGAAGAGATGCTAGATGCGCTCAACAATACAAGGTGCTTAAGGTTAATATACAGAGAGCCACATGATACTAGATCGGTGGTAGGCAGGGCAATGGAAGAAGAGAGAGATGAAAAAAGCCTAAGCGTGAGAATATCTATCATAGACCGGAGTCATGAGAAGCACCAATTCTATCCACGGACCTTTCGGTAACTTGGCGGGTGCCACGACTGTTTGATCATTTTGCCAGCCCAGACCGGAATCAGAGACACAGCTAGCACAGCGAAAACTCGCCACAGCCAGTCAAGGGTGATCACATAACTAAGATCGAAGTACTCGCCCAAGAAGGGGACACTGCCTGCGTATACAAGCAGCGTACCAATCAGACAGATGATCATGACCGGGTGCCAGGTTGTGATTGAAGTGGCGACCATGCCAAGCTCATTGAGGACGAGAGCCGTGAAGGAAAGACTAATTAGGCGCGGCCCTGTGATGGTATCCAACAATATCTGAGAGAGACCCTGGATCACTGCGCCCTGATAGACAGAAATGAGAACCCAGCCAAAGAAGGAGCGGTAACTTAGACTCTTCCCTGTCTTGAGCTCTTTGTAGAGCTCTGGGTAGAGATTGGCGAGATGCTCGTCGACATCCCGATCAAAGGCGAGAGAGAAAACGGGTGCGTTGGTGTAGACAGTCGCGTAGCCGACCATGAGCCAGTTGATGAACAAGCCCTTGGGATCGAAGTGGCTGGCGATGCTGTACATCGTCTGGCAAACACTGATGATCAACCCACGGTGCATGATGAACTGTGCTAGTTTAGCAGATCGCTTGTATGAGTTGCGGCCGTGCCAGACTAGAAGCTTAGTGATATGGTGGAACTGCGTGATACTGAAATCAGCAGCCAGAGAGGCCTGGCGGCCTTCCTTGCCCACAATACCAATTCCGACATCGGCTGCTTGAATCATCGAGACATCGTTGCCGCCATCTCCGATGCAACAGACACGTTTCTTGGTGTGTTGGCGAATCAGCTCCGCAATCTCAGCTTTCTGGGTCGGGGAGCATCGGCATGCGATCACAGCGGGCAGTAGCACGGCGACAGAGATGAAAGCTGTTTTGAACTGGCCGAGCATGAGGTTCAAGGACTCGCCGTCAATCAGCAGGCAGCAATCGGTCTTGTTGCGTAAGAAGTCGAGAGCTTCTTGGGCAGTCGACTTGTTTGTGACTTTGGTGACTGTATGAATATACTGACCCCGAGAGACCAATTTGGCAGAAATAGCGACACAACGAGCTGTCTCCACTTTGTCACCCGTCAGCATCCAGATCTTGACACCAGCATTGCGTAACAGTTCGAGAGAGGGTTTCACGTCGCGCTGCAGCCGATCTTCCACACCGGTCACACCGGAAAGCTCTAAATCTTGTTCAAGGTATTCGCTCACAATCTTCGCCATGCCTGCATCTCGCCCTTGGAAAGATAGTGAGGCTTGTTTGTATTCAGCGGAGAAGGCTTCGTATTGCTGTGCAGAGATTCGTTTGCGCCCAACAACGAGAGTTCGCAACCCCTCACGAGCCATATTTGTAGTCTCTTCGTCAAGCCAGTCATTCGCTTGAACAATAGTTGTCATAACAGTGTCTGCACCCTTCTGATAAAACCAAATTTCCCTATCGTCTTTGCCGGATTCAAGCTTGTTTTCATCGTGCTGGAATTGGACGATAATCCCCATTCGCTTGGAGTCAGATGTGAATGGGAATATGTCGAGAATTCGAGCCCGGACCACAACCTGTTTCGAGTCGGTGGATTCCAAGACGATGCTTTGTCTGTCTCGATATGCTAGCTTTAACCCGACCTCTTCGGTATATCGAATGATGGCGATTTCATCAGGCGACGACGCTTGATAGTTGGTCACCTTCCGGCCGTCTTCCTCCTCTGTGGTCGGTGTGACGTTATGACAGAGAGCAAGCGCTAAGATGATATCCCGGACGCGGGAACCAATCTCTCTTCTTGTCCGTGGCGCTGTGGCATGGCCAGCCTGAGTTCCAAAGACAGTTGAAGGGGTGATCAAGATACTGCCCGAAAAGGCAAAAGCTTGACGAATAAACGAGGCAACTTCCTCCATTGCCTCATTGGCGTACGATACAGTGCCAACGTGAATCTTTTTGAGCTCCATCTCATTTTGCGTCAATGTTCCCGTCTTATCTGAAAGCAGATATTCAATCCGCCCTAGATCTTCTGGAATTGTGCTGGTGCGGACGACCGTTCCTGGAATGTCTTTGTCCCGTTCGATGAACCGCCCATATACCGACTTCGCCATGTCTAGATTGACCCGAAGACTCATGGGAATGATTGTGGAGAAGAGAATGAGGTAGATCATGATCGCAACGTACCATTTTTTGTCATTTGTTGGTTGGAATCTTTGCAATCCGACAAGGATGATGGAGAGAGTAAGTGTGAGAGCGCAGAGAATTTTGGTGAGGTTGTTGATTTCGAGTTCTAACAGGCCGATCTTCGACCGGGAAGCAGAAGTTGATAGCGAAGCCCGGGTTTGAGATCCTGTATATATGATGACGGCGTAGGTGATGGTATTAGACGCAAGAACAGTGTTGGCCCAGGCGGTGTTGTCGATTGTCAAGGGAGCTGATTGACTTTCCACAGGCCCAGGCGCTCCTTCGTTGTTTGGCGGCCCAGATGATTTGTCAACATGAGCATCGTAGAATCCAGTGGGCGGTCCCAGCCCGATAGTCCCAACGAATTCGTTGACTCTCTTATCAGGAGCGCTAGCTGTGATTTGTAGTCGACCTAAATCGCTCAGTGGGAGCGATTGAGACAGCACGGAAGGTAAACGAAGCTTCCAGTCAGTTTCGCCGTCCAACTGATCAGTCCGAATGAAAGTGTCACCTGCAGGTGAATTGTCGACACTCTCATCACTCTTCGACGTGGTGTTGGTTGTGGGCCCGGACGATCCCTGACCTGGTTCGAGCAAGTCAGTAGACGCCCCAGGCACAAATTCTTCCGTTAATGAATGACGAGGAGTGGCAGAATCGTTTGAAATGCTCTTCAAAATCACCACATCGGCGGGAAGGCGTTGGTTTTTGCGGACTTTTAGCACATCACCAACTTTCAAGTCTCGAGATTTTTTTGTGACCTCCATCGCGTTAGACCTTCCTAGTGCTAGAATGCAATATTCTTCTGCATTGGCTTCGGCGTCTCGTCGCCGGCGACCGATATCATCGAGTGCTTCTTTACCCAATGATATTGAAACCACAAAGGCCAATGGCGCAATGTAGGATGACATATAACCAATTCGCAGCACCGGGATGACCTGCGATAAAGCCACAAGCAGGAAGTAGATGTTGAAAAAGAAGGAGAATTCGTTGTAAAGCGTTCTCGGTAGGAAGCTCCAGGGTGTGTATTTTGCGTTTGAGACCACATTGGCCGGATAATTAGCAGCCTGGTATTGCCCGACAAGTACTTCACGGGGAGGTTGGTTCTCAGAGTCGTTGTTACTGGATCCAAATGAAATTGATGCGCCCTGCAGGAATGCGGGAGTTTTGAATACTGGGAAGCGGAAGCGGCTGCCTTTCGTGCAAGGCTCATCGTTGACATCGCGAGTGGAGACTCTGCGGTCTAGGAGAGGTGCATCGTCGTCTTCCAGATTCCGAGAGCTTGCATGTGAGCCCCGTAGCCCTTGTTCCTCCCCGTTTTCTAAAAGCGCACCGGTATCATCCTCCAAGTCTGCGCGTCCAGATGCACTGCGTCTCCACCGACTTGCCGCTCCGACACGCAAGTTGCGCAGCGCGATACCCGGTCCATAGCTACTTTTGCGGCCAGTATAGTCCCGAGACTCACGTGGCTGTTGAGGCGATGTCGTGCTGGGGTCTAGCTCTTCTAGATCCAAGTCATCGTCCGAGTCGGAGAAGGCGTCTGGCGCATCGGGATGGTCCAGGGGGTGTAGGTAGTCATATGAGGAAGACATTCTTGAAATCTGGTATGATTCAAGTCAAATCAACTGCTAGTTGTATGCAGGTTGGTGCTTTTGGGCCTTGCATCAAAGGAAGGTTCATCTCAAGTATATGTTGTCATGTGCGGTGGTATTGATCAAAACGCATATGCAGCATGATGATGAAAGAGCGGAGGGCTGCTGCGAGGGTGGAAAAAGGCAACAAAAAGCTTCTTTGTGTCAAATGCAGTCAGTGCCACAATCACAAAAATTCCAGAAATAGTTTAAAAGGAGGATCGTGTTGACGTTTCAAAATCGATGACTGTCTGTCGGGACACGCAACCACAGTGCATAACTGGTTGACGTAATACTGCACTTTTCAAGGTTGCTTATTGTAGGCATAAACCGCCCGGACTATTAGTTGATCCGAACCACGGGTTTGTGTTTTTCCTATTCGGGATAGCATCCTGATGACTCAGCGACTTCATTTAGCTGGGGCCCCGGGTATCATAGGCTGAAATCGCCCTTCGCTGTCGCAGTGTTCCAGGACAATCCGACTGCTTGGTTTTTTTGCGCCACCAGCTGATGCATTCATGACCAATTTATTTTCTTGAGTTTTTGCTTTGTTTTATATCTACATCGTTTAATGGATTTCTAAGTTGACGCCTTCGACCCCCCGTTTTTCTTTACGATTGTTGATCACCTGAGGCGTCATTGGAGACGTGTCAGGTTGGCCCCTCCGGACTGCGCGCCCCATCGACAGTCACGTTGGCAATCGAAAACAACTTTGCACATATGGCACACCAAGCGACTGACAATGACTCGGAGTCGTGGAATCCTGCATCACGGCCCGAGAACAATAGCACTCCTGTTACTATGAGCTCGATCGAGGGTGGATTGTCTGAGCCAATTGCGGCGGATAAGCCAAAGGACCTCGCCGATGCCATGTCTCCACAGAGTGAGGATTTCTCTGCGTGGGATATATCCGATGAGGTAGACGCGATTCAGTCTCAACACACGGGCTTGGACATGCTAGTGAACAATGCATCACCAGCGGTAGACCAGGCCGTTTGTCTAGACACGGATTCCGTCGATAAGAAGACCAGTCAAATCCCCGATCAGACGACCGAAGCGGTTCATACACCTATCGCGCCATCTATTGAGACTGCAGATGCCATCCTAAAACCGACCCTGCCAGAAACTCAGCCCGCGCAGCTAGTTCAGACCGAATCATCTCCAGTCCAATCCGATGTCGAGGGTAATAATAGTTTCTCGACCACTATAGACGAGCCACTCTCTATTCCAACCGGAAGCTCTGATACTACCGTTCCCACTGTCGCACCTGGACAAGAAACTACTGCGGAGTCGACGTTTGTGAAAGAGACTACACCATCAAAGGAGGGACAAACAACAGCACCCGAGCCTACTTTGGACACTTTTAAACATGAATATACCACAGCGTCCACCCCCACTGAAGAACTGTTCCCACAAACAGACGGGGAGAATGCCGATTCGGAGGATCCCTGGACTAGCTTTGAGAAGGACCTTGGCAATACTCTGCCCTCCGCCGAAGAGGCTACACCTGAAGAAATCTCCCATGCTATCCCAGAGTTTGCATCGACCTCTCAAATCCAGAATAGTGATGAGCCAAAGTTTGTAGAAGAAGGTATCCGTCCATCGCCAGAGAAAACGGCATCCGCGGGTGCGAAATTTGTCGAGGAGAGTACTGGTGTGTTCACCTCCACCGAAGAGGGCATTGCTCCAACCGAAAATGAGCAACATGATCTCGTGTCTCGCTCGGTAAATGTCGAATCTCAGAATACCGATTCAAAGCCTCCTATCGCGGAGGCCTTTGCGCCGACCAACGCTACCCATCCAGATCCGGCTGCAGTTCACGCGGATACAAACATTAGAGATCAAGCTTTCTGGGAAAACGAGCGGAGCGGTGAAGTCGATTCTGATGAGGATGACTTCTTTAACCAACTCAACACTCAGACAAAGCCTATCTTCGCGGAAGCGGAGTCCAGGTTCGAGGAAGGGGTCCCATTGTTGGATGAATCTACACCGGCTTCGCCTCAGCACCAACAGAAGGAAGAGAAATCTATCGAAAGTGTGTTTTCTAATGATGAAAACGACGCAGATGGCTTCTTCAGCTCGACCCCAAAGGCAGAGGGAAAGAATGACGATGAGGATCTCTTCGGCTCTACTTCAAAGGAAGAGGCTGAGGAGCAACCCGCCGTTCATCTCACCCGAAAGAGCACGTCTCAGGCTTTGGAATCGGCTGGGTTTCCTATTGACTCACCAGTTAGTGACACTTCGGCTGCAGCGCAGTTCGATGATGCCCTGAAGGCTGCGTCCTTACAGCCCAAGACAACAGCCGATCCATCGGAGGAAGAGCTAGCGGCACGATGGGAAGCCGAGCTAGCCGATTTACCGGAGGATGATCTCGCGGCTCGTTGGGAGGCGGCATTGGACGATGACGATATGCTGCTCGAGACCGAAACCGCCCAGCCTATCTCTGCACAGGAGGATATTCATCAAACTCCTGTTGAACCTACCAACAATGGTCTGTCGGCTGGCTTGAATAGTCCCTTCCAGACCCCTCAGACCTTTTCTCAGCCAAGGCCTGTTCCTAGCATATACACACCCCACCAACCGTCCACTGGTGATCTGTTGCAGGGTGTTCCTCTACCAGGAACTGCGCCGCCAGCCACAGCTGCAATGTCATCATACTTCTCGCAGCCACCGCCGAATCCTGTGGCAACCAGGGGAGATAGTTTTGCTGAGCGGCCAAAAGAGGGTTACAAATCACCTTACGACCTTCCAGATGATATCCGACCCCGAAAGCCGGTCGCTACCCACAAGCCTACTCCTCCAGCAGTGACAAGTATGCCTCCACCCCCTCCGCCAGGTGCTTCTGGCGTCCCAATTCCTGCTGCAGCTGGCTTCCCCCTCCGGCAGCTCCCCCCTCAGCTGTTGCTGCTCCCCCTGCGCCCAAGAATTTCTACGAGGAACTTCCTCTGGCACCACCACGGTCTAGACCTGCCAGCTCAGGTCGGTACACCCCTAATCCGCAGGCGGCGCCGACGATGATCGGATCGTCTCTTCCTCCTCCCCAAGTTCAATATGCTGCTCCCGCACCACCGGCCCCACAGCCCTTGGCGCTCCCAATCCAATCCACACTCCAGCCACCTGAACAGCTGGATCCGTATGCTAGGCTAGCATCGAGTGCCCCGGCCGGACCTCCTGCCGTTGCAAGGTACTCTCCTCAGCCCCCTGGCTTGCAAGCACCCTCAAAGCCACCTTCATTGCCAGTATATTCCCCTGCGCCCCCTCCCACCTCTTCAGGTCGCAGTCGATATGCCTCACAGCCACTCAATGTCCCTGGCCAAAATTTGCCTTTCCAGCCACGGACATCAAGTCCGCTTGCACACCATGAAAAGGTTTCTTACCAACCCGATCAAGCACAAAAGCCACCATCTCTCGAGCCTGCGATCAATCTTTCACCGCGCGTGCCCGGAGCTGGCTTCGGACAAATCCCACCTGGCGCTCCGCAATATCTCAATGGTCCTGCCAGTCTACCACGGAGAGAAAGTGCGGGCTCACCAGTGCAGTCATCTCCACCTCAGAGTCGGTATGCTCCTCAAGAATATCTCAATGAATTCGCCCAGCGTCTTGCGCCGGCTCCACCTGCTCCCTCAACGAATGTATACATGTCTCCACCGCCTAGCGATATCCAGATGGGTCCTCTTCGCAGGTCCCAGACCCAATCACCTGCCCGGGACTCGACGAGCCCGCGTTCCTACGGACAGAACATCGATACTCTCCAAAGGCCGGCTTCGGTGCAAGTTTCAGGCTCGCCTACTAAAACCGTGAATCCGTATGCTCCTATGCAGGCTGCTTCACAGCCCCGGGCTCCCACCCAGCACCTGGAATTTATTGCCCCCAATGATGGACAGGAGCATGATCCCTTGGAGCGATGGAAGGGTGCTCCGATCTTTAAATTCGGGTTCGGTGGAGCTGTGGTATCTTGCTTCCCCAAGCACATTCCTCGCTACTCTGTTGGCCAAGTGGCGCCAATGATTCAACCCACTCTTGGCGAACCGAAGATCTCCCAGCTGAGTCAATGGCTGCCCTCTTCTGATACCATTGTCCAACACCCTGGGCCTCTCAAGGTAAAATCGAAGAAGAAGGACTTGATTGCTTGGCTTTCTAGCAAGATTGCGGCGTTTGAAAATTCGGACCTTCCAAGTTACGAACAAGTTCGGTCCGATACGCACAAACGCCAGGAGGAAAAAACCCTCCTTTGGAAGGTTGTCAAGCTTCTGGTGGAGAATGACGGTAATCTGGAGAGTTCCCCTGAGATCCAGCAGTCTCTCCGTCGGATCATCTTCCCCAACTTACCCGACCCCGACGCAGACGGATCATACACCAGCAGCTTAGCTGCCTTGGGAGGATTTGCCCCTTCGGAAATGCCTTCGCAGCCTGATGCTCTTGATGCACAATGGTTGGAAGAGCTTCGCCTACACTTGATCCGTGGTGATCGAGAGAAGGCCGTATGGAGCGCTGTCGACCGACGTCTTTGGGGACATGCGATGATCATCTCATCCACTATGGATAGGTCTATCTCGAAACAGGTCACGCAGGAGTTTGTCCGTCGCGAGGTCAGATCCAAAGGCGCAAACACCGAGTCAATTGCAGCCCTTTATGAAATCTTCGCTGGCAACATCGAAGAAAGCATTGACGAACTTGTACCCCCGTCTGCCCGAGCAGGGCTGCAGCTGATTAGCAAGGCCGATGGCCAGGGCTCCACTAAGAATGCTCTTGAGGGCTTAGACAAGTGGAAGGATACCCTGGGACTAATTTTGAGTAACCGAAGCTCTGAGGATCACCAGGCACTGCTTTCCCTTGGCCGCCTGCTTAATTCTTATGGACGGACAGAGGCGGCTCACATTTGTTACATCTTCTCGCGTGCTGCTGTGTTCGGTGGCCCCGATGATCCACATGCCAACATCGTTCTCCTTGGTGCTGACCATCAGCGTTGCCCTTCTTCCTTGATGGACGAAGACGCTATCTTGCTGACTGAGGCTTATGAGTATGCCACCTCAGTTCTCGGCAACTCCCCAACGGCCAGTCTGCCACATCTGTTGGCCTTCAAGATATTGAATGCCAGGTGCCTCGTAGACCAGGGTCGCAATTCAGAAGCGCAAGGCTATTGTGACGCAGTGGCGTCAGCATTGAAAGCAACCACTCGTCCCTCGCCGTACTATCACCAACATCTCTTTGCGGAAGTCGAAGAGCTGTCTGCACGTTTGCGCCAAACAACCAGCGATACTGGCTCTTGGATCTCGAGACCAAGTATGGAGAAGGTCTCTGGGTCTATGTGGGCTCGTTTCAATAGCTTTGTGGCAGGTGAAGAAAGTGATGCTGCGTCGACTGGATCCGGGAAGGGTGGCGAGCAAGCGGAATTCGGTCCTTTTGCAAACATCGCTGGCACCCCAACAATCAGCCGCTCACCTTCTGTATCTGACATCTACGGGTCTTATCCTGGAGCAGGAGCAGGAGCGCAGCCTATTGCCACCAGCGGCCCGTCCAAGTATCACCCATCGAGCCAATATGCGCCCAATGGCTCGCCCGAGCAGTTCAAGGGCCGATCTTCAATGGATTCCCAGAGGTCTGCTTCATACTTCCCGCCCGTTGGTCAGCGTCGAAGCTCACAAGAACTCTCGCCCTCGATTGATCAACATATGTCCTATGGAGCCCCAATGTATGGGTCACCAAACGCGGGTGGATATCAACCAACACCACCCCAGTCCTCATACATTCCTCTTGCTCCGGTAGAAGAAGCTCTGTCTCCCGCTGAGGCTCCTTCAGCTGCACAGTCCATGGTCAATGGACTCTTTTACCAGCCTCCAGGACAGGCTGCCCCATCCAGCGAATCCCCATATTACCAAGGCCCTCCCGGTATGCCAGCTGGTCCAGACTCAGAGTCACCCTACGCACCTCCCGTTGCTAGCTCATCTTATGAGCCGGTTTCTTACGAGCCGGTCGCGGCTGGTGTAGATATGGGCCATGTTGCCGAGGAGGACGATGTGCCACCTACCGCAGAGCAGCCAAAGAAGCGGTCAATTATGGACGACGATGATGACGATCTTGCTGCCCGGGCAGCGGCTATCCAAAAGGCGGAGAATGATCGCAAGGCAAATGAAGCGTTCGCGAAAGCCGCCGAGGAAGATGGTATGTATCAACAATGCCTAGCGCTTAGCCCACTTGCTAATCCTATTTCTCCTACAGCCAAGAAGGGTGCTCAACAATCTGGCAAGAAGGGCTGGTTCGGTGGTTGGTTCGGCGGACCTAAGAAAGAGGAAAATAACTCCGGTGGTGGTCCCATCAGAGCCAAACTTGGCGAAGAGAGCTCCTTTTACTACGACAAGGATTTAAAGAAATGGGTCAACAAAAAAGATCCCGGTAGTAGCGCTCCAGTCCGCGCCACCCCTCCCCCTCCCCGAGGATCCGCTCCCCCCAGTCGGACTGCGAGCTCGGGCAGCATGCCACCAAACGGTACGCCTCCGATGCCTGCAATGCCCCCAATGTCGGTCTCTGGGAGCCGTCCTCAATCTTCCTCAACCGCCGCCCCGCCTTTCTTGTCATCCAGTCCGGGCTTCTCTGGTCTCGCGCCTCGGTCCGTTTCCACGGGAGCGGCTATGCCAACACCGCCTGGTAGTTCTAGCGGCCCGCCGCGGCCTTCTTCGTCTTTGACTCATGCTAGCTCAATCGACGATTTGATCGGTGCGCCTCAGGCGCGTAAGGGCAACACAGTTCGCGGCAAGAAGAAGGGCCGTTACGTTGACGTGATGGCCCAATAATCATCGGACTTTGTTTCAATGACCGATGATATAGTGCTTACCAGTCTTTTGACTAGCTAAGTTCTCTAATGTCCTTTTCATTTGTTTCATTATGTTCGTTTCGTCGTTATGCCTTTTATTTGTTCTTACATGATTTCTTTGATGAACCGCATCCCCCTACCCTTGAATAATACAACTTCCTGTTACTACCTGATTTGTCATTGCACCAGCATACTGCATGTGTCTTGTTTCTTGCCCCGGCAGACACGCCATCTCTCTGCATTCTCGCTCACTGAACCTCATTCGAAGCCTTGCTTTTGCACATAGCTTGAACTTTGCTGTTCTTTGGCGCGACGTCATCCATGGAGTCAAAGGGCACGTACTCCTGGCATTGTGTATATCACCCTCCTCCCCTTGCTATTATATTCTGGCCCAGCATTTTGTTGCTAGCTGGCACTTTCTGGATCTGGAGGTTTCTTCTTGCATGACTTTTGACATCCACCTGTCTTAATAACGATTTTTAATAATTCATTCCAAATTTTGAACGCCTGAATCAAGATGGACATTGTAGCTCATATTTCACCTCAGCATCATGTGGTGAATGAATTGATATAATACTGAAACGTGACTGTTAGTAGGCTTGGTTGTTGGAGAAATACATTCTTGGGGCCATGTCTACTCACTGTTAGACAAGATTCCTCTCCCTCCCTGTTACCCGGCAGGTAAACATAAAGGACCAGTGCCATTTCATTGATGAAGCCTGACCATAACAGATGAGAAACGGAGTCAGAATTTTGCACGAGCGAGCGGCAGTTCCAAATATCAAAATCCAAAACAACTTACAGGCAACAACCTTCGGACTGAGTCTTCCAATACTGAGCACGCGACTCCAATCCTTTCCATCAATCCGAACCTTAGCCCAGCCAGATTCGGATCCCTCGCTCGCCTCCCGCTTCCGATTAAGCTCACTGGGAAGCTGGCTCATCTGCTCCTGGCTCATTTGAGCAGGATCCAACGGTGGGTTCACGAGATCAGTCCAGACACTCGCGATGCGCAGCTCATCCGTAGCAATAGCAAGCCGTAGTGAGCCATGCATATTAGCAGATAATTCAAGCTTCGGAGACGAGTTGGTCGACAGTGCCGTGGCAGCTGTGCTAGCGCCCGCCGTGCTGAAAGAAACAGATTGCATACCCGGCGCATCGGGCGCCATCATGCCTGGTAGTCGGCTTTTGCTATCTGTGGATGCTAATTTCGTGAAGCGATCGGAGATGCTCTTCAGCTGCGCTAGATTGGGTAGGATGATATGCACTTCGGGATCTGGGCAGTGCGGCTCGTGTAGGCCTTCGACTGCTGACTCGTGGAGAATCCTGATGGGGATTTCTTGGGTGATCCATGTCTGGCGCTCGCGTGGGCCTCGATCGCCTGTTGTATCGATTGGAGCTGCTGGGTTTGGGTCACCAAAGCCATCAGCGTCATTGTTGGTGGCCAAGGCCATGTTCCCGTCTGTCCATTCTGATGAGAGGACTGTCAGTGCCAAGAGAGGAGTTTTGTCTTTTTTAGTTAGGCGGAGCTGTGTATGTGTTGAGCCCCAGGCGGAGCGTAGGGCTCGGTTTAGGACACTGATGTTGACTTCGATGTTGATAGCGTCGGAATTGGATTCTAGCTCATAGGTCGTCTCATCGAAAATGGTTCCCTGACAAACGGTCAATATATATCATATGACTGGTAGATTTGATTATTATTATGCATACAACTGGTATTGATGCCCACACTTGTGTGCCTTGGTCGGGTATGATCGTAAAGCGGATCACCTCGTACTCCAGGCGCATCCAACATACCTTGCCCAGCGAGGACAGTGACGCGGTGAGCTCTGATTTGGTTAGCTCCGACATTTTATTTCAACCATTGAACTTACTGGAGAAGGTCCTGCTGTCTCTTAATTGTGTTCGGAACCGCATTGTGTGAGTTGATGATAGAGGGAGGAGGGTCGACTCCAACCAAAGTGCTTATCGCTATCGTCTATAATGGAAATGGCGATTTCACAACTACAACTCCCGAGGTCTTTCCTCACAGCTTTCGAACTTGATGGCATTCAATTTTACATATATTCCTCCGTGTTACATTCTGCTAATTCACTCGGCTCAAGAGACAAACTTGCAACCAAAGCTGCTCCTACTCCAGACCCATCCTCGGCCGAGTTCAGAGCAATTAAGTCCAATCTGCCTGGCTCCCAATCAAAAATATCACGAAGGCCCTGGACTGCCCGTCCCTTGAGCATACTATATTTACTGAATACTGAGCCATCAACCCCAACGTGGCACTGACGAATCCCCTTTTTCTTGCAGATGGCCGCAATTCCACACGCGTAGAGACGCGCTGCACGCATCGCGATAAGGCCGATAAGATGACGGCATGCCTTCAGCTCGTCCAGCGAAAGTTCCAGATTGAGGCTCTCCTTGAACTCCTCTTTCATGTCGGTTAGACTGTCTGAAATATCCATCTCGACAGTAGACAGAAACGATGTCTCCAATGAGTTGGCGGTCCGAAGTCGCGAGACATCTTGGCCCTTGAAGAGTATACCTTTCTCGTGCATTTTCAGCATTACCAGACGCAGCATCTCTCCTATGTACAGACCAGCCACCATCTTCTCATAGATCTGCGTGCCTGGATGGGCGGACTCCGCGTCAATTTGGCGGTCAAAGGGAGTCAAGGGCAGCACCTTGCCTTCGTTATCAAAGGCGCCGTACTCGGTGTTGATGATCACAGTTGCACCTTCGGGCAGTCCTGAATCACGTAGCTTGGGGATATCCCGGCATTCTTCCATGTATGCTGCATTACAGCCAGTACTGAAAATGCTACCAATCTTTACCTGCGGATCCCGGTAATGTGATGCGACAAGGGTCCCCGCCGTGTCGTTGATGAGGGCGACCACTTTCACTGGGACGTTCTAATTCGATCAGCTGCGACTCTCTTACTATTATACGTGAGCTTACCTTCTTTGCAAGTGCCTCTTCCAGCTGGGGTACTACATCATGCCCTACCACTCCAGAGACACTGAAGTTTTTGGTCCAGCGCTGCAAAATCCCACTACGGATAGACTTTTGCTCCACTGGGAATGAGAATGTGAACGCCATCGGCAGAGGATTTGAAGCACTCATTTCACAGTGATTTTCACGGAGGAAGGATTCGATTCGGTCCGCAATAAAGCCCCACAGGACTTCTTTTGTGCTTGTCTTGACTTCTTCCGGAAGCTTGTATTTCCGTTGACGTTGCTCGAAGTCTCGCTTCCCCACGGAAAGACAGACATCACATACACGGATATTGGTTCCTCCCAGGTCAACTGTGAGAATGCGTCCTTTTTCATTGCCTGTCGGGTATTTCATGATCCATGTGATGTTCATGGGCTTCATGACGCCGATAACCCAGTCAGTATCTACTTGATATCCAAATAATCTTGGTACTGACAATAGACCCACCCTCAACGGTAAGCCCTTTCTCCAGCTGCTGGGCAAATTGATCTGAGATCACCTTCAATACGGGCGGCTCGAGCAAGAACCATCCTTCATATTGCTTGAGTTCATTAGTGAGCACTTCGGCAACACCATTAAGAAGATCTGGGCGGTATCGAAGCCCTTGCATGATGGGTTGGTAGAAGATACTTCTGCAGCTTTGCAGCTTTGGAGAGTCTCGGGGATATTCCCTCTGTACAGGGCTAGGATGTGCGCCATGAGTTCCGAGAACGCCATCATGACCGCATAGTGATCATAGAAATAGATTAAATGGGTAATTTGTTTAGGTTTTGCTGTATCCATATCTGATATGAAGAGTATATAGGAAATAATTGGACAAATATTCAAATATTCCCCTTGCGTCTATAGTTGAAGCTATTTTCAAATAGCCTGGTTTTCCCCTTTAGGAAATTCTTTTCGATCTGCTTCCTCACCGTTTAAACAAGGAGAATTGCTCTTTTTCCCTTCCGATATGCTACAATCGTAGTAAAATGTGAAAAATATACCCAGTAATTTCCCCCATAGTAAGGCGGATCTTCCGGCGATGGTTCGTGTCGGCAACTCCACTAGCACCTTAGCCCTCCCCTGATCGGATCTCCACTTCAAATTGTCAAAATAATCCATCAGAAAATCTTCCGATTGTTTTGATTTTTATAATATTGTGATCAGAAAGCAGGCCTTTCTCTCCTTGTCGCTCATTTGTGCCCAATTCGCACCAGCCACTCTCTCCGCACTCCCTCGCTTCTTACCTTTGTACTTGAACTCGTCGAATTTCCAATCATTTTTCTATTTCTTTATTGTCTCTTCAATCTCCTCGAGCGTATTGCTTGCTAAGTTCTGCACTTTTTCAAGACGCGCGTCTCAGCATGCGGGCTCGACAGTCCTCTTTCCCGCCCTCGTTCCGACGTCCGTCACTTACATGCCATCCTCGAGCCAGTCGAGGCTCTCTGTGACTTTTACACCCCCGGCTTAGGCTGAACATCTATTCGGCATGGCAGCCAGTCGAATAAATCTGGATCGCCCTTCCATCCGCCTCTCCCCCTCCCACACCCGAAATAACTCGCGCTCAACCTCATTTGAAAGGACCCCTAGCTCCATCTACCAACAACTCGACCCTCTCCTCAGCAACCTCTCCCCCGAATCAACTCTCCAAGCCCTCACCTCAACTGATGCGGTACCGTCGAACGAACAAGCCGCTCATGATATCCTCTCGCGAAGCATCTCCCAGGTGTCGCCGTCAGAACGCGCCCTAGGGATACGTGCGGCGGTAGCTGCCCAGAACTTGAATTTATGGCACAAAGAGGTTCTATCATGGGATTGGCCAAATCAGTGCGACGCCAAGGTTGGGATGGGTTTTATTCCCCCATCTGAGTCGCATTCTGGCGGAAACCCCATCCCTTCGGGCTTCTTGGCTTCCCCCAGCAACACCCAGGAAAGCTACTATGGGAGCTTGTTAGCCAGCGTGGTCGAGCGATATGAGAAGAGAGCTGATGAAATCCGCGATGGAATGGACGATCTTAACGTGGAAGAATTAAAGGAACACGTTTTGAATGCCCACATTCCATCGAGGTCTCGGCCCTCTTCCGCCACAAGCTGTGTGTCCGTGCCTCCACCGCTCAGCTACGTACAGCTGAGTGACTTTACAGCTGTCATTACCGCGACTATCCTTCGAGCTCTTCCATATCTATCACGACTGAATGCCCTACTTGCCACCTGGGAAGTTCGCCTTCTTGTCTTACGCCAAATTCCCGGTCTGCTGAGAGAGCTCAACTTGACCCGTTCTGCCCTTGACTCCTCCCTCCACGCCTTACAAATCCCACATTCCTCTGCCTCCAATTCGAGCGAATCCTCCGATGCATCCCTAGCTGCCGAGCATGCTAAACTAGAGTCTGCAGTTGTGGCTGTGGGGAGGCGGATGGACCGAGTTCTCGACGCGTTGGAGGGTCGTCCGGATTCTTTACCCGAACAATGGATTGATGACCTGGAAGCCATTGAGTCCGACTTTGCTACATGGGTAGTGGAGGCTGATAAATGCAAGATTCAAAACGAGTGGTTGCGGTCAACAGCCGAGGCTCAAGTGGCTGAGATGCATGCCGGCGACCTCCACCGGGTAGAGTCATTGAAGGAAAAAGGGCCGGACCCAACATCTGGTAGAGCTGTATCAGAGCCTTCTGATGATCTCCATCCCCCTTCAGATCAGGTTGTCGAACATGAGTCTGAACTCCAGTGTGGCCTTGAGCTCTCGTCTAGTGACGCAAGACCAACTAGCCTACACAATGTTGAACAATCAACGATATCTCTTCAAGAGACGCCACTTCCCGGAGACTGCGTCGAAGGGAACGTTTCGCCAAACCTAAAACTCTCGATATCGCTATCAAAGTCTCCAATCGAAGAGAAACAAGAAGATCACACACCTGTGGCCGTGGCAGAGGACCTAGAGACACCAACACAGTCTGACTTTCCGCCAGCTCCTGCGATAAGTCGACAGCTCTTTTCGGCTCCTGTACATACGCCTTGCGCAATTGATCGCACCATGGAAAACAAGGAAAACATTCCTCCGCCAGATTTCCAACAGCTAGACGTAGCTGTGTCACCACCAAGCCAGGCGTTAACAAAACAAACTCCATTGTCTGAGCATAAGGTTCCAGCCGAGGATCCTTTGCTTCAACATTCCGCTGCATCTGAAATGGATGTTCAACTTCCTAAGCTAGCTGTTTCTGTTGGTGTACCCGCCGCGGAAGACCCCCATGCCTCTGCTAGTCCTAAAGACCTGCCTCGTGATACTGTGGCGTATGAAAGCGTGAAGAACCCCGATGACGAGGAAAAGCAACATTTTACACACTCCAAATCAACCGAACCCAACCCTGAGCTTAAAACCATTAATTCTTCTATTGATCAAGATCCCAAATCGCCCATCGGGCCGAGTGAACACAATCAGTTTGATACTCCGGTAGCAGCAGCTATCTCTCCGATGCTCACACCGAACAGGTCAAACATCCGAGTGCCGAAATCGAGACCGTCTGGCAGGGCTTCCCAAATACCCATGGCTGTGGCGTCACCCAAGTCGGGCTCAAATCACACGCCCATCAAGTCTCAACCCCCGCCGAACGAAGGGAAAGCAGAACCTGGTCAACGGACTGTTCGCAAGCCGTTACAGAGCCCCATCAAACTTTCCAAACCCCGGCCAGGGAAGGTTGATCTCGACAAAGATGATAAAGTGACGCACAAGATTACGCATCGTCGTCGGACATCTACTGGATCTGTGGGCTCTTTGCTTTCAGACCATTCTTCCCTCATATCCAGTCCCGATGCACTTGAGCCGCGCACTGCTTCCTCCAATGTAACGCCTGTTGGGACGTCTTCTCGCCCTGAATCTGTACATCCTCCTTCGCATGGGGACTATACCCTGAGAGAGGATCGTTTGCGTCGTCTGGAAAACCAGAAGCCTGACCCGCGAATCTCTTTCCAACAGAGTCGCACGGTCAGCCTACCCCTCGAGCGGTTTATCAATGAACGCTTGGAGTTGGGCCTTGGAAGCGAGTCGGCGCCAGGTGTGGCTAGTGTGCACCCGTCTAGGACCCGGACACGCTCTGTTACATCTGCCGACTTCCCCCAACCCCCAAAGGTATGTGAACCAATTTTTCGTTTGATTTTATACTGTTCCTAATTAAAACCCCTAGACACGAACCAAAATCACATTCCAGGATACTTCTGCTGCATCCACTCCACCGGTTCCACGTCTCCCTACTCGCCATCATCAGCTCTCTCGAGGAAAGTCTGCAAATGACTTGAAATCTCAAAATGAGATGGCAAAAATTGCGGAACGAAACAAAAAGACATTCGGGATGAATTCTGCCCGAAGGGCCATGGAGCACCTTCTTCAGCCCAAGTCTCTCCGATTGCGGCAGCGACTGACGGCTCATCCAAGTCTCGAAAGCCTGGGCGTGAAGAGACAAGAGCTGTCCTATGTAGAAGAGCATGAATCTGAGCTCACCAATTTCGGATTCCGCCCTCCCTCGCCAACCAAGTACAGCAAGCAACCGCGAGACCAGCTCGACGAAAAGATTAACTCGATTCTCAACTCGTTGCCTGGCCATATCCATATGGTGGACTCCAACCACGAAGTAGAAACGTCCTCATCCTCGTCATCGTTGGACCGACGAATGCGGCACCGATCCGAATCCCCCACCGGTCCAACTCGCAGCAGCACTCCCGCACCTTCTCTGATGTTGATGCCGGCTGGCCGGAGACGGCATTCCCATGCCTTCAAGACAGAGGACAGCTGTGTGAAACTTTATCACCTCCACCACGGGGGCCAGTCAGCCCCGACAAAACTATTCGTTCGCACCGTTGGTGAAGAGGGGCAGCGAGTGATGGTTCGTGTTGGCGGTGGATGGGCTGATCTTGGCGAATATCTTCGCGAATATGTCATTCATCATGGTCGCCGCAAGGTGTCTGAAACCCCCCGTGTGGAGGTGCAGGGCATAAAATCACGTTCCTCGCCCTCTTACACTTCTCCCGGTATGCTGACCCCGGCTACCACGTACCTTGCCTCCGGCCGGGCTACGCCCTCCCGACCACCATCCGTGATCAGTGCTCGGCCACCTTCATCCCTTACCGTTCACAAGAAACGACGAGGCTCGACCGCATCAGATGCAATGGGCACCAGAGCAGTGACGACAGGCCACATATCCTCCTTCACCTCGCCCCCACCCGCTGCCGTCCCTCTCCCTTCCTCGACCGGAAGACGCCTTTCAGTATCTTCCGGCTATTCAGTCGGGGACGCCCACTCCCCCGGCAAAGCCGCTGCTGCCTCCATGGCAAATGAATCCCGCTCCACTCCGCTGGGCTTAGCTGGTCCTAAGCCTCGTGCTCGGTACGAATCCATGAGCCCAGAGGGTGAAGCTTGGGTTGCCGATGTCCTCCAAAAGACCCGCCGCTCCAGCTCCCACAACCCACCCCAATTCGCACTGAGCATGCCACCAGACCACGATGCTGATGACCGATTTGATATTGGCGACGGCAGCATGGTTGGACACTCCCTACCTAAAGTCCGCAGCATTGGTGATATCGGGTCTATCGGTACCAGCAGGCGGGTCGTGCTGAAAGGTCTTGGATCTCGCAGGCCGT